GACGTTATATATACGTATTTACATGTTTTGTTCACCATAACTGTACATCTAAGCTTGTATGGTGAGTAAAGGCCATAAGACGTAGCTACTCACACAGTCAGCTGATCGGCGGCCGCCCTCAAGGCCAGACGCACTAATATTTGTCCTCCAACAATATTGTTTGTGGTGTTATTACGCTATATACACACACATTATATATAAGTATCTACCTGTTTTATTCACCATACCTGAACAAATAAGCTGGTATGGTGCCCAAAGACCATAGTGGCCATCAGTAAACAACATGCCAAGTCGTGCAGACGACGCTCCTCCCTCACCAAAATGGCGGCTCCCAACCTACTCCTCTCGCTGTTATCTCACACTATACACACGTTATATATAAGTATCTACATTTGTATTCACCATATCGAACCACTAAGCTGGTATGGTGAGTGCAGTCAATAAATGGTGGCCACACACAGTCAGAAAACGACGCCACAACCCTCCCTCCCACAGCCTTACTCCTTCCTCCATGGAGCACAGCGCTAAATATCACCACAATCCTGCTATTATCAGAATCCTGGTCAGTTTTATCACAGTCAGGGGGCTTCAGTAATACTATCACTGCTAAATAATAGCAATATCATTTATATTATGGTATTTGTAGGCGATGCTGTGGTCACAAGCTGAACAGCGGTGCTGTGAGCTCGTGCTGCGTGCGCCAGCCTTGGTGGCTTGCTCAATACTGACGCTGTAACACCCAAGAATGTTGGCCTGGATTTTTTTTCTAGGTGGCATCTGGCAACTATCAGTCGTGGCTGTACTATAGCTGCCCCTATCCCAGGCGGGGCGTTTAAATTATAGCGCTAGACACGAAATCATATATAAATGATGTGCGCGGTTTCGGTTTTGTCACTGATATCATTTATATATGAAATGCGCGGTTTGAGGGTTAAAGTGAAATCCTATTTAGGTTTAAAACATTATACCGAATGAGAAACTCGGATTATATAGCCGAACACCAGAAATGTTGTTATTCAATTTGGTTGCCTAAAGCACATTCAAGGACTACACATTACATGGCATTCCAGGATTCCTCTATACCTTGCCTTATGCTGTAAACATTGCCACAACCCTGTGTTTTATTGATTTAAATGGCCACAGGGAGGCATACAACACTGCAGATTATGATGTCATTAGTTATCCACTGTGCTGACAAGTGGGCTGACTGATGTTCGTTGACACCTGTATCGTGCTTCAATTTAATCGCCAGGAGATCACCCTCTCACTAGACTCGTCTGTAGGAAGTACAGTATAGTATCTCAAATTACCTTGGATCATAAATAGCATAAGACTTGGGGGTAGGAGAGGGTTGCAGTGTTTGTCATGGCTCTCAGTTGTTCCTGGTATTAGGCAATTTAGTTCTGGAATCATTTTTGTTGGCCAATGTTAAACTTTTTTGAAAGTAGATGTTTTTCTGAAAGGGAAGGGGGGGGGGAACCTCTATGCTTGGATACAGTTATCTAAGTGAATACTTAGATTTATACAGTAGAATAACTACCTTCTTTTCCTTAGTCAAAAAGGTTGCTTGTTTATTTCTAGGGACTTGTATTTTCTTTTATTTTTAACTGCAGCAACTTTCAGTGAATGATAGATTCTTACTGAAAGGACCTTTACTTCATTGTTGTTGCTTTATGGTCATCTCATTGTGTACAGGGATTCCGCGAAGCTTTTGGGGTTAGTCTTTGACACTCGTTTGTCTTGGTCAGCCCATATCTCTTGCCTCTGAGTTGAATGCTCTAAGGCCCTTAACCTCCTTAAGGTTTTGTCCCATACTTCTTGGGGAGTGGATAGGCGCACGCTCCTCTATTTGCACTCCTCTCTCGTCCTGTCTAAACTCAATTATGGTTGCCCTGCATACTCTTCTGCTTCTCCTACTCTTCGCCGTCTTGATGCTTTGCACCGTACTGGGTTGCGTCTCGGCTCTGGTGCCTTTCGTTCGACTCCCGCCCTTAGTTTGTATGTCGACACTGGCTTTCTCTCTCTTCAGGACTGCCGTGATTGCTACTGTCTTCGCTATCTTGCGCGGTCCTTCCAACATCCTTCCTCTCGCCTCTGTCGTGCATTGACTTTTCCTCCTCCTGTGGTTCCTGTTCCTCTTCATTGTCTCCCACTTTCTGTCCAGTTATCTCGCTTACACGATTCTCTTTCTGTTCATATTTCTAATGTTTCTCCTCGTATTGTTCCTTCATTACCTCCGTGGAGAGTCCCCCTTCCCAAGTTTTGTACGTCCTTGACTTGTATTACTAAAGCCTTTACCCCTCCTACAATTCTGAAAAGCCTCTTCCTTGAGCACTTTTCTTCGCACTCCCACTCTATTTCCATCTTCCCTGATGGGTCTAAGTCTGCGGATGGTGTGGGCTACTCTGTTGTTTTTCCTGACCGTACTTACATGTGTCGCCTCCCTTCGGAGGCTAGCGTCTTTACGGCAGAACTTTATGCTATTCTCTATGCTCTTTGTCTCTTGCTTTCTCATTCCTCCTTTGTGGTTGTAGTTGATTCTCGTAGTGCCCTCATGGCTCTAGGGTCCTTTAATCCTGTCCATCCGGTGGTCATTGAGATTCAACATTGGCTGTTTCTTATTTCTAGTAAATTTAAATCAGTAGAGTTTTGCTGGGTTCCCAGCCATATTGGTGTTTCAATGAGCGTGCGGATGCTGCCGCTAAGGAAGCTATCGGTTCTTGTCCCATCTCCCGTAAAGGTATTCCTTATTCCGACTTTTATCCTGTTATTCATTCTTCTCCGTTGGCAGGGTTGTTGGTCCTCTGTGGTTGGTAACAAGCTGCGTACTCTCAAAGTTAGTGTGTCCCCGTGGCCTTCCTCCTACCACCGTAACCGGCGGTGGGACACTGCTTTGGCACGGCTGTGGGTTGGTCATACCCGCTTAACCCACTGTCACTTAATGGAGCGCCGCCCTGCTCCTTATTGTCCGAATTGCGCTGTCCCTCTTACAGTTGTGCATATCCTTGTTGAATGTCCTGACTTCCAGGACGAGCGTGTGTCTTGCTTTCCGACCGTCCCTCGCCCCTCGATAGAATTCTAGGTGAATCGGATACTTTTGATATCGTTCGCCTTATGCGTTTTTGTTCTCGTATTGGCATTCTTGGTGATATTTAGCGCCCTCTGATTATTTCGCACTTTGATGGTGCTACATGGCCTTCCCGGTTTGGTGCCTTCTTTTGTTAATTACCTTACCTTCATTGTTGTTTCATTTTAATGTGGTAGTTGTGATATGGATTGTTCTGGCTCATGTGAAAGGTCTTGGATTTTTTCTGTTTTATATTACAAATAGTAACAAGACTGGCAATTTCTTAGAGTTAGAGATCTGCATTAAGGCCTCAATATTATATTCTTTATTTTTTTTATAACATGTTATCAGCAATTTTTGTGGTTGGTAATATTTAGATTAATGTCAGTGATGTATATGACAAGGGTTAAGACCCCTTGTAGTATGACAGCATTTTTCCCAGTCATTTCTTTAACAAATGAAAGGGTCCTCGTAACCATTCTTTTGTCCTTTCTACCATGTACCTGTTTGTTGCTTCTTGGTCTTTCATTTGGTACATTGGCTATTAAAACAATGGCCTTTGGTAATGTTGCAATTACCATTTCTAAAAAAAAGAGCAGGTTCATTAGGTAGGGTTTGTTTTTAGCAAACAAAGTATTACAAAAAAAATTCCATTCCTTCCGGACCTTGCAGATGTTAGGTCAAACTAATTGACAGTAATCTGTTTTGCCCTTTCAAACAATGATGGTTTTAATCTAGGTAAAATATTTCAGAATATCTGAAGAGTTTGGCAGACAAATCATTTAAGAGGTTTGATTAAATTTAAGTTGCCAAAGACTTTTCACAAACCATGTTGTATAGATGCTTCAGTCACTTTTCTAATGTTTAAATTTTAAATTGACTAAAGATTATTGTTATCATAATTTGTACAAAGCTTAGGTGTTGCATAGCTTTAAATTTACTTTCAAATATGAAAAATAAAATAGATTAAAGTTTCTTCCACTTTAATATTTCAGACTAATTTGCAATTTGTTAGTTTATGTAAATTGAATAGGTAGTCCACTTTTACATCTTTTCAATGCATTTTGCATGCACCTATGTAACAAGTTACAAATAGGTGTAAATTTTACCAAGTATTTATTTTCAAAGCAAAAAAATTTCAGATGTTTAAACATTGCATCAATAGTAGTAAACAATAATTTCCAGCATAATTTCAGGATAAGGTATATAAAGTAGTTTCATTAAAATTGTTTTATTAGTTTTACATATAGTATTTATAATACATCTAATATTTATTAGTTTCAGGTTGTGGGACAGATGCTCCTAGATGAACAGAAGATCCAAAAGGCCAAGACAACTCCAGAGACAATCACCTGTAAAAGAAAAATAAACATTAAACAGGGACACTACTTTTATTATCACCAATGCCTAATAATAAGCCCAAAAATCCTAACATCCTATCTTTTAAGATAGGCTCAGCAAGGCCTATCCCTTCCTCTGGTTTTAGTTCAGAACTTGTTCCCCAAATGGGTGAATTACATCCACCACTTTAGTGCCATCAACACATTGTACATATGCTTTACCAAAAGCACTGTACAATGTATTCCAGGCACTAGAGTTTTAGATGCATGCACCCATTCAGCAAACAAGCCCTGTAAGAATTAACAATGTCACCATTGCTAAGGGTCCCTAAACCTATGCAATTCTAGTCCATCTATTAGATGGGTAGTAGAGCAAAGCTCTGAAAAAGCCAGGACAGGGAAATCTGCAAGACTGCCTGGTCCCCTTCTATGAAATGGGGTAGGATCAGTACAAACTGCATCAATCCCTGTGGGTTGTAACAGTAGGACAGTTACACACCTATAAATGGACTAGATAAGAGAATTAAGATTAACTGTCATTGATATAGCTAAAACATGGAATTCAAACTCACCCACTTTGTAGATTTCCTTTTGCAGAGTAAAGGAGCCTCACTCCAAGCCAGTCCATGCATGATCATCTGAAAAATATGTAAACAAATTAACTTCAGACTTAAAACTGATCTAGCTGTACTTTAAAAATTCAAATGGAAAATGTTTAATTTCTTTAAGGAATTAACATTACCTACATTCTAGTAGTAAAGATCTAATTTAGCCATATAAATATATATGGCATCACAAAAATTTGCCAAGTTTCAGTAGATGTCATTTGAGAAACTCTCAAACTGCACTTCAATGGCAATTGACATTTATCTTTAGCCAATGCTATATTGTTTAAGTTATAACAATTTTTTTACTTTTATGCAAATCTATTCAAATTAACCTTTACTACAACTCACCTGATTCTGTTGAAGCAATTAACTCTGTCAGTTAATTAACTGACAGAGGGACTTCTGGACTTTCCAAACCACATTCTGGAAAACATTATATTTTTAAAAACCAAGCTAAAAGTAAACATTGAATATTTTTTTTACTTTCAAGGGAAAAATACCATCACTTAGAACAAAACTTCCCCTGCCATTAACTTATTTGACTCCTGATTACCCTTAAGTGTTGTACATTTATAGATTAAAGCTTAAACAAACATTTAATGTTAACCAAACAAGATTTACATTTCATTAAAATTTTATTAATAAAACACCCTTACCTATGCTGTTCAAGATCTAATGCCCCACATTACAATCTTCACAATTTCAACATTACCATTCTATTCAATACATTCGTGAAAGGAATGAATTTGCAGATATGGTACCCACTAGCCTAAGCCTAGACTTTTCCATACCCATTCAATTCCCATACCCTAATATTTAACAGGTTTTTACCAATTAACTTTTACCCTCCAATTCCAAAGTACACAACACTACTTACTCTAGATCTGCAAGTATTTTTCTGCAGCTCTTTCTTGCCAGGACCTTCCACAACCTGTCATGTGAACAGTAAATGTTACTAAAAACTTATTTGCATAGCAATGTTATTTTGTTCATACCTGTACCACCAGTTTAACAGTCGCCGTTTTAAATGGCACTAAGTATCTTTGTCCCATCTATTATTTACAAACAAAGGTATAGTCATTTAAAGTCAACATCTTATAAAAATTTTATTTTTTAACAACTTTAGTTATGAACGTTATTTTTCTGGAACATTGCAAACAAACTTAAACTATGTATAACATTTGAATAAAAGCGATACAAAATTTATATATACAAATCTATTCTTTTACAACCACTGCTTACTACTAGATGGACAAATTTATTCTGTTGAAAGTTATGTACCAAGCTTTTTAGTCTGAAAATTCATAATTAACCCAACTATACTACCAAGACAATGTGATTTTACTAAATTTAGTAATATTTACACTAGCAACTATACAAGGCCATATCCTTTCCAGTTATCACCAAACTTCTGCAGGTGTAAGGCTCTATCTCCCCCATCTGCAGCACTTATGACCACACTTGGTCTTTATTATAAATTTCTTTATGGACCTGCTACAGTTCTGCCAAGGGAATGATTAACACACCTTGCAAGCCAACTAATATTAAAGTTTGAAATATTTATTAAAAGCAGAAGTTTTTATCATATGGGGTGTTATTTTAGAAGAATGGGTGGTGTGATGTTATGGTTGAGTAACATGGTACAAGAGGCCAAGTAGTTACTGAGCAAGTATGCCAATTTCAATTTCTAGTAAACTGGCAAATACAGCAGAAGTGCACACTTTCTGCATAGATTCTAATGGTAGTAAAGTTCCTATTAGAGTTACTAGCCACCATTCACTAATGACTAGGGGAAGTTAGCTCAGCATCTTTGATGTGCTTTGATGGCAACGAAAATGTTGCCCCCCCCCCCTTCAAAAAATTAAGCTTGTCTACAGCATTTCCTTTTTAATTAACTATGTAAGGGGGAAGATTCTGAATAGCAAGTGCCAATAGGCTGTGCCACTGGTTTATGGCAAAAGATTCTGTAGCAATACAACTATAAGCCACACTCCCCCCCCCCCCTTTCCTCCCAACTGTTCAGTGTCAAAGGGGGGGGGGGTCCATTTACTGTACCACTTACATTTTAGTGTGGGCTTCATCCACTATTCTGATGTTGGCTGGAACATTTGTGCCAGCTGCTGGTTTGAAAGGGAGGCATATCATGTGCCAATTCAGGGAGCTTTCCACGTTCCTCACTGCATGTCAGCTCAGGACCTCGCTACCATGTTGGGAGGCAGTTGAAGACTAACCAATCAACATCCCAGGCTGGAGAGCAGTACCAGCCGAGGGAGAATTTACCACCTGCAAAAAATTTAATACCCTTAACAATCTACACGATTTAGCTCATCTTTACCTAGCCTCCAAACCTTACATGTGTCAGCATTAAACTGCATTTGGTAGTCTTAACTATTTCAAAACTATTTAGGGCATCAGTTTTTTTATATGCCAATTCTGCAACTATTGCAGTCTAAACCAAAATCTGGTGTTGTGAATAACCGAGGTCCAAGGACAGCCTTTAGGCAGTACTTTCAACATTTCTGCCCCCAACTTAACCATTTATACTATCATTTCCTTTGGTATAACCACGCCCTAAACTTGAGTCAGCACTCCCAATGATGCTAGCCTCATCAATTTTGTGCCACTATCAAAATCTCTGCTAAAGTCAAAGTACACAAAATCACAAACCTTATCACTATTTCCTCAACTATGTAACCTAAACCATGAACAGCCAGTAGTCAAATTATGCGATTCATGTATCTAGTCACGTTTCTCAAAAAGAAGTGATGGTACTTGCAATGTTAGATTCTAGTAACTTTCCTCAGAATAGACTAAGCTAATTGGCCGCTAACTTATACGATAAAATTAACTTTACAAAATTTTCCTTTAAAACTTGCCATATTAGGAACTTTCCGCGACTGCCATTTACCCGACATGCTGTATTAAATAGAGTAAAAACGGTATACAGTATCGAGTCTAGTAAAACTACGGTAAATTAAATATGGTTAACTTGCATTCTTTAAGCATGGGCTGCATAGTAAATGAATTAAACTAAACGTTAAGCACCCTGGCAAACCACTTCGTTCTATTCAATTTATTTTATCACTTCGTCCGGCTAGATTTTTAAGATTAGATTAAAAGGAACACCCTCTGGTAACGTCTGAACTAGTTAACCAAATAAATATTTAGGTAAAATACTTTCATAAAACCCGTCTACTTCCCCCACCAGTAAACTTGTTCAGCTAAAGGCATAATGTAATGTTCCACTTTAGTAAATAAAGACAAAAAACACTACCCATCTCTGTAGTTATCAGTTACCTGACCTCTTTTACGCTTAAAAATTACCTATCTTTCCCATAATTATTCGATATAACTTACCTCTCACCCGCTGGTCGAGCACACAGCAGTATATATCCTCTCCCACCACTCACCGCGTGGATACTACTCTACTGTGGCCGCAAATTGCCTCAAATCACCTACGTTGTCCATAAACATATATAGAAGAGCAACTGACCGTAACACCCGTATAGTGATCGTCACATAACGTGGGAACATTAGTAGTACTGCTGTCAAAACATAGATGGCGCCAGAACAAACGGTAATTCCTATGGACTCGCCTAGTTATGCGTAGGGAATTGAGCTTCAGCTGTTTGGTCCCGCCCCTCAGCTGTATTCACCTAGTTGTACTCACCTAATTTGTGCTTGCAGGGGTTGAGCTTTGGTTCTTTGGTCCCGACTCTCAACCGTCAATCAACAGGTGTACAGGTTCCTGAGCCTATTGGGCTCTATCACATCTACATTTGAAATTGTGTATGGAGTCAGCCTCCACCCCATCACTGCTTAATACATTACATTTGTTAACTACTCTGACACTGAAAAAATTCTTTCTAATATCTCTGTGGCTCATTTGGGTACTAAGTTCCCCTTGTTCGTGTTCCACCCGTGTTAAAGAGCTGTCTTTGTAACTATCAAAATGCATATATCTTTGCTTTCACTTCAGTTATATTTATGACAAGGGATTTAAAATTTGCCTATATTTCTGCTTCTCTGATGACATTAAAAACTTTCGTTTATTACAGTATCTACATAAAATTAACATTTATCTTCATTAGGTTGTAGTTCTCATCAATAGGGAGAGCGTCGGTAAAAAAAAAAAATTGTTTAAATATAAATATCTTTCCTCTCTCAATAATATGCCCGAAACGCTATGCGTACTAGTGGCTTTAGGTATTGTATGTACTAGCTCTATCTATAAATCCAATATTATGTTTGTAAATCGACTATTTATGTACTTTCCTGAATAAAATGAACTTTACTAATATCTAATCTCTGTGAGATTAGATTAAAGTCGTAAGAACGACTTTATCTATGCCTTTTTGATAACATATACAATTATAAGCTTTATTAGTGAATCTCTATTAATTAAACAATATATCAGAGAGTGTGTAAGGTTCGGTGTTCCATGTGCGTGTCTGTGTCTGTCCCTGTCCCTCTGCTCCTGTCCCTGTCCCTCTGTCTCTGCCTCTCCTCGTTTCTGACATTCTCTGTGTCAGCCTATCTCTGTCTCTTTCCTCGCTCTATCTCTGTCATTCTCTCACTGACTTTGCATATCCTTATTTATACGTCTCTGTGTCTAACATTCTCTCCCTGACTCTGTCTATATCTATTTCTCTGTCTCGATCTTCATCTCTTTCTCTCTCTCTCTCTCTCTCTCTCTCTCTCTCTCTCTCTCTCTCTCTCTCTCTCTCTCTCTCTCTCTCTCTCTCTCTCTCTCTCTCTCTCTCTCTCTCTCTCTCTCTCTCTCTCTCTCTCTCTCTCTCCTCCTACATACATACATACATACATACATACATACATACATACATACATACATACATACATACATACATACATACATACATACATACATACATACATTTATTTAACACATGTGGTACACGCACAAGGGGACACAGGTGGAAGCTGAGTACCCAAATGAGCCACAGAGAGATTATAGAAAGAACTTTTCAGTGTCAGAGTAGTTAATAAATGGAATTTATTAGGCAGTAATGTGGTGGAGGCTGACTCCATACACAGTTTCAAGTGTAGATATGACAGAGCCCAGTAGGCTCAGGAATCTGTACATCAGTTGATTGACGGTTGAGAGGCGGGACCAAAGAGCCAAAGTTCAACCCTTGCAACCACAACTAGGTTAGTACATACATACATACATAAGATATAAAACAGTGGAGGATTCCCAGGTAGAACAATCAACCACAATGCCCATTACCCCTTTACCCTGATGTCCTTAACTACACAACTATACAAGAGTCATTAACACGTGTAATGGCTGATCCCCCATCACGATAGCATAAAGACCAATTGCCTGACCCGCAGTCCGTCTTGCTCCTCAAATAATTTTCGGGTTAACATGAAAACGTCTCTCGAGATTATCTTTCTAATGTTGTTTTCCCATCTTTCATTTTATCAGCTTAGTTCCTTTATTATGCCCCAATTACTCATCCCTTGAGCGGTAGTTAAACTGAACCCAAATTTTAAAAAAGTTCCTTTTGCTAAGCAAGCTACAGTCTTGATAAGTCAGATATATTGTTTGTTAACACATTTCTCAACAATGAAGTCAGTTTTATCAAGCTAACATATCCTAACACAACGAGTGAGAGTATTAACTGGTCTAATTATTTTATTAGACCAGTATATATTATTAGATTATACTGGTATATATATATACATATATATATATACCAGTATATATATACATATATATATATACCAGTATATATATATACATATATATATATACCAGTATATATATACAGTATATACCAGTATATATATATACATATATATATATACCAGTATATATATATACATATATATATATACCAGTATATATATATATACATATATATATATATATATATATATATATATATATATATATATATATATATATATATATATATATATATATATATATATATATATATATATGTCGTACCTAATAGCCAGAACGCACTTCTCAGCCTACTATTCAAGGCCCGATTTGCCTAATAAGCCAAGTTTTCATGAATTAATGTTTTTTCGTCTACCTAACCTACCTAACCTAACCTAACCTAGCTTTTATTGGCTACCTAACCTAACCTTACCTATAAATATAGGTTAGGTTAGGTTAGGTAGGGTTGGTTAGGTTCGGTCATATATCTACGTTAATTTTAACTTCAATAAAAAAAAATTGACCTCATACATAGAGAAAAGGGTTGCTTTATCATTTCATAAGAAAAAAAATATAGTAAATATATTAATTCAGGAAAACTTGGCTTATTAGGCAAATCAGGCCTTGAATAGTAGGCTGAGAAGTGAGTTCTGGCTACTAGGTACGACATATATATATATATATATATATATATATATATATATATATATATATATATATATATATATATATATATATATATATATATATATATATATGCATGAGTGTGTGTGTACATGTGTATACAACATTAATAATTTTGTAACTAGCGTCAAACATTGTTATTTGCTTAGCTAAACGAACTAGAGGGTTCAGTTCCTGAACCGATTATGTGCCTCTGTAATCCTTTACACCACGGCCCACGGGATGGGTATGGGGTGCATAATAAAGAAAGAAATAGAAGAAATTGAAATTGCATAATACGGTTATTGACATTCAATAATAGTAAGATAAAGCAATGAGGACCAAATGGGAGACCAGTGATCAGATGAATATTACAGACTCAAGGGTAGCCTTCTCTTCTTGTATATAAATGAAAAAATAAATTCATTTGTTTAATTCTAATGCTTGTAGGCGAGAACAGTTGTGAACGCCAGCTAGCGCACAAGTACATGAGCGCCCAAAATACTTTTACACAAAAGACATGTACAGACAGGCGTGTGGCTTCTGACTTCTTTTTTATTGATTAATATTAAATATTAGGCGCTTACCTATAATAGTTATCATTTTATACAAGTATAACTCTCACATAATAAATATAAAAGGAGTTTATCTAAAAACTGACAGAAGTGTTGTGTTTTGTGCGTTGTATCGTGTTTGTGGGTATTCGGGTGTGTTGTGTTTACGCTGGCGGGCGGCGTCCTTACCAACTCCGGATTATGTCTATTACATCACTAAACTTCATTTAATAACTATATGCCTGTTAAATAGAAGATTTTAATTGTTAATAGCATTATATTGTCGTTTTAATGTGGAACACGTACACATATGCGAAACATCGAAAGCTGGTGTCCGAAGTGGTAAAAATATTAGTGTGCGATGTTGTCAATGTACGGAGTGTCTTGTATCCGTTTACATTGGTGTGTGTTGTTTACACTAGCGTGTATTGTTTACATTGGCGTGTGTTGCTTCTTTTATGAAGGCCAAGTCATGTATATCGCTTCAATCAATAATTATATATGTGTGTGCAAAGAAAATTATAAGTTAATAGCATATTTTTAGTTGTAAAGTAGGCCAAGCATATCTCCCTAGTGACAGTACTGGGCCGTGTCACTCATCCTGAGTGAATATACTGCCATAGGAGCATGTACAATACTCCCCAATAGGAAGAAAACCCGCTGGGTTGTTCATCCTGTCACTTGTACCTGGACGCGCAGTTAAAACTTATAATAATAATAATAATAATTTATTTAGGAACAGTACATACATAATTGCAGCATTACGGTACAAACATTCTGTTAGATTTAAAGATAGCAGTAGTTCATACAATACTTAAAGCCACTAGTACGCATAGCGTTTCGGGCAAATTATCTGTTCTCAAGTTTATAAAAAAAAGATCAGCATAGTGTAAGTACGTTTACCATGCTTTATGTATTGGTGGGAGGGGGGGGGGCATGTTTTACGAAGGAGGTGAGCCTGATATTTAATAAAATATTTCATCTTTAGTTGTAGATCATGATCATTTTGATTGCGGCTATATTTTTGACCCTCTAAATTTTTCATTTTCAGGAAAATGCCTCTTCTCCATCAACCAAGAGGGCTGCTTTGGTCTTGCATTAGCTCGACTAGTGAGATGGTTATAGCACAGACACTTTCTTCACCAGATCATGTGCAGGTTCGTATCGATAGTGGTTATATAGGACTTGTAGTCTGCATTCACTGTAGAAATTCAGGGCATATCTTCATTGGAATCGTTTGCCTGAATTTACATAAGGGCCGGCGGCTTATCAAAGGTTCCCCTATTATTTCCAAGAATTTTTGTTAATTGTATTTTCAGCTGCAGTCTTGGCATTTATGGCTTCAGCGGGTAGACAGTTCCCTGGGTTTATAACCCTATGGGTGAAATTTTTTTTTTTTTTTTTTTGTCCAACATTGCAACTTGTTGAATATGAACCCATTGCCTCTTGTATGCATTTCATTTCACCTTCAGTATGTGCCAAATGCGTACAGTTTAAGTAGCATTGCCCTGAGCCCCAGTGATATACTGTACCAATATTAACAGCAGATGTCCACCTATGAAGCAAATTTCTATACATTTATAATAGACTGCAAAGTAGTGTAACGTACGATTATGTTACGTCGTTGGGTAGATTAGATGCACATTGTTTAGTGAGTTTTCATATTTATTTATTAGTCTTGATTACAGTAGGCGGTGGCATTGTCGTAAACATTCAGACGGTGCTTGGAGCAGAGCAGAGCTGAGTGAGGCCGGAGTCGCAGAGCTCTTATGTGGGAGAGCGTGGCGGCTCGATTGGGAATTGCGAGTGTCTGAACTCGGGGAGCGAGAGCGTGGCGGCTCAATTGGGAATTGCGAGTGTCTGAACTCGGGGAGCGATGCGGTCGTAGTCTGCTGTCTGCTCTGTGTCGAAGCTGTAGCGTCTTGGGTCAATTAGATCTGTACATGCCGAGTGCTACATTGTTAACTGTGGAAATTGTACTGTCCGCTATTCTGATTGATTGATAAAGATTAAGTCACCCAAAAGGTGGCATGGGCATGAATAGCCTGTAAGTGGTGGCCCTTTTGAGCCATTACCAGTATCAAGAGCTGATACTGGAAATCTGTGGAGGTACGTCTGCACCCTGCATGGCGGGAGATGTCTCCCATGCCGCTATTCCTCATATTACTTGCTTATATGGTGACTACACCTCAGCTCCCTCCGACAAGATGAGAAGAGTATTACCTGTAATTGGGGAAAGGATTGTAGCTTCTAAAATTAGTGCTAATTAGTTATGCTATTAAGATAATGAGATAATGGAGCAAGTATAAAATTTACTTGCTACAGTAGTAATTGTAATCTTACACCTACTTGCCTTCCAGGAGGTAAGCACACGCATGTTGCTTCACAAGTACCTGGCTCCCATGCTGATGCAGGATGTACTCGGTTGTGTCCTACGACGGCTTGCTATTCACCATTCAGCTCAAGCCTCGCCTACCGTCATTTCTTGTCTTTTGCGCATTCTTCTTCATCCTCGGTGAGTTTTAAAGGTCCTGGGATTTTACAAATGGAAAGTGGAAATTCAAGAAATTACAAGAATTTTTGCATTTTGTCATAACAATGTTTTCAGTTTTCAGTAGATATATGAAAATGCAGACAAATATACAGTACTGTACGTACATGTAAAAGTGTGTGTGAATTAAATTTGAATTAAGGATTATAGTGGAGAATGTATTATATAAAGTAGGGTATTTTTTTGAGAGAGAGATTAAAGATATCCATCTTTAGAAGGACATAGCTACTCTGGAGAAAGTACAACACCAGGCAACAAAAATCATTCCAGAGCTAAGTCATCTCTCGTATCAGAACTGTTGAGCACCACAGGTCTAACAACAGTGCAGCCCAGGCATGACAGGGTAGATCTTATTGAAACTTTTATTCAAAAGGTCAGATGTAATACAAACAAGAAGCAACGGTTTCAAGCTCGACAATCCTCAGTGTAAAACTGAAAACAGAAGATGCTTTTTCACCCGCAGGTCATAAACCCATGGAACTGCTTACCCCCCTAAAGCCACAAACGGCAAAACTCTGTTAGGTTTTAAAATCCACCTAGAAAGGATCATCACGTCAAATGGAGGGACCTTCAACAAGCCACCGGCTTCCTGTCCTCATCGAAGCCATTAGTGTTAATGGCCATCGGGTAAATCAGGTAATCTCTTACATCTGTGCATATTTCGTTTGTAGGTATACAGTATAATAAATAGCTCACAGTATGAACATCTGGTTGAGTAAAGACCATTAGTAATGATATTTTAACATTTTTCTTATGTTTATTTTTTATTTGCAGAATAACAGATCTCCAGCTCTCAGATCTAAGTTATGTTGGCTCTGTAGAATTAGAAACCTTGGATAAAGTAGAGTTAACATTGATGAAACTGTTGCCTTCTATGACACAGTTAACACAGTTAAACTTATCTACTCATCTGAACAAAATCACACTTCCATCATGCTCCTCTGGGATACTGGAAATCTTGGGACGCTCATGCCCTAACCTAACACTTCTGAACCTAAACAGTAACAACCGTGTAAGTGGAGAAGGATTGCTTCATCTGTATCCAACAGACAATCAACCTGGATGTATCAAGTTAGAAAAACTCTTTATTCAGGACTGTAGTGTTGATCCAGAAGATGTAGCAATGCTTATTCATTTTTTCCCAAATTTGCAAATAGTAGGGTACAAAGAACTTGGGACATCATTACAGATACTGAAATCACAGCCCAAAAAATTTGGTCGTAGAAGACGACGCTGGCAGTATTGCCTAAAGCTTACTCACGTTGATAATACTTCGTCAAGAGCACAAAAATGTGATGGTGAAATAGTGGATTTTGTATGTGAAACATGTCCAGATATAGAGAATTTAAAAGTCCGTGTGTGTGATGAAGATGTAGAAGGACTTGGAAATTTAGCCAAACTTAAGCACTTGGAGCTCCGCTTTTACACAGGAGTGCATCATCCCATTGGCCGCTCTACAGAAAACTACTTTAAGACCCATGGTTGTCATTTGGCGTCTCTCACAATATACTGCAACCGTCTACATTCTAACTATGTGCAGATTATAGCTGAAAACTGCTACAACTTGACAAAACTGTTCTTGCATGCAAATGTATCTGTTGTTGATAGATCACTCAAGAACAGCTGCAACAAGCTACAAAAGTTGGAGGTAAGAAGCTTTCTTTGCCATTTTCTTTAATATATCAATACAGTACTTGTAATTTTAAGTGATTACAATTTTTAACATTTCTGCCTTGCAAAGTGCCATATGACAAAGATTATAAGGAAGACAGGTCACCACAACATAGCTTTCATCCTGCATCTACATCTTGGTAAAGATTCTTCAATAATCTCTCACCCATTCCAATAAACTTAGTTATTCAATACAGTTTTAAGTCTATTTTGAATGTAATAACTTTGAGTCATGGTAACCAGCAAGTTTTACTTCAAAGAAAATATGAGCATTCATGTCAAAACATGAGATAGCTTTCATACACTTGCGTTGTTGTGTGTATCAACACACAACAACATTGGGCTGCAGGGCAAGGCCGTAATAAAGCTGATAATACAGTACTGTACCTGCTTTTTCCTTTTCTGTGACTACAGTATTTACACTCGGAGAACCAATCCAACACATTTTTATTCACTACAAAGAAAAAAAAATTGATTATATATTATAATGTATGTATTAGAATATGTATTATGTTGAATATAAAAACAAGGAATTCCATTTGTATCAATGTTTCATTTGTATTTCAGGTCTTGAGCTTACGATTAGGACATGACGAGCTTATCATGAGTCCCACAGCCTGTGACTTGGTATTTTTCTTATTGAGGGAAGCTCACTACCTTCAAGAGTTGTACTTATTGGTGCGCTCCCATGCTGTTCATCATGGTTTCATAACCAAGCTTTTGGTTATTAATAAACTTTCACATTTAAAGGTTTGTAAAGTCAGTTTTCTCTGTAAATTGTTCTAATGAATATGCAAGGCATTGGCATGTTGGGAGCATGTTAAGTGGCATTGTAGTACAGTTCACTTTGGTCGTGACTAACAATTGGGATTCCTAGGTAGGACAGAAATTGTTTGACCTGATTCCTTTCACCCAATGCACCTGTTCAAATTCAAGTAAGTTTATTGAGGTAATGAAATACATCTCCAATGGATAGAATAGCTTGGGCTATTTCTACCCCCTGTTTTCCTCTGTTCACATAGCAGTAAATAGTATCTGGGAGACAGGCAGCTGTTGTGGGGTTAGATCCTAGGGAGAATCAGTAACAGGACCCTAGAAAGGGTCCAAAGTGTTGAATTTGGCCTCAGGTCGGGCTTGGGAAGTAGAGGAACTCCTGAAACCCTCTTCTGGTATGCTCTAGGACCTGGGGGGGGGGTGGGAGAGTGATACAAGCTTAAACTATATACATTTTGTATACATACACAGGCTTCCTGTTCCCAACAAACGTAATTAAATTCAGTGAACTGGATTATCCCTTTGGTTCATTATTTGGTTACTGTACTTTAAATGTACATTTGTATATCAGTGTGTGTATACAGTATTAAGACTGTACCCTATTTTTACTCAAGTGTTCATTGCATCCCAAGCAGTAATGATAATTTTACTTGGTCTACCTAAAATTAATATACAACTAGAATGTCCTATAGAATCTAGATTGATGTACTGTAATACATTACCTATTTACAATGTAGAATGACTGTAACAGCCTATGCAGTACACTAACTGATTTTGTATTTGTGAAATCTCTAGAAATGAAGAAATGTCAATACAGTACTTTAATTATCTTCATAAGAATTCATAGGTGATTTATTAACCGATGAATGAATTTATTCACTGAAGAATGAATTTATTCATTCTACAGTGAATACAACTAATGTTGTATTGTAATAATTTAATTGGCAAATACATAATATAGTAACTGTAGTGATGGTAACAGTCGATTGTTAATTTTGTACATAGATGTTAATAGGCATAATTGTTTTTATTGGCAATAAACTTTTTCCAGGAATGTTAAAAGTTTTAAGGATTACGATTTTTTTTTCAGAAATTTAGAAAAGAAAGACATAATTTTGCTATTTTGGAGGGTAGGAGGGGAATGATCATAGGAACGTTACCAGGGACAATTGGGATGCAGGAAATTGCTTGCGAGTTTGAGTGTTGAGCAAGATTGGATTATGATTCCATATACTGTATATCTTCCAAACAGATGTTAATAGCAGATGTTGCTCGGAGAACTTTATCAGTTCCAATGCTGGAGTTGACAATAGAGACTGCTTTCCTACTTATCGACACCTGCCCACATTTGCAACTATTGGGCAATTTAATTTGCTGGAATGTAACACCTGAAGAGGTTAGTTGCTTTTCCTTGCCTTGATGACCTTGCTAGTTACCAACTTTGAAGTTAAGCTGTTGGAATGTATTTGGTAGTTTCATCCACTGGTTTTAATATTTGGTATACACTAAAAATAGTTCCCCCTTAACCATTTTTTTTTAAGAAAATGGTTAGTATTTATTTATGAAATATATTTTTATTAACTAAGGCTGTTCTAGTATGTTATATATAAATAATATTTTGAAATGCTTTATTACACACCCTATCACTCCCCCCCCCCTCTCCTTGCCGCACCACACACCCTAACACACCATCTCTTTTCCCCACCACATACACCCTATCACCCCCTCTTCTTGCCCCACCACATACACCCTATTGCCCCCCTCTCCTTGCCCCACCACATACACCCTAACACCCCCTCTCTTTCCCCCCACCACATACTGTACACCCGATCACCCCTTCTCCTTGCCCCACCACACATCCTAACACCCCCCCATTCTCTTTCCCCCCCCACCAAATGCCCCCCTTTCCTTTCCCCCCCCATCACATACACACACCTGTAGGAAATATTCTTATTTCCTACAGGTGTGTGTAATTTCTGTTCTTAACAGAAATTAAGGCCAAATGAGATAAAGGTAAGTAGGGTAAGTTTTGGGCTTAAAACAAAAGCCCAAAACTGTTGGGCTTAAACAAAAGCCCAAAACTGTTGGGCTTTTGTTGTGGTGCTCGGTCACCTGCCTTTTTTGGAGCTTATAACACTTACATCGTTGGATAAAATGAAACCACGAAAATACCAGAAGTTCTTCACATATACTGCAGTACCACGTTGAAATATGAAAGATATCCAAAAAGAAAGAATTCAGTTAAAAATTAGAACTTTAAATTTGTTATGAGTTTTAATTTTAAAATTAAAACAAAATCACACTCTTACAGAAATATAAGTACAGTATATAGATTTATCAGTTATAAGGTTCAGTACATATTACATTTGATGTACTTTGTTCTCTTTTTATTATCAGGCTAATATATGGTTTTTAAACTGTAGAACAGCACAAGGATATACACACCTAGAAAGGTGCATTATGGGTAAAAAAAATAATTGAGACGTTACATACAGTGCCATTAGAATTCAAACATTGGTGCTAAGCCACCAAATCCAAGCTTCTTCAAATCAATTGAAAAAGCCATAGACATAAATATAAAAGCCATTAAAAGCCATTTTAAACACTCGGTGATTCCCAAGAAATGAGCTGCCGAACATAGTGGTGGCTGATGCTGGTTCCCAGCCAAAGGTAAATCTATCCCCCAAGAAAGTACATTAAAACATAGAAATATAGAACACTGCAGAAGGCCTATTGGCCCATATGATGGCATGCCTATTTATACCTTATCAAACTCATGTATATAGAGTACTGTATCTAACCTATGCTTGAATCATTCTGGTGATCTCATACCTGTTGGCTACTTGAAGCCAGTTGGTTTTCAGAACTTTTACAAACATTTTTACGATTATCATTTAGAGTGTATTAGCAGTTACTCTGGTAAAAATCTGTCAAAATTGACCAGTGCTTCAGGGACTTTTATAAATGTACTTAATTATTGCAGTCTCTGTGCAAAATATTATTGGAACGCACTTCTTTTGAGTTTGTACATAGTCAGAAAAAGGGATATTGCTATATGTAGTTTGTACAGAGAAGGTAATTTGTTGTGGCATTCAGTTTTTAGCAGCAATGAAGAAATGAGTGTAATAAAGTTTTAGAAGCAAAAAATATAATTAAAAAAATAAAGTTTGTAATAGTATTACTAAAAGGTTTATAAGATTGTTTCAGTTATATTTAATCCCTTTCCCACTCAAAAGATTTTTCTGATATACTGTATTCTCTTTTTAGCTAGTATCATTTACTTACTTGCCCGAGGGCCACCATACATTTAGTGGGCACGATGGGGGCAGGAAGCTGTCGGTTTGTCAAATGTTCCCACCTTTCTTCTGAAAATGTTTTCCGATTGGATTTTGAATTCCAGTAATGTCTTGACATTTAGAGCTTTGGCAAGCAAATGATTCCATGGGTTTATAACCCTATGGGTGAAAAAGCATCTCCTGTTTTCTCCTCTACATTGACTTGTTGAGCTTGAAGCTGTTGCCTCATGAATGTTTTACATGTGATCATTTAAGGAAGTGGTCTGGAACAATATTATTCCTTTTTGTTTAGCATTTTAAAAGTTTCTGAGATCTGCCCTAACATGTCTAGTTTGCAGTGTTATTATTCCCATCTTATTCATGTGGCCCTCAGCCTCTCCAGGTTTGAGAGTCGCATTAGTTCTGGGATTTTTTTTCGCTTTACGTTATACTTTCCCCAAGGCAGAAATGTCCTTCTGAACATGAGGCATTCCTGCTTGGATAAAGTAGTCCAGATAGGGGGCGCACAAGAGATTTGTACAGTTGAATAACTTTCTTCTTTTCCTTGAAGTCAAAGGTTTGTTTCACTATTCCTATAGTTTTTTTTCTGCAGCTCCCACTTGTGCAACTTTCAGTGACTGGTAGATTCTGATTCCTTATGAACAGTATGAACATGAAGCGATGGTTAATCGCACCAACCTTTTCCTATGAATTAATCAATTCAAGAACAGACACTTGTAACTTCATTTCATACATATATACATACATACATAAATACATACATACATATATATATATACATATGCTAGATACATAAATACATATGCTAGATACTTTTGAAGTCCCTGGTGGTGTACTTGTAGCACACTTCGTTCAGGCTTTGTGGGAGTATGCTGAGTATGATATCCAGGCTTTGGGGAGAAGGAAATACTGTAGTCCATTTTGCTACATGTATACTGTATTATCCTGCATGTGGGAAAATTACCTAAAGCCTTTTTTTTGGGTATATAGTATGATAATATGGTTTTGATCTTTCATTCTCCCGGGATTTGTAATTTATGAGGTGCGAGTCAGAAAAAATTAGTGGTATTGCTCTGAATGCAATCTTTTGTTTAATTTAACTGCCTCTTATACTGTACATGTAAATATTGAAATATGAGTGAATATTGGGTAATGTGTGGAGCTTGGATTAATGCGAGGTATTTCCCTCCACAGGTAGCAGAGTTACAGTCGGTGACAAAAATGCGTAACTACAATCTTACAGTTATCTATACACAGTCAAATAAATTGAATGACAAAATACGACAATAAATGTTTAACAGACATACACCAGTAGAATATACATAACATTGTGTAGTACAAGACAGTACTAACATTGTGGTTAGTGCTTTGTTTCAATCTTTAAATAGAAAAAATGGAAATACATTGAGTAATGTTCACCTTAGGCAGTTTGTGATAATTCTATTTTTGTATCAACAAGCTTAGGTATACACAGCAATGTGCTGCTACCCTATTCTATATGAAAGATTACAGAGTGTAGCTCAGAAACTAGCTATAAGTTCATCTAATTTCCCCATCTCATTAGACGGGTTAGTCATACAGGGAATCAGGAGAGAACATGAAATACGAGGCTGATCTATCGGCCTGCATTAGCAAAATTTGGGTAGAGCACAAGAATATCTAATAATATTTGTGAGTGTATGAGGTGGTTACAGAGCTCAAAGTACTTCACTTCATACCATTTGGTCTTAAATCATTGATTACAGGGCTATCACAGATATAGTGTTGGAGAGTATGTCCTAGCTCTTGTTCACATACAGTAGTTTACAATTGGAATGTTCACCATTGGGGGATTTATTACATGTAACCACCTGCCATAAATATTGGTATCCCTGCCTAATTTTGGCAATTACAATGTCACACTGTCTAGTTGATGGTTTGTGCTACCTGTACATAAAGTTCTCAGTTCTAAATATATCATAACTCTATACTAGTGCTCTCTGGCCTCTGAGTGTCAGTGACTGCTCTTCTGCCATCCCTAATTTCTTGAGATACTAAAGCTTTTACAGCAGAGATTGGAATGCCCAGATCCAACTTAATTTCAGGCTTATCACATGCAGTTTTAGCTGCCTTATCCATGCCATCATGCTGGACAACACCTATGTGAGATGGTATCCATACAAATGAGACACTCTTTCTCTGTGCATCATTATTGTTGTTTGTAATGGATGTTACAACATTCCTAGTATCTATTTTGCATGTTGGATTTATAACTGCTTGAAGAGCTGAATTTGACTCCCAGAAAATTATTCTTACACAGTTTCTCAATTTTATATTTGCTGTAAAGTGCAGAAATATTGAGACAGTCTTTGGTGAACTATTTGTGTTGGTTATAACAGTCATATTGGAACACAATTTTAAATAGTTCAGCATTTAGCAGTGCCAGAACAAGTATTTGTGCAAACTTTTAATTTGAGTGAATAATGATAGATTAGGTTATAGTTTTGAGTGTAAATTTTCACATAAGTGCAATTACTCAAGTGTAGTTACGCTCGTGGTATCCCGTCTTCCCAGCACTGTCATATAACGCTTTGAAACTACTGACAGTTTTGGTCTCCACCACCTTCTCACCTAACTTGTTCCAACTGTCTACAACTCTGTTTGCAAAAGGGGAATCTTTTAACATTTCGTCTTTAGCTTTGTTTAGTTACCTAGTTTAAATGTGTGTGTGTGTGTGTATATTTCTATACTGTAATATACTGAGGGCCATCATACATTTAGTGGGCACGATGGGGGCAGGAAGCTGTCGGTTTGTCAAATGTTCCCACATTTCTTCTGAAAATGTTTCTGCATGTGGTGTGACACACACACACACACTTTCAACAGGGTTCCACATAAGAGGTTGTTCTGGAAACAAACATCCTGGAGGAGTGAGTGACAGGGAACAAAATCCAACATGGATGAAATGTTTTCTGACAAATGTGAGAGCAGTAATCATAGGCAGTGTATCTGACTGGAGGAGTGTTACTAGTGAAGTATCACAGGGTTCGTTTCTTGCACCAGTTATGTTCATCATCTACATAAATGATCTACCAGAAGGAATGTAGAATTATATGAACATGTTTGTTGATGATGCTAAGCTACTAGGGAACATAGGAGATCTAGACAGATAGATCTAGATCTAATTGACAACCACTTCAGGACTGGACAGTAGAGTGCTTACTCGCTTCATGCAGGTCAGTGTTCAATCCCCAACTGTCCCAGTGGTTGGGGTACCATTCCTTTTCCCCGTCCCATCCCATTTTGCAGCACCTGACAGCTGAGTGGAGAGCGCTTCGGATTCGTGGTGCTGAGGTTCTGGGTTCGATCCTCGATGGAGGCGGAGACAAATGGGCAAAATGTTTCTTTCGCCTTGATGCCCCCCCCCCCCTATTACCTAGCAGTAAATAGGTTCCTGGGAGTTATACAGCTGCTATGGGCTGCTTCCTGGGGGAGGGGGGTGTAACAAAAAGCAGGCCTGGTCAAGGACCAGGCTGCGGGGACGCTAAGCCCCGAAATCATCTCAAGATAGACAATTGTCATGCCCTTCAAATTGACTTACAGTAGATAAAGTAAGTGCTTGGAGCACCATGTGGCAAATGGAATTCAATATGAATATATGTCATGCTATGGAATGTGGAATAGGAGAAAACAGACCACACTCAACCTTCAAATTATGTGTAAAGGAATTTAGGAACTCTAGCAAAGAGAGAGATCTAAGGGTGGTTCTGGATAGTAAAATGTCACCATAGATAGTGATAGTAGAATGTAGAATGATAGTAGAATATGCGAGGAGCACATGTTGCACTTTCCAACTCTTCACAATTGCTTTTAATTACATGGATGGTGGAATACTAAAGAAGCTGTTCATGCCCTTTGTGAGACCAAAATTGGAATAAGCAGCAGTTGTATGGTGCCCATATCTTAACACTTTCGCGCTCTCGGCGAAGGTCAGGGAGCCAACCGTATGTGCGCGCGGCGTTTTTATCGCTTAAGCGTAAAAACAAAAATGTGTATACTCTTTTTACTCTTCTGACCTTAGTTCTCATGCTACGTATTTCATTTTGGTACCAACGTGTTCGCAATAAAATTCTCTAGAAGAACATCAGTAAAAAAAGTCACGAAAGCTATAGAGATACCAGCACGAAATAAATAACTACGAAGATGAGTCGCCGTGAGCGCCCAACAGCAACAAAATGTTTTTACTCTTGGGATTATTATCACCTCTACAATTGTCCTACAGCCTTAATTTTGGTATCAATGGACTCCCAATGAAATTCCCAACACGGTGATATGAATATAGTCGTAGAATAATGGTCGCGGCCCACCCGCAAGAGTGTGGGAAGTGGGCACACTGTTACCCGGTAACGGTGACCGGACGACACATGCGCGAAATGTTGCTTTGAAAGTTTATACTTATTTCACTGTTCTGATATTATTATTGTATGTATGTCATTCATTTTTGTGGCAATGTTTTCACAATAGAATGTTCTATGAGCTAAATTATACTACACAAACTTGGACCAAATAGGTGTACTTACCAAGGGAAGGCTGGTTGTGGAACAGTAAGTTGAGCATTTGTTCTTCACTCCACCTTCTTCAGATTCTTCATTCCTGAAGATGCTCAACAGATGGTTTGTAGGTGGAGTGAAGCTGTTGCGGGTGGTTACTTCTTCACCACCCAATACACCGTTTTCCGGTGGTAATTGGTGTAGCAGGGAATAACACAGAGTGCAACACCACAGGTCCTGCATCCTATGTTCGTGTCCTTCCTTTTACCGGACCGTGCGCATACATGACACTTGAGACGTTTGGGCAGTCTGTAAATTTCATGTTTCAGTTTTGTGTTCATGCGATTTTCTGAATCAACAATAGGGCCAGGTCTTCTCGCTGGAGGTGAAACATTTGCAGGAGAGTCAGATTCATCTGACAAAACAGTTTCGTCAACTGGCAGTGTGGCAGACATGTCGGGTTCAGATTCGGTGTCTGCTTCATCTTGAGGTGGTGTAGTGAACAAAGGCCGCCTCACACCAGATGGTCCGGGAGTTGGCATGGCGTCAGCATTGGCAGGAGCTGTGTCATCATTTATGTCTGGAGCGTGCCGCAAGTGTTGAGATGATGATGTTGTTTTAGGCCACTGAATCCTCATCACTTATACTTTCAGAATCACTTGGCGCAATTTGTCGTGTGTTCCTACGACGAGCAACATTTCTGGTAGCTACTTTTCTAGGTAGCCTAGATGCACCACGTGTGCGCAGAGATGGAGGAGGAGGAGGGGGTCGCGGTGCCTCCTCTTCCTCGGTGAGGGCCTCAGTCTCCTCATCACTCATTGCCGTATCATTCCCTCTAGGTCTAGGTCCACTATAATCGTTGTGGGTTCCAAAATCTTCCTCCAATACCTCTACATCGCCTTCAGCTTCTGATAAATCCTCCACAAGACCTGGAATTTTCGTTGGTGTGAGCTTCACTCCGCTCCACTTCTTAAAAATCATGGTTATTTTGTCCACTCTCGATGACCTGGAGGCTTCCTTGGGCGTAGAAGTGCTTGGGCCTTGACCTTGATCCATTTTTGATGAAGTAATTGGGTATAATCCACACGCAAACGGGTAAAAATGCTCGAGTTTGGCGCGCAAGGGGAGCGTGATCGACTCACGACACGTGACACGAAAACAATGGGCCCGTCACGTGACCGGGTAGGCCGACGCGCCGGGCGGCCTAGTGGCGAGAAAGAACTTCATGGCGCGTCGTTTGAAACAAACCCCAATGAAATCGGATTAAAATTGAATTTTATACAAATATTTTAAAAGAGGACATAACTTTATGTCCACTATGCGGTAGCGTTAGGCGAAACAGGACGCAGCGGTGCGTCCGGTTAGCACGAAAGTGTTAAGAAGCACATCAATAAACTGGAAAATGTGCAAAGGCATGTTACAAAATGGCATCCAGAATGGAAAAACAAGAGTTACAAAGAGTGGCTAGAGGCATTAAATATGCCAAAGCTAGATGTTAGAAGAAAAAGAAGCAATATGATCACCACTTACAAAATAATAACAGGAATCGACCAAATTGACAGAGTGGAATTACTGAAACCAGCAACCTCAAAAACAAGGGGTCACAGATTAAAGCTAAGGAAACAAAGGCGCCAAAAAAATTATAAAGTTTTCTTTTGCAAACAGAGTGGTAAACGGTAGGATCATATTAAGTGAGAAGGTGGTGGAGGTCAAAACTGTTAGTAGTTTAAAAGTGCTATGTGACAGAGTGCTGGGAAGACGGGTCACCACAAGCGTAACTCTTGCCCTGTAACTACACTTAGGTACACATATACATAAATATATACATACATACTCTGTATGCCCTTTAAAGCAAAATGTTATATACTCACTTTAATGGAACAATTGGTTCCTAACCCTCTTAGTGCAATCAATTTAATCTTTCTTTACCATAATGTCTTTTAACCATAATAACCATAATGTCTACCATAATGTCTTTTCTTTTTATGTCTTTTAATAGTACAAATGAAACATTTATATATATTTTAATATCAAAATTGTATGAAGTATAAATTGTCATCCACACTTCCGTGGAAATAAGCATTCCATTCACCTGGGCTCTAGGAGTCTCGAACCACGGACCCCACGCGTGTGAGGCCGAAGCTCTTTCAACTGGGCTATGAGTAGTCTTAAAAAGGAAAGTTTCCAGAAGCAGCATTCTGCTGCCAAACTGGAAAGTTGAAAATTACAGTTTGGCATCAGGATGCTGCTTCTGAAATCTTTCCTTATTAAGACTACTCATAACCCAATCGATATAGCTTCGGCCTCACACACGTGGGGTCCGTGGCTCGAGACCCATACAGCCCAGGTAAATGGAATTATATGAAGTATATTTTGAATATAAAAATTATGGTTTTCAATGCCAATAAACTCCATGAATGTCTACATTATCTACCCACATACATTAATCTGTTGCATCAATATACAGGATTAATCCTTCTATTGCACCAATAATAACTGGATCAGTCCTTTGGTTGTATTACTGTGATCCTAGCAAGGCTTGATGTATGTGGCTAGGAAAGAGTGGTTTATTTGTTAGTGTTTGAATGAATAAAGCTTATCAAATGCTTTAGCCTGCAGTTGTTGAAATATATAACACCAGTTAACTAAGCATACAACTTGTAATTCTAGTGTTTGGTATGAGGTCTTAACTTTTCATAGCTTGTAACATTGTTACATTCTTAATCATTTATTAATCATCATTTGAAGAAAAAACATAGAGGAAGGGCTATAAAATGGGAATGAAATTTAATAACCATTATCAAATAGGACACAGTGAATATACCAATACAGTTATTATTGTTATTAAAAGGTGCACAAGATTCATTCAAATCTTATGCACCCTGTAGAACAGAATTAAATGCAATTACCTTTAATTGCAACATATTTGAAGTCAGGCATGTGAGTAACTGTCTTATGATAATGCATTTATTTCATGTACAGTATTTTATTTAGAATAATAATAATGATAAGTAATTGTAATGTCCTCCCACAGACATAATAAAATAGGATAAAAACTCACACTTATGTATTTGTGAAATTTATGTAAAGAATATATGTAAATCTTAACATATATTTCACAAATATATAAGTATGGGATTTTATCCTAAATAATGATGATGATAATGTGTATTGAAAAGAATGTGTGTACAAAGAACAGTAAGAGTAGGGTGACTTATGACACATGTAATTAAATAAATCCAGCATTGACTGTAATGAAATGCCCCTCCTCTCTGGGCCCCATGATTTAGAATAAAATAATTTATTGTGATATTAACAATATAACATAATAAGGCCACCAAAAGGTCCCTCCCAGAAGAAACTTTAGTACAGTAAATAATACAAAATAACAATTTTGTACAATAAAGAACAAAAAGGTATTATGAATTGATTTCTACTCTGATACTTAGGTTTTTACAAGACAAACTATGAGGTACTCTCATGTCAAGAGGGTTATGATTTTATATTTTGTTGCTGTTATTTTTGTGAAGTCTTAATACAGTTAAGTACAAAGGCTTTCATAAGTGGTTATGTATTTTGTGTTAAAAACTATTGAACGTAGATTGATTAAATGACATGTTTATCTTAAGGCAAAACTGTGTGTTGTTAATATATTTTTATTGATAAACATAATTTATGTAGAATCAATGATAATTAGTGAAATTTATCATTTGTTATATAATACTTTTACTACAGATTTGTCTGGCATTGTTAGACTTGGTACTGTATCTATTAGTATAGATACAGTACCATTTTATGGTAAATTTGTATATACTGTACATCATTTTCAGAGAGTAGTAATTTATATAACAGGTAGTTTATTTACAGTATTACATTCACATTGAAGTTTCTGCTTGATATAGCATGTCCAACAGCAACTGTCTGGTAGTTTTGCGTATCAAGATAAGGGAGTGCAGGAAAGGTATGAGAGATTAGAGGTGGGGTGCGGAAGATGTGAGGTACAGTATTAGAGGAGGGGTAGAGGAGATGTTGATAGGCATTAGTGAGGATCATAAGTGACTCCTTCACTTTGAATTTAAAAACTAATCCCATTCCATTTTGTTTGGCTTTGTTTTTTGTTTTTGTACCAAATACATACATTAAAGGTGTGTGACAACGTACATGACAATGTTTTAGTCCATCCTGGACAATTATCAAGATATGTGAGGTTAAGTGTCTAATTTTTTAGCCATGTTATTGTTACAGTTCTTATTGTCTTCATAGGATAAGTTAAGTTGCATCATTTTATTTTTCTTGATTCCAGTTCTAGTTATCTATGTGTAACTGTCTATATTTTGTTCATATGCCTCTAATTTGTTATATATGTACTATCTTATTGGCAGATGCTTTATAATACCATGTTTCTCCCTAACACACACTTCTGTACAGGCTGTGTGAGCAGCCCATCCTCTTGAGCATTCACAATGTCACTAAAATAATGTACTAAATTGCCCGAACTTAACCAAGGACTCTACAAGGAATCAGGAGATCTACTGGAATGCTGGAAGATAGCTAATGTATTCCCAATATACAAAAAGGGTGACAGGCAAAAGGCACTGAACTACAGGTCAGTTTCCCTAACTTGTATACCATGCAGGGTGATGGAAAAGATCGTGAGGAAAAGGCTCGTAAAACATCTGGAGGGAAAGAGCTTTGTAACACACCACCAACATGGGATCAGGGATGGTAAATCGTGCCTCACAGGCTTAATAGAATTCTGTGACCAGGTGACAACAATTAAACATGAAAAAGAAGGGTGGGCAGACTGCATTTTCTTGGATTGTCAGACAGCCTTTGATACAATACCCTATGAAAGGCTAGCCAACATAAGAACTGCCTTTAGAAACTTGTGTAAGGAATCGTTCAGGACCTTGTATACCACTTATGTCAGACCAATCCTGGAGTATGCAGCTCCAGCCTAGAGTTCATACCTAGTTAACACAAGACAAAGTTACAGAAATTTCAAAGGCATGCCACCAGACTAGTCCCAGAACTGAGAGGTATGAGCTATGAGGAAAGGCTATTGGAGCTAAACCTTATGTTCCTGGAAGACAGAAGAGTAAAGGGGGAGACATGATAACCACCTACAAAATTCTCAGGGGAATTGACAGGGTGGACAGACAAACTATTTAACATGTTGGAACACAAACAAGGGGACACAGGTGGAAACTTAGTACCCAAATGAGCCACAGAGACATTCGAAAGAATTTTTCAGAGTCAGAGTAGTTAACAAATCGAATGCATTTGGCAGTGATGTGGTAGAGGCAGACTCCATATACAGTTTCAAATGTGGATGTGATAGAACCCAATAGGCTCCAGAATCTGTATACCAGTTGATTGACAGTTGAGAGGCGAGACCAAAGAGTCGAAGCTCGACCCCCGTAATCACAGCTAGGGGAGTACAACTAGTTGAGTACACACATACACATACGTGTGGTTGTATGGGAGGTGTTGCTATGAGCTGGATGAGTACATTTAGAAACAGGTGAGAACTTGGTGAGTGCATTTAGAATACAGGAAATCTGTTAATTTTGCAAGCCACCATATGTACATCTTACTTTTATGTTAGGAATTTACAAGTCAAAATACAGTGCATCATGCAAGAAGACAGGTTGGTTTGAGAGGAGCTGACGACAAAGGAACTTTTGCAGACATGCATCTTGGAGCACTATTTGGCGAGGGGCCATTGTAGGCTTTCTTGGCTTTGAATGCCAATACAAATAATCATATATTTTCTTGTATAGTAGATTGCTACAGCTTGTCAACCTTATGTTTTCACTCTTTTTATCTTCTGACTGTTGAAATGACATTTTGTCCAGTGCTTATTTGTACTGGGTCATTTATATAGATTAACATTTATGGCAGTTTATTGTGAGGGATTTGATGTTTTTTTGTGGGGCAATAATAAGAGGGAATAGTTTAAAAAATGTTTCAGAAATTTATTATTGATTGTTCAACCTTAAAAACAGGTTAATAGTCATGCTAATATGGATAAATTGGCAAGAACTAACAAAGGAGGATGAAATAAACATTATGTTCTACAAACCGGCTACATATAACATTTAGATACATTAAAGACGAAGACTGTTTGCTTGGTACAAATCTGTAAATACACACATCATTAAGAGTATAAAATATGATATTCTTTATGCAAATATGTATTAACTTTCCCTAGTGATAAACTGCAGGCATTTACTGCCATAACAAACGTCTTGGCAAATATCTGAGGTTTATTAAAAGTAGGTTGTATTTGTAAATTTCTAAGATTTAGTAAAAGATTGTATTTAAAGATTATTAATATAAAAATTATTGACTTGTCAAATTGTTTGATTCAACCCAATATTATGGATTATTTTCTCCAATAGGCCTTAATTTTGATCAAACAGATACCGACAACCTTCCATTGTAAATTAAATCTAAATATTATTCTCTTAAAACTAAAGATGACATTTATCTTTTGATGACATTTATATTATCTTATATATTTATCAATGTCTTTTGCAGTGCTTAGTTGATATATTTTAGCCAAATTACAGATGTGCATAGAATCTTTAGGTACATCTTGTTCAGTTCACAGGTATCGATTGAAAAAAAAACAGTTTCAAATATGTGTGTATGTGGTTTGATACTTATTGTATTGCATATAGTGAGACTGATAGAAGGATAGATGTATCTGGCAGCCAAATGTTTAAATAGTTGCACTAGTACAGCTGCTTTCCAGATTTATAGTGGCATTCATCTCTTGTCTGCACTCTGATAGTATGGTCTCCTGTGGAAAACCATCATTTTAGCATTAGAATTAGTTAAAGTGTTTACTGGTATTTAAAATGTATACAATATTCAAATATTAACATTGATGATCTTTGCAGAAAAACACCAATTGATAGTATATATTGCTTGCGAGTTGACTCGTAGGGGGTTCAAGAAACCTACAGTACTTATATACTATTGTTGGAAACAGAAAGCGTGTTCTTAGGATTGTCTCTACCTAGGACAGCCATTGATCCTTCCCAGGATGCAACCTATGACAGATGTCCGCTCGGTCAGCCGAGCGGACAGCACGCTGGACTTGTGATCCTGTGATCCTGGGTTTGATCCCAGGCGCCAGCAAGAAACAATGGGCAGAGTTTCTTTCACCCTATGCCCCTGTTACCTAGCAGTAAAATAGGTACCTGGGTGTTAGTCAGCTGTCACGGGCTGCTTCCAGGGGGTGGAGGCCTGGTCGAGGACCGGGCCGCGGGGACACTAAAAGCCCCGAAATCCTCTCAAGATAACCTCAAGAAGCCAAGGATTTTGGCCCCTGTGCACATAACTAACCTCTTATAAATGGAAAATGAAAGATAAAGTTGCAATGATGTATGAAATATGAGGCTTGAGTGTCACTTTCTATTAAAAATTTAGTTGGAGCGCAATGCATAATTTACCTTCAATCTGTTCAGTGCTGATTTAATGTGTGGGTTGCAAATTTGACAGTTCTTATATTGCTTTCTTTGAGTTTAGCATCCTTGAAATTTATAGTGTTGTTCCTGGTTGCTGTGTATGACATAAGCTTTGTTGATGTTACAGCGTGCAACTTAGGTTTGCATATCCTTGCATCAGAATTTCTGAATTTTGCACTTAGGCTATGTATATATGTCACAACAATCTAAGGTAATGTAAACAACTACTGCAGTGACCGTGTTGAAATAAAATACTGCTTCAGTATTGAACATTATAAAGGAAAATTGAACTTTACAATTCCACATGTTAAGTTAAAACTTAAACAGTAACAACTGACTTGCATAATCTCTCACCTCTCTGACCTTATCACACCGTCACCTCTCCATCCTCACACACCTTAACCTCTCTAGCCAAATTGCATTGCACCTTCACCTCTCCAACAACACCTCTCCAACATCACCTCTCCAACCTCACCACACTGCACCATCACCTCCAACCTCACAACACTGCACCATCACCTCTCCACGTTTTCCTTCATAGAAGCTAATCCTGTGTTTATCTACTCACCTTTGTTTCTCAACATCCTTGCCAACACTTGATTTGATCAGCCAACTATTGTTGAGCTTTTATATAAAATTTTGTAATTACACTACTAAACAAAATATAATTGTACAATATTTTTGGAGAAATATTACTTTAACATTCACTTGCTATATTTGGTTGTTGGGAACTTACTTCCAGAATTGAGAGCATTATAGCTCGAAGCCACGACTGTAACAGGCTCTTGCAGACTTCCGTTTCTTCCTCACATAGCTGTAACCAACATACCCAACACCAGCTGCTACAGTCAGCATGGCTATGATGATACCAGTGATACTTCCAGCACTTGGGGGATCACTTCTCACTGTAGAGTTGAAAAGGTGGCAAGTGGAAATACTGTGCCTTCAGACATACATGCAAAAGAACACTTATAGTGAACAGTACCATGTAAACTGTATTAAGGTATCTTAATGGTTAAAGTCACAAGTGTCATTGACCACTTACACAAAAACACTTCTGACCACTTACAGAAAAACACTTCAAACAAGTTATCTGCTGTATTTGCACATGTAAAGCTATCGTAAAAGAAATAATTTGTTGAAATAGTGTGTGGGGTTGGGTATTTGTTTCAGTTGTGTTATTGACTTATTCTCAACATCTGGTTGAAATATTTTCAATGTGTCAGATGAGAGAAATCTTGGTCCCAGATTTTTGTGAAGTTGCCTATGAGGGATTAAAGCATAAACCAATGGGTGTAGATGGAGTAGCATTTAACGCATTATTCAACTATAGTGGTTTAAGTGGAATATTATGTTCATGAGTTTTAAGAGTGTATCCCCTACTATAACCTGTATTAAAATATAAAACAGGAGGAAGTAATAAATTTATATTGTAAGAATATATAAGTTATTTGTTAAACTGTACTTTGTTGAGTCTTAAGCCACTTCTTCGCTGTGATGTCTTGAGAGGTAACAATCAAAGATATCTGGCTCTTTTCTAACATTTATCTTGTAATTAAATACAAAACTAATAAATTTCTTTGCTATATTTTGCCTGAATTTATTTAAAATTGAAAGTAACTGCAGAAAAATTAATTTAGTAGTTTACCATTATTCTCATAAAATCATACAGTATTTATAGAGTACCCTAAAACAAAATTACAGTGTCTAAACTTACAAAGCTAAGGTACATTTAGAAAAATATTTGGTACAACTAGTATAGAAATGAAGAAATGCCGTATTCATCATTTATACAGTATTTTGGCGCTAGATGAAAAGGTAAACCATAAAGACAATGCGGCACTTTTGTTAGAGAGGATATAAATGAGGTGGTTACAGATTATACAAGGTACACTATTACTTACAGCCTGAAGGATGGGTATTTACAGCAGCTGGGTCGGTAGGCAGAGGAGGGTCAGTAGGCAGAGGAGGCTCAGTAGACACAATGTGTTGAACTGGGGGGGAAAAGTTGATGCCAGTTTGTTTTCTTTAAGACGAATTTAATTCATATGTATTACACAATTTTCTGGGAAAGGGTTCCTTTTGATGGCTTCCTGAGCTTGCCTAACTCAAGAAGCCACCAAAGGGAACCTCCAGAATGAGGTTTTTTCATTACTGGATCTTTATATATTACATCGTATAAAAGTGATGAAGTAGATATTCAATACATGATTAATATTAATGTGAATCATCCATATTAAAAACAAAACTAAGTATGATTTACTTTTCAAGGTTTTACAGGTGAAGGCTAGAGCAATAGAACACGAAATATCATTCCATCGACCCGTCGCAGGAGACGCCTCTGTGCACTGTTCATTTTCACTGTTTGGTTCTCCATTCTCCCAATAGATGAAGTCTAGTGCAGTGTTATCACTCCAGCCATAGCCTTGCATATAAGGAAAGTTAATGCATTATTTTAGCACTGCAGAAGATAGGTGTTTCTGCATAGAATTAATCATGCATATTATTGCCACAAAGATTATCATTAAATGCATAATGAAATCACATTAACATGATGCATCAATGAGAAAGTCAGTAGGAACCATGAGGAGGATCCTAACCCACCCACTCAGTACGCCCCAAGCAAATGGCCTAAACCACAACACCACGACATGGTAAAAGCAATACAACCTGGGATTCAGTGGAATTCCACATTGCATTGTTTCCACCATGTCATGGTGTAGTTGTCTAGGGCACTTGCTTGGGAGTACCAAGTGAGTGGGTTATAATCCTCCCTCATGACTCCTACTGATTTTCTCATTACAAGTAAATATAAATTAAACCACTGTCTGCGCCATAGTTTAATATGACAAGTTCCCGGTGCACCTAAAAAAAATTATTCCCCCCAAATTTAACTTCTTTCAAATAGTGAAAATGCATTCCCTGATCACGGGAAGCTAAAAAAAAATATTGTATGCGACATACTTGAGCCATGATTGAGCAGGGAAGTTGAAAAACTGCATATGTCAGCCTTAGTCACTCTGGCAGTACCAAGAGACTCATAGCCAGGAGAGATGCAGACAATTTTTTTTCAAAATGGCATCTGTTTACCAGAGGACTTGCATAATCCCATTCACATCCTGAGGCACAGGATGTGAATCCTGTGTACCCGTTGGAGTTTTGAATCATTCCCTGTACTGTACCTAGAAATATCCTAAAGGCACACCACCAGTCGAGTGTCTTAAGAAGCTATGTGCAGCGCAGGGGTTAAAGTCAAATACTATACAGTACTGTATTTTTCCCACCCCTCTGTGGGCCAAAAATACAGATATAAAACTTAATGTTGATATTAACTATTTTTGCTGTATTTGTAATAAGAAAAAAGCCAGTTCTTTCCAGTGACCCATTAATAGACCTCTTTCAGAGTTACTCTGTATCAGCCTTACATTAGGAACTCAAAACAAAATGCACACAAGAATTGGACATAATATACTATTCCCAGGATATGAAAAGTTGATGGCTTAAAGTGTGAGATACTCATGATATTTTTGGAACAACTTACCATCCTTCTTTTGCACTAGACCAATCCATACTGGCTCTGTACTGTGATGCATTGCCTTAGTGAGAAAGGCCATTTCTGCTTCTGAGTGGACTGATACCAAGTTAGCATGCTCCTGAATGCAGCTGCATAGAAAGTAAATTAATATTAATTAATCTTGGATACAGAACGTGTATATATTAAATTTTTATTGAAAGTAAGTTCACAAAATATTTTCTAGTATTAGAGTTAACTTCTCATTATCGGTGGTATGGTTTTTTCCCCCCAATTGTTGTTCTCTGTCAGTATCACCCCCATTTAGTTGCACAAGGGTCTTGTAGTACAGTTACCTTCAATCTTAATTCTCATTTGGAGATCCTGGGTTCGTTTAACAGGCAGGACAAGCGGTTTGGCACATTTCTATTCACCTAATGCCTCTGTTCACCTAGCAGTAATAGATGGCCAAAAGTCAGGTAAATGTTGTTGGGTTACATCCTGGAGGGAGGGTCAGTAGTTTGATCTTGGAGGTACTGTATCTCGTTACAAGCCTAAAGTATGTATATTCGCAGACTTCCTGTCCTAGACAAAACCATTTATTATTATATAAATAGAGTGGTACCTCAGCTTACGAATTTAATCCGTTCCCAGAGACGGCTCATAAGCTAAATATTCATAAACTGAAGTGAATTTCCTCATATGAAATAATGTAAATTGAATTAATCTGTTTCAGACTACCCAAAAAATTAACTTCAAAGTAAATTTTACACCTAATTCACCCAAATCTTCAGTACTAAAGTATGTACAAGTTATTACTTACCTTTACTGATGACTCTTGTTGGCATATGGAAGACAGTGAGGAGGGCAGAGGAGGAGAGGTGTTAGTGTTTGGAAGGGAAGTCCCCTTCCATTATAATATCAGGCAATGATGACTTCTCTGGGGTACACACACTGGCACGTTTTGCCTGTATACCACTAGGACCTGCTTGTGGCTCACTGCTTGTTTTTCTCACTAAAAACCTGTCTAGTGACACTTGTTTTTTCCTACATTGTAACACTTGTCTGAAGTGAGACATCACATTGTCATTAAAAAGGTTAACACAAAGGCCTGCAACAGCTTGATTTGGGTGACACTTTTCAGCAAAACTTTGCAATTCTTCCCATACTGCACACATTTTCTTAATACATGAAGTAGGGACATCCTCTACTCTACATCAACAACCCTCATGCCATTTTCATGTGTACGAATGATCTCTTGTTTTTCCTCTATGGTCATTCTCACATGTGTTTTCTTGGCTTGAACCTTAACCCTGGCTTTCTTGGGACCCATGGCGAGATATATATAACAACTTTTATGTTCAACTACCCAAAAATCCAAAAAAACTGTAATTCTTTACAAAGAATTCAGGCACGACTGTCACTAGGCAGGAGGCACTGGTAAACTGAGACACAATCGCCTTCTCAAAGGAGGTAAATGACTTGACTGAAGACTTGTGTGAAGGTGCTTCCTTAGTTTGACTCTTGCTATGGAGGCAGCATTTATAATCTACATTAGTTTAAGCTAGTTTATAGAATACTGTACTATATAGTAATAATATCCCCATGAGTTTCCCATGAAAACAAATACTGTTCTTATTCTAAATTACTGTATTATAATACAAGTACACAGTCTTACAAGATGAAAATACAGTACAGCATTCCCTTACTTCATATTTGCATCCATCCAAGGTTTTCTTTGGGTAGAGATGAGGTAGCAGTAACCACCCCCAAAGTCTAGCCAGCGGCTGTCAGGGCAATAACCTGTTGTTGGAGGGTCTGGGGTTGGCACAGTTCCTGAGTAGGAAATGATCATTTTTATGTATAAAATTTACAATAGAACACATTACAGTGGTTAATTACTAGTACATAAATTGTATATTAATTATAGCCATTAAAATGTGAAGTGTTTTGTGCATAACTTAAAATAGTTCAGTTAATTTATTTGCAAGTTCAATGGTGAGCAAACAATTTGCTTTAAATTAATTTGTTGGGGAGAGTAAGTCTGTGTATATATACACTATATACTATAGACTTGTATTGACATTTCCCCAAGGGTTCAATTCCAGAACAGGACAGATATGGTTGGGCATGTTTCCTTTCAGCTATTGACTCTGTTCACCTAGCAGTCAATAGGTACCCAGGAGTTAGGCAACTGTTATGGGATTGCATCCTGCAGAGGGTTTGTAGTTTGACCTTGAGGATGGGGGGACCTTGATACACTAGCTTCCTGTCCCTGACAAAACAAATAACAGTTGACTAACTCCAGGTTGTCTATCTACTGCTAGGTGAATGTAGGCATCAGAATGGAAGGAAACTTGCCCAAATGTCTCGCCCTGCATCTGACCCCAGAACCATAAAATCAGTCATGCAGTCACTATCCTTATCAATCATCAGCACTACATGTGTGTATCATAGGAGTGCACATAAAGTCATGTCCCTACAGTGGGCTACATCCTCGACTCACAATTTAAGATCCTAGGTTCACTCCCCATGACAGAAAATGTTGGGCACATTCCCTCCCACCTGACGTCTCTTCACCTAGCAGTAAAAAGGTACCCGGGAGTTAGTTATGGTGGGTTGCATCATGTGGAGGGTCAGTTGATCTAAGGGGATCATGGTGAGCCTAAGTACAGGCTTCCCATCCCTGACAATGGGAATTGTGTGCATAAGTAAGTAAGTATCTTGTACCGGAGAATGAGGTTTCTTGTCTTGAGATCAGTTGACACAAAACTCATTTCAACAATGCAAGAACTGAATAACCTCCTTTAGCTATTCTACCTTCTAGACTAGATTACTGTGGGCAATTCAAATACACTGTTAATTTTGCTACATGGTCAGTTCTGCTAGACTAACACTGCTGTGACACTGACAATGTTGCTGCCCTGACAGTGCTGTTGCCCTCATAGTGCTGTTGCCCTCATAGTGCTGCTACATTGTCACCTTCTGATGTTATCAGGAAGACATATTTGCTTTGGAGAAAGTTCTTTCAAGAACACAGCAGTCCCCATGGTGTATTGGTAAGACGCTCGCCTGACATTTCACGAGCGCTTTGTCCTGGGTTTGTATCCTGACCGGGGAGGATTTACTGGGCGTCAATCCTTAACTGTAGCCTCTGTTTACCCAACAGTAAAATGGGTATCTGGTTGTTAAACGATTTAGTGGGTCATATTCCGGGGAATATAAGATTAAGGACTTACTCGAAACGCTATGCATGCTAGTGGCTGTATAAGAGTGTAAGAACTCCTGTATGTATGTATAAATAGATAAAATAAAAACACTACAAACCAGACATGACAGGGCTGATCTCACCGAAACTTAAAATACTGAACAATTTGGAGGATATTGATCCAGACCACTTCTTGAAAAGGTCAAATATAACACATACATTAAGCAGGGGGCTTCAAGTTCAACAAGTCACAATGCAGGACTGAAAACAGGAGACACTTTTCACTCATAGGGTTATAAACCCACAGAATCACCTACTTACTGAAGCCATAAATGTCAAAGCATTACTGCAGTTCAAAATTCAGCAGGATAAAATCAAGAAAAATGTGTGGGTTCTTTAACAAGCAGCCAACTTCCTATCCTCATTAAGGCTACTAAAGAGATGGCTGTTAGGTAAATTCAGGTAAACAGTGCATAATTACTCTTCTGAACAAGGTTGATCCTTTGCCCATGATATTATTCTCTTTTACTGCATTCAGACTTACCATTTTTAAATTTGCAGATGAAAGGACTGGTCTTATTACAGCTTTCATTAAACCACAGACCATTTTCAGTCCTCATTCTAGTGCAGTTATGGTTGCTGAGACTGCTGTTAGGTTCTTCATGGTCCCAGTTGCTATAAAATGGTGGCCATCCATCAGACCACTTGTACACTAGTCCATCCTAGAATTGAGACAGATTTACATATGATTTGGTTAGTAAATATAACTTGTGTCATGGACAGGAATCCTACGTATATGTATGCTTTAGGCTTGTACAGTATTAAGGTCCCCATAAGGTCAAAGTACTGTACTGACCTTCCTCAGGATACATTCTCACAACAATTACCTAACTCTTACCTAACTAACCTATTTACTGCTAGGTGAACAGAGAGGCATTAGGTGAAAGGAAACATACCTAACCATTTCTGTCTCACCCAGGAATCAAACCTAGGATATCCAATTGAGAGTTGAGAACAAAGCAAACTGTAATATGAGAACCTATTTTGAGGTGTAATAAGATGGTTTAAGGAGAAACTTGGGTTAGATAAATATTCTCCATCTTTGTGTATCTGTCTTCTCAACTAATTGTCATTTATTGAAGTTGATTAGGAAAGAGCTGTGACTGTGTTTTTATAAATATATGAAAGTGAATATATTAGTAATAATAATAATACACAGAGAGCAATCATACTGCAATAAAAAAAATCTGTGTTGTGATGCAGATTCAAACCTGGTTGTCAAGGGTGTTTTGCCTGGGTAAGGGGCCTCGGTGCAAGGTTTCGAATCCTCATCACGGCTGCTACTACGATTAATTTTTATTTTGATGATTGATTTTATAATTGCAGATGAAATTAAGAAAAAAATATATACAATTTTATGATATTTAGGTTAGAAACAGCAGTATTCAGTAACATACATACATACATGCATACACATACATACATACTGTACATATATATACCAGAGGATCTCAGTACCTCAGTACTTGAACAGCTCCAAACTCAAACAATTTGGCACTCGAACGCTGTGTTCATGTTCGGTAGTCGACCATTTGTTCGCCACTCAAACGTAAACACGTATCTGTTACAAGTCAGTTTCACAGTAGCTGTTGTTCTGAGCACAACAGCACTAGACTTCTCTAAACTTTCTCATGTTTTCTTGGATATTTTTAATATTCTTAGTGTAAATAAGTTACCATGGCACCTAAGAAAGTTAGTGATAAGAGCCAAGCAAAAAAGAAAAGTAGTTAGAACAACAATAGAGATGAAAAAAAAAGTCATAGCAAAATATGACAGTGGTGTCCGCATGTCTGTTCTTGCTACCGAGTTTGGTATGCCTTAATCTAGTTCTCTAATAAAAGAAATGTGTGCAAAATGGGGGGGGGGATGGGGAAATGTAAAGTGTCTTAAGGGGGAAACAGAAAAAAACAGGAAAGAGAAAGAACCCCAGAAGCACAATTACTTGGTTATTATGGTAAGGGGACTCCTCTGCCAAAGAATAAGATCTCTCTTCCTTTGCCTCATCATCTTCCACATATGCTATCAACTCTCCTAAGTGCAGGTTAAGTGTATACAGTATTTGCATTTATTTAATTTATTTATCAAATTAATATTCAGTATTTATTTTTGTGATCTAGAACAAATTAATACAATTTACATTATTCCTTATGGGAATTTTTTTTTGTACTCAACTTGATCAGCACTCAATTGGTCTTCACGAACCAATTAAGTTTGAGTACCGAGGTTCCACTGTAATGTACCTATGTACCCTCTTTGTAAAATGAATGTTGGTTTCCCATTCTGGAGGACAGGAATGCTGTTAGGCTTATCAAGGTCACCCAAGATCAATGGATTACCAACCACAGGATATAACCAACAAGACCAACTTCCATATTTCTATTTATTTTATAGATATTCATAGGGTTAAAATGTGTGAAGGAGTTTGTACTTGACATATTACTATACAAAAAAATTGAATTCATTTGGTATCAGCAGACAAAATTTTTATATTTTTTAATGAAGAGGAATGAAGTTTAGGTAAATATGGGCAAAGTATATTGAGTCTACAGTTTATATATAGAATTGCACAGAAAATATTTGTAGAAATAACTGTATTACAATGAGAAAACTGATTACTTTACCTGCAAATTATTCAACCCAATCCAAGCATCTATGAACCCGTTTTCTTGAATCAAAATCCACATCTTGACATTCTCTGACAAGTCATGAATAGATGCTAAATGACCTCCCTCACCAATGCAAGTTGCTTCGGCTTCCTGCAGGATAATAAGTATGTAATGCATGATAATATGTATGTAATGAGTAAGCTACTGATGAGTAAGGAAATACATTCAGAGAAAGCAAGAATTGCATAAACAATGACACCTTTATGGCAAGCTTGTATTTTGAGAGCCTTTCAACTCAGTTAATTATCTATATGACACATCTTGAGGTTATCTTGAGATGATTTCGGGGCTTTAGTGTCCCCGTGGCCCGGTCCTCGACCAGGCCTCCACCCCCAGGAAGCAGCCCGTGACAGCTGACTAACACCCAGGTACCTATTTTACTGCTAGGTAACAGGAACATAGGGTGAAAGAAACTGCCCATTGTTTCTCGCCGGCGCCTGGGATTGAACCCAGGACCACAGGATCACAAGTCCAGCGTGCTGTCCGCTCGGCCGACCGGCTCCCTCATGGAAGAGATGTGGCAACAAGGGGCTGGGAGACGAGAATGGAGTGAAGGAATGGTGCTCAACCATTTGGATCATTGTGAATCGAATGCTGATCTTGCAAATAAGAGAGACTATCACTACCAATTAGCCTTTCTTTCCAAGCTTTCTTTCCGAAGTATATCAAGCTTGGCTCCTAGCTCTGCCTTCCGAATGTTCAAAGATTAATGCAATGACGCCTTTCTCTCACTTTTAACATATTTACAATTACAATTTTGAACCAAATTTGCTTTAATGACTTCTGCATCTAATCTATTCCATTTACTGAGAGCTCTAACACTGAAAAAATTCTTCCTGATGTCTCTATGACTCACTTGTGTCTCCAGTTTCTATCTATGACCCCTTGTTCTGTTGTTCCTAGCTTTGAACAATCCTGTTTTGTCTACTTTATCAATTTCCCTCAGAATCTTATATGTTGTAATCATGTCACCCTTATTTCTCCTTTCCTCTAGTGTGGTAAGGTACAGTTCTCTCGATCTTTCCTCATAGCTTATGTCTTACCTGCCACGTCTTGGCATTACTGTCAGGCCTGTAGCAAGCATCATTGAATCTGATGTAATTATTGAAGGGCGGCTCACATGCTGGAGGCGGGGAGCTGGAGGACAGGTCGGGATCTGCGGGCAGTATTGGTAAATTAATATGTATAAATTCAGTAAACTTCAAACAATTCCTTGGTAGTACTGATGAATCAACATTAATCTGAGCCTTTCCAAGTCTGATTAGACATAATGCACATTTAGTTATAAGATCTGCTTGATGAAACATGGAATTAAGAGCAATATTTGTTTAATGATTTCACTTGCATTCTAATTCGGCCATTTGTCAGAGTTCATAGAAAGTTACTGGTATTCACAAAACAGTATTAGTACATTTAGGAAAATTTTACTTATTACTCTAGTTATTCCTAATTCATTCATTGTATTGTATATCTATAAGCAAAGATGAATAAATGCATATCATGACTGCAGGTACACTTTATGACTGGAGGTGTATGTCATCACTACACATGCACATCATGACTGTGGGTGCGCTTCTTGAAAGCAGGCGCACGTCTTGAAAGCGGGTTCACTTTATGACCACAATTACTGTTACTACTACTACTACTGCTTCAACTACTTTACTGCTGCTATTACTTGCATACTAGTGGCCTTTTGAATATGCATTATATGTAACAAATTTATCATATTTTCTACATTTTTAAATAAATCATTATTACTGTTACTGTTCCAACTACTGCTATTAATACTATTGTGACCACTACTGCTATTACTTCTACTACTGTTTCTACTTTAACAAGTAGCACCTACCCACTGGTCTTTGGCATACGTATCCTCTCACCATGTCGCAGTCTATATCATTCCACAGGCCAGCTCGATTGTGTGTCTGTAGTTCCACACAATCCTCTGGGTTCTGTCCTGGTCTCAAAAGCCGCAACTGATGTGTTAAATTTAATAATTAATAATTAATTTTCCCAAGAATGGGAAGCCTATGTATACAGTATATAATAATTATAATAATAATATACTTTAAGCATGTATTGAGGTCCACCAAGGTCGAACTGCTGACCTTCTCCAGGATGCAACCTCACAGCAGGTGCCTAACTTCTAGGTGAATAAAGGCATTAGCTGAAACATGTGGCCAACCATTCCTGTCCCACCGGGAAATTGAACCAGCATTCCCGATTGTGAATCGAGAACGAAACTAATTGTGCTCTGCATCACAGAAGGTGTAATTTATTTAAGATTATGTTAAGTGAGATTTAATAGATGAGGAAATGTGAGCCATTTCATTTTTAGCAATCTAATGGATTGGTTAGAAAATTAGGACTAAGCTATTGGGTAGGTTCCATTACATGCAATAGTGGTTAAGGGTCTTTTTTAGCATATTAGTGATTGGTTTTGTTAACAAGATCTCTCACTTCTTTGAGAAATATGTAAGACCTTGACTCAAATCTTGTTAGCAAATTCATTCATTTGTTAAAAAAAATACATTATTTAGTTCAATGACAGTATTTATAAAATAATTTCTAAACAAGATTCTAAAATATTTTGTTACTAAGATCCTTCACTTGTTTGCTGGTAAAGAAGTGGTGTCTTCTTATAAACAAAAAAATCTTGTTAAACAACAAGTGAGGAGTCCAGTTAACCCTTAAGCCGCAGTTTGCATCCATGAACATTTTCAGTCGATTAGGCTCATTGTGTGACTAGTGTCCATGAATATTTTATCAGGGTTGTTGAAAATCAAGTCTGTGGTTGTTGCCTCCTACTGTGGGGGGGTTCCCAATGGCACCTCATTGGCACCCCATCCCAAATGGCACCCCATTACTGGCACACGAGTAATTTCTCATGTGCCAACCCTAACTCATGTTGTACATTTACTCCACAGGAATCAGTGTGCAAAGTTGGGTGAGGCTAATCCCCAAGTGTCTAGTTTCAAAACCGAGACATTCTAGTTTATAAATATAGATGTGTATCTATATATTATATATACAGTATTTATAACGAAAATCGTATTGCAAAATATATTTTCTTGAAACTCATAAAGGATTCTTTTTATACACAATTACACCCACTGAGACCACAGACTGAACACTGCTCACCATTTTGGCTCCATTGGGCTCGGTGGGGCCCCAGTTGCTATAGGTGAAGGCTGTCTGATCCGCCCACTGGAAGCCCTTTATGTTCCTCAACCCCACCCACACGTTCGTGCCTAATGTTCCCAGGACGACTGTCAGGTAGGCTGTTAGGGAGGAGGACCTGTCAGACATGTAATAAGGTGAAGATAAGCTGTCAAGTTGGTTGTGAGGTGGGAGGGTGCTTTCAAGTTGGTTGTGAGGTGGGAGTTGACAAATAGGTTGTGAGATGGGAGGAAGCTGTCAAGAAAGTTATGAGGAAGGAGCTGTCAAACAGATAGTGAGGTGGAATCAAGGGAGCTGTTAACAAGATTGCAAGGAAATAGGAAGCTGCCAGCTATATGAAGATTTAGTATGATTTTAAGTTTCCTTCAGTCTCATTAACATGAAACATTTAACTCTCAAATCTTGTTTCAATCCAGACAATTGGAGCTTCTCTGACCTTGCTCTACCACTGAGTGGATGCTGGCTAGGTCCACTCCCACATCCATGCCCCTGCAGGCTTCAAGAGCTTCGGTGAATTTCTTCTTCTCTGTAAATATCTGTATACACTTGGTGCCTGTGAAACATATATCAATATGAGAATAAGTTCAACACTGTGAAAAAGGTAATACTGTAAATAAAGTAAATGACAAAATAAACAATGTGTTGACTGAATAGACTTACAGTGCATTCATAAATGCTAGTCTTTAAACAAATAAGTAACATGATGGTGTATGGTCTCAAGAATTCTTCCTTATTTTGTCAATTCCTGTTACTACTTTGTATGTAGTAATCATATCGCCTCTTTTTTTTTCTATGTTCTAGTTTTGGCATATTTAATGCCTCTTACCTCTCCTTTTAGCTCTTGGCTTTCAGTTCTGGAAGCCGTTTAGTTGTGCTTCTTTGCATTTTTTCCAGGTTGTTGATGTGCTTCTTAAGATATTGGGTGTGTGAGTGAATCACAAAGAAATTTACATGTAATAAATAATGTGAAAACTTAAACCATGGGGTTTAAGTTTTTACATTATATTTCACAATAGATATTAAAAGTATTTGATCAGTTTCAGGGCAGTGAATAAATGACACACAGAATAGTGGTGGAGGCTGTCTCATACACATCATCAGATGTAGATGCAACAGGATTTAAAGGGCTTGGGAACTTGTTCACTAGATGATTAAATGTGAGCAGTGGGACCAAAGACCTAAAAATTTAACCCAAAAGGCACATCTGAGTACAGCCACAACCAGTGAGTGATAATTATTAACACAACCACATATCAAAGTCAGTGCCACAACCACAGACTAGGCTCCAAACACAATAACCATAGCTAAACAGAAGAGCACACAGAAAGTAACCCCCTTCCCCTCCATCCACACTGCTCTGATTACATAATAATACTGTAATAATAATAATAATAATGTTTATTCAGGTAAATGCCTAAGCCACAAAAATGCACAATGTTTTAGACAAGATGTGGGAAAAACACTTAGACTAAAACTTAAAACTATTTGCAACTTCCTCCTGTGCTCCAATAATCATATATGATTTTTCCCAATTTATTTATTAACTATTTTTAAACATATACACCTCAATGTAGTACTTTCAAATAGTGTCATTTAAAGGTCAAGGGTAAAGACTCACCTATGTGGGTCCACCCGCTAGGACAGTGGCCGATGGAGACTTCAGTGCTAAGGATGGGGAGATGAGTGGCTCCCTGCAGTCTCTTACACACCCGGCCATATGTCCTGCCACAGTTAGCATCATTCCAGTAGCCATTTTGATGGTTGTGCAGGCTGATACAGTCCTCTTGGTCTATTGAGGAAGTCACAAGCAAAGTTAATCTCTTCCAAGTCAGGTATATTTTGTTTATACAATTACATGCATATTTGTGCTTAGGGGCAGTCCCTCAAGCTTCTTCCCAGAAGGGCTCCTGTGACACTAATCTCCATTAATTATGAATACCCTCAATTGCTATACATGTATTTATTAAACAATAAGCCTCACAATGTCCATAAGTGAAATATTTACCATTACTGCTTCTGCTATATACATAAAGACATAATGGTTGCTGTCTTCTAGTTAATTTATAACTCTCTGAACAACCTCAATGTTGTTCCTGTGATATGCTTGGCCTTCATCTTCCATATGTCGAAGTGGTTTCTCGACCCAAGCCTTATATAATTACCAAAGTGTAATTATCCAAGTGTAGTTACAGGATGAGAGCTACACTTGTGGTGTCCTGTCTTCCCAGTTCTGTCATATAGCACTTTGAAACTACAGGCTTTGGCATCATACATTCAAGGGGGGTAGGCAGATAGGGAAGAGAAACCTGGGCACAGCCAGGTACCTCCTCCCCTTCTAATTTATGAATAAAGGTTATTTGATTTGATTGCATGGATCAGAAATATAGTATTTAAGAGTTGACCCATTCTTGGACCCTGAGTGACTGCAATAGATTGAGAAACTAATTCATGACCAAAAAGATCTGAACTCAAGACCATTAAATCGTGAGCCCGATGCCCAAAACTTACACATGAAGTTGTTTGGTTCTCCTGTGGCCCAATTCACGAAGTTAAACGGTGTGCCATCAATCCACTCGTATCCATGATCCATCTCTGCTCGGCCTCCCACCCACAGTATTTCATCGGAGAGCTGAAATGCCTGGGAAAGGAAAATCAGATACATTAAATGTGAAACTAATACTGTACAGTAATTTTTAAAGTACTGTATGGACACAAAGCAAAAATGGCATACAAATTAAAGGTCCTAAACAATGGTACAGTATGACCTCCCAAATGAGATTAGTGTGTCTTCTAAAAAAACAGTTTAAAAGTGCACTAAGATATACCTATCATTAAGTAACCAGTTTTACTCAATTACCCTATCCTACTTGTGTACCCGTGTTTTGCTAGTTCACTACAGTATTGTGAGCATTAAAAATCAATGATTTGCTAACTCTCTTTAACAACTAAATTTCATCAGCTTGCTTCTTGATTAAAATTAAGTTGTCACCCCATTAAACTTATAAATAGCCAAATTGTTTAGTTATGCCTGAAATTCTGAGTATTGGCTTTTTATATTATACAGTACATTGTGTACCTATGAATACTTAACTGTATCATGTCTCTTAAGCATGTTTATAAATTAAATTTATTATTATTATTATTATTATATTATAGTTTAAGTATATTTTTGAAGGAGCTGTTCTTATAGACTTAAGCTATTGAATCTGACCAACAAAATTAGGTCAATGATTTTGATACAAATCGTCTTCTATTTCGTAGTTTTAAATCTCTTAAAAATTAATTTTACATCTAGAAAGAGCCTGATGCATTTTGCTAAGTTCAGATTTGCATCATACTACCCAAAATTGCCCTATTAGACATAGTAAGCAAGGACTGTTTTGCCAAACAGCCAGAGTGATTTCCTATATTTTAAAGTATCTTTTTAGAAATTAGTCTTCACTTAATACAATTATTCTATTGAATGTATTAATTAATAACTTAATTAGGGCTAGTTTTGAGTGTGTTAGAAAGCGATTTGGCCTAGGTTCGTATCCTGGCTGGGAAGGATTGACTTGGTGCCAATTCTTAACTAAACACCTCTGTTCACCTTGGTTAAACAACCAAGTTATTTAATAATCTGGTTGTTAAATAACCTGGTTGTTTAACAATCTGGTTGTTAAACAATTTGGTGTGTTGTATTCCATGGAAAATGAGATTAAGGACCTGCCCGAAATGCAGTGCGTGCTAGTGGCATTACAAGAATGTAAAAATGCTTGTATATATTAATATAAAAAATTTAAGAAATACAGTACTTGTATTAGACACAGGTTGCATAGTTTTGTTTGAAATTAAATATATTCTGCATTTATGATGCCTTGAATCGTCGACGAACAACAACCAAGAAATTCTCAACATACAAACTGTTGCAAATGGTGCAATGGATCAAATACGTAAGATTCAGGCCGAAGAAACCCCCTCAGCTCAAAGTGACCTCCTTCAAAAGCTGGAAAAACAGATCAATCTCCTTCAGATTCACCAGGCGGCTTCCGAAGATGACCAAGAGCAACAACAACTTCATGACTCCCTGATAATTAGCTCTACTGATCTACCTGATGAACAACAAGGTGAGGATTGCTGCAACATAGCCCACACCCTAATTAATTCAAAGATCAGTGTCAATGTTCAAATCAAATCGGCTATTAGGATAGATAAAAACAATCCCCGTACCAGTAGGAGAATGCTCATCAAACTTGCAAATCCCTCTGCGAAGTTTGACCTCATACAATCAGCTGCTAAGCAAAAAACCAACCTCTATATAAATGAGTGTCTTACAAAGCAGCGTGGATCCCTCCTCTTCAGGCTGCGTCAAATTCACAAACAAAAACCTGGTCTTATCAAGCAGTGCTACACTAGGAATGGTACGATTTTTGCGAAGAAGGAAAGTACAGGAAAAAGATATGAAATAAAATGTGACCAACAACTCCTGGCCTTCTTAAGTGATTGTGGTATATCTGAAAACCTGAACCCGACCAATGCCAGTACTTAAATTAACTCTTTCAGTGCCTGAGCCTAACCTAACTTAATCTAACTTTGTCTAAGGTGCTGTCTCTGCCTTACCATTTACCTAATGTTCTCTCATTCATATAATTTCCTAAATAATCCATCAAGTCTCCATGCACTTATGCAAGCATCTACCTCAGTTTCATTGTAAAATTTTACTCTTAAATCTAATCTTACCCTATTCCATTTATATTTTAAATTTATTTGTATTGATCTATGTCATTTATTGAAATCAATTATTGATCTCATTTTTGTTCTTTTAATTAAGTTCATACTAATTATAAGTTAAAACTAAGCTAAATAAAATTTATTATCTTTAAGATTATTTTACTTTACAATTATCATTTGTCAAATTTTTGTATATACAGTATTCATCTTGACAGTCTCTACTGATTTTTTGTTCTCTCCACCAAACTTGTGTATCTTCCATGGCTATCTAGTGACCTTAATTCTACCTCTAATTGTTTCAATTCTTTTGTTTACTTGCATTTATTGTTGTGTTTTGCCATAATTATTCTCTAATTTAGCAGACTCAATACCTTGTAAGCTCTTATTGTATTGTTATATTATTATATTGTTGTGTTTTGCTATAATTACTTTCTATTTTACAGCAGATTTGTTTTCATCTGTTCCTGTAATTGCTTATCTTATTGTATCGTGACATTCTTATCTATATTGATATATATTATCTATCTATTGTTACTTACAGTGTACCTGAGAGTACTTGTAAGCAATCTACCTCATTTTTCATTTTTGCTCAATTTTTTTTGTATTGCTTAGTCTTGTCTATTTTTTTGTTTTGTATGTCTATATCTTGTGTTTTGTATAGTCCATGTTTATATGTTTTTTCTTTAATCTCATTTATTACCTAGGTTTCCTAGCCTAGCCATACTCCCTTACTCCATTGTACCCCTGTAAGCCCCTTTTGTGTTTGTTTTGTACAGTATTGTGTACATTTTTTTTCCCATAGCTTTTTTACCTTGTTTTGCCTTTTTTCTTGTTTTTCCTGCAATCAGCTTTTTTTATGCAGTCAAGTATAGACCCAGAACTTAACCTCTTATCCACTATCTATGACAATAATCACTTTAATGATCTAAATTGCAGATATTTTGCAGCACATGATGTAAACAATGTATTAACTCATAATCACAATATCTCTGTAATCAATTTGAACGTTAGATCCCTAGGTAAACACTTCGATGATGTTAGTGCCTTGATTGAAGCTACTGACAACAAATTCTCTTTTATTATACTTACTGAAACATGGTTGAAAGATGATACTACTCAACTACTCAACACCAGGAATAAATACAGTTTTGATATTCCTAGAGTACGACTTAATCAAACTAGAAATGCTCTACAAATCAAGGGACCCAGAATGTGGAATGACCTTCCCAACCATGTTAAAGACTGTACCTCTCTCAACCAGTTTAAGATAAAAACTAAACACTACCTAATAAATTCCCTGTAACCCACCTCACTCCTTTATTGTCAACCCATGTCTGTTATTTTATTATTATTATTTTTTTTAATCAACACTGTTTGTCAACCTATTGTATTTGTGCTGCTTTTTCAGTCATGTTCCCCCTTTTTTTTATCTTTATTTGTATTTGTTTTCAACACTTTTTATTCTTTATGCTCAATTAGTATTAAGTTCTAGATATTAATGTTTTTCTTGCCCGAAACGCATTGCGTAATAGTGGCTTTAGGCATTGTATGTACTAGCTCTATCTATATATCAATCCATTAATGTAACATCACTTGTATGTATGTACCTTACCTGAATAAACATATTTATTTATTATTTATTTATTAACTCTTTAACATGCCTAACTACTCAGCAATCCACAACTGTCGTCAACTTCAGAGAGGTGGTGGCACTGCTCTTTACTACCACCAAGAACTAACATGCTTAAAAGAAATTAGAACTAGAGACTGCTATGGGGAGTATATCTTCGCCAGCTTCAGAGTCAAGGGTGCCGAGTCTATCCTGTCTGTGGGTGCAGTTTATAGAATTCCTAACACTGATGTGTCCGAATTCAACTCAAACCTTAGAAATCTAATACTTGATAACAGACTGAACAAAAACCACCTAATTATCGCAGGGGACTTTAATATTGACCTCTGCGAGCCAGAACACCCTACTGCTGTTAGCTTCCTCAACTGTATGAATTCCTGCTTCCTCATACCCTTAATCACTAGACCTACTAGAATCACTGATAGCACTGCCACGACTCTAGATCACATCTGGACAAATATAACCTCTCCGCTTACTTCAGGTATAATCACCGATAGCACTACAGACCATTACCCCACATTTCTCTTAACTAACATTAGCAAACCACCTCTTGAGTCAAGAGAGATACGTTTTAGACTACACAATGAAACTGCTATAGACAATTTTATAACTGCTACTGATAATGTCAACTGGGAGTCCGAGTTAGGTAACATAGAGGACATCAACCTAGCAGTTCAATCTTTTCTTCAAAAAACCCTTAGCCTTTATAATACCCACTGTCCTATGCTTACAAAACAAGTCACAACCAAAAGGCTTAACAATCCCTGGCTTACAAAGGGAATACTTTTAATAAAAAAGGGAATACTATTAATAAAAAACATGACCTTGAGAAAAAGTATAGGTTAGGAATTGTCTCCAAAGAATTCTCAAAGAATTACTCATTATTGCTATCTAAGATAATTAGACGAGCCAAAACTAAATACTACGAAGATAAATTTACCCAAATAAAGAGCAACATTAAACAAACATGGAGAACAATTTCACAAATATTGGGATCAAAGAAGTCTTTAAATAACAAACCGACTCTCCTGTCTAATAACGATGGTCAGCTTTCAGCCTCTGATTCTTCTATTGAGTTCAATAGGTTCTTCTCTTCCATTGGTTCATCCCTTGCTAATGATATTCCATCTTCCAGTACTGACATTAAGGACTATCTTACAGGGAACTATCCCCAGTCTCTGTACCTAAAGCCTATTAATTCCATTGACGTCAATGAGATAATCCTTTCCCTTAAATCCAAGTCTGGTGCCCTTGAGGAGATACCAACTTTAATCTACAAAAAAGCCTCCAGATCTTTAGCCCCTGCTATTGCTTTGCTCTTCAACAAGTCACTTGAACTCCAAACCTTTCCAGATATTCTAAAAAAAGCGAGAGTAACGCCTGTCCACAAATGTGGTGATCTCACAGATGTTAACAACTACAGACCTATATCAATCCTGCCAAACTTGTCAAAAATTTTTTAAAAACTAATCTATAAGCAGCTTTACTCATATCTAGCCAAACTCAATATACTTAGCCCTTGCCAATATGGCTTCAGGCCCAAAAAAAGCACTAACGATGCACTTATTAGTATGCTTAACTCGATTCATACAGCTCTTGATAAAAATGAGTTCCCTGTTGGGTTATTTGTGGACCTGCGTAAAGCTTTCGATACTGTCAACCACCAAAACCTTCTTAAATTACATCATTATGGTGTCAGAGGACACTCCCTACAATACCTCAAATCCTACCTTACTGACAGGCTCCAATGTGTTTCTGTGAATAATACAATTTCTCCCACCCTACCCATCAACATTGGTGTTCCCCAGGGCAGCATACTTGGCCCTCTCCTCTTTCTCATCTACATTAATGACCTTCCAAATGCCTCCCAACACCTCAAACCAATCCTATTTGCTGACGACACAACCTTCATTTACTCCAGTCCTGATCCCCTTGCCCTAAATGCCACAGTAAATACTGAGCTAAATAAAGTCCATCTGTGGCTAACTGCCAACAAACTCACCCTTAACATTGACAAAACTTTCTATATTCTGTTTGGCAATAAATCCTCTAATCAAATAAATCTCAAAATAAACAATACCCAAATTTGTAACAAATTAGATGGCAAATTCCTTGGCATTCTCATTGACCACAAGCTGAATTTCCAGGGACACATTCTAAACATATCAAAAAAAGTTTCAAAAACGGTGGGCATTCTTTCTAAGATCAGATATTATGTACCACGCCCTGCCCTGGTGACTCTCTATTACTCCCTTATCTATCCATATCTCAACTATGGTATTTGTGCTTGGGGCTCTACTACCCAAAATCACTTACGTCCTCTAATTACTCAACACAAAGCTGCTATTAGGACAATATCCAATTCTGGCCCCAGACATCACTCGGTACCCCTACTCAAATCCCTGAATATGTTAGACATTAAGTCACTGCACTGCATTCTCTCATGTGTATTATACATATATAAAACGCTAAACTGTAATGCCAATCCTGATCTCAAAAGCTTCATAGAAGGTTGTAACAGAACCCATGAGCACCACACCAGAAATAAATACAGTTTTGATATTCCTAGAGTACGACTTAATCAAACCAGAAATGCTTTACAAATCAAGGGGGCCAGAATGTGGAATGACCTTCCCAACCATGTTAAAGACAGTACCTCTCTCAACCAGTTTAAGTTAAAAATGAAGCTATACCTAATAAATTCCCTGTAACCTACCTTACCCCTCTATTGTCAACCCATGTATGTTTTTTTTTTTTTTCAAATCAACGCTGTTTTAATGTAATTTTCTGTAATAATTTGTAATTGTATTTGTGCTGCTTTTTCAACAATGTTCCCCCCTCTTTTATCTCTATTTTTATTTGTTCTCAACACATTTTATTCTTTTTACCCATTAGTTTTAAGCTTTAGTCATTAATGTTTTTCCTGCCCGAAACGCTTTGCGTAATAGTGGCTTTAGGCATTGTATGTACTAGCTCTATCTATAAAGCCAACAAACTTTGTAAAATCTCTTTATGTATGTACCTTACTTAAATAAAAAAAATATTATTATTATTATTATTATTATATAATAACTAACAATCTGCAGGTAAAATTGTTTGAAAAACTCCTTTTTTTAACAAAATTGTGTTTGTTAAGCAACTAGTCTTCACAAATAAGGTATTCTGGAGGTAATCCACTCCTTCAGCCTTGTTATATCAGATGCAATCTACAATATTGTGGGTAATAATATTTTATTCAATGGAATCATCAGAGATCACCTCTGTCAACTCATGTTGTAGTTATTTGTTAAAATAAAAACCTTGCTACAATGTACCCTTTCATTTTACCAGATATGTTAGATTAAAGACCTGCCCGAAATGCTGTGTGTGTTAGTGGCTTTGCATCAATGTAAAAATACCAAGCTTATGTAATCTCACCAATCCATTGTACCTTTGCAAGAAGGTACAATGCAAATAAATTATTATTATTATTATAGATGCGAACTTGGCCCTGAAAAATACAAAACTGCTGTCATACTGACCTAATGAAATGTTATTATGCCAAACATACAAAATAAGTAGTAAAATGCATGAACCAAAGCCACCTGCCTAACCCAACCAACCTAAGCATGGAAAATGTGATGTTTGTGAGCTGGTTCAAGTACATTTACTGAGACAATAAGATACAGGTATATCTCAAAAGGATAGAGTAGGTTAGGCTGTTTCTACCCTCCTTGTGAGCTGGTACTTTTCATAGTACCCTACAATACTGCAGACAGCATGCATACATGTATATATGTTCCATTCCAAACAGTATACTGTATATACCACCTGTATGCATTACTCCAAACAGAAGGTGACCTTTGACAAGGCACTAGACAATGGCCCTCAGGTAAATTATGTACCATACCATTTAATGGATGTACCTCTATGCATCTTTCTAAACAGTGGATATACCTGTGAGCCTCACTTCAGATTGTAGCCATACCTTTGATAGTATCCAGTTGTTCTCCTCAGAGCTATGAATGGAAGCCAACTCGGCTTTCTCATCTCTGCAACTTCTGTGAGACCCCCACCAGGTATCGGGGTCTTCGGATTTGGAGAAGAATTTGTAGCAGTAATTCTCGAACAGGTACCAAGAGGGATCATCAGTACACATATTGTCTGGGGTCTGATCATCAGTATTGGGTGTTACCTGATCATTAATCCTCATATTGCCTAGCGTCTGGGTTGGAGGCACTGCTGAAGCCGTTCCTTAGAGAGGCGTGGAACACATGTTACATTATGCTATATAAATATTAGAAGCAAGAGGTTGTAATTGGAAGCATGTTAAACTGGGTGAGAAAATGTGTATCTAAGGCAGAAAAGACAGAAAATAATGGTGAAAAAGAGAGATATGAGAAGTAACATGGATCAGTACTAGAATCTGTACTGTTCCCAATACTGTATATGTTAATGACTTAACTGTGGATATGGAGTATACATGTAAATGTTTGATTAAACAAACTGGAATAGAGAAGACTGGCAGAATGATGTAGGAAACCTTGGGTACTCTTGAATATTATTTTTCCAGTGCCAGTAGGCCCACAAAACATTGCAGTCCAGAGAAGGGGGTATAGTTTCTATATTGTGTAAATTTGTCTATACAGTATAATGCACTCATTATTGATGTGCAACAAACACTGGCACCACTATTCATACAGTAATAAGTGCTGTTCACAGATCTGAAATGGTTTCCCATTATCACGGTTCCCCTAAGGCTTACCCACAACAGTTACCTAACTCCTAGGTTTCTACTGAATAAGATGCACCTCTTTTATTATGATATTTACTGGAAAAACTTATATTAGTATATTTCATTACATTTATTGAGAGGGTTGTTCAAGTAGTTTCGTATGGGAAAACATGATTTTGTGCGCATCAATACAATATACTGTATACATGGTTGTTGGTATTCCAAAAACATCTATTCAAAGACCATATAATATTATGCACAAGTATTATAATATTATCAATGCTTCAGTGGCCCCTGAAGCATTGATGTGATCAGTTGATCAGTGTCAGATCATTTCATGCATATATATTTATATATAATAAGTTTTAGTCTTGTATCGAGGTCCCCTTGAAGTGCTGACCCTCCCCACTCCAACAAAAGCTGCCTAACTCCCAGGTACCTATTTACTGCTTGGTGAACAAAGGCATTAGGTGAAAGGAAGTGTACAACCATTTTTGTCCTGCATGGGAATCGAACCTGGGATCTCTATTTGGTGGAGAACACCATTACCTACAGGTCAGAGCGTAGGCGGGCCATTCATAAAACCTGGTTGTAAACTCAGTAGAGTTGCGGGTTGAATAGCTTTTGTCCTATCATGGCAGAGTGGGTTAAGGCTAGTGTATGGTACTCACTAGAATGCTGGTTCAAATCCCCATATTGCTCCAAATGATCTTTTTCAATAGTTGACATTAAAGAAATGAGAAATACAGTATTGCCTGAAATGTTAGGAAAATGAAAAATATTACCTGAAATGTTATGGAAATGGGAAATATTGTTCAAAATATTATGGAATAAATTGAAAAATATTAAGGAATAATGTTCAAAATATTAAGGAATAATGTTCAAAATATTAAGAAATATATACTTAATATTATGGAATTATAGCTGAGATATTAGGGAAATGAGGGATAACAGTCGACATATTAGGGAAATGAAGAATAAAGCAGAAATATTAGGGGGAATAATAGCCAAACTATTAGGGAAATGGGAATATTAGCCAAAATATTAGGGAAATGGGAATATTAGCCAAAATATTAAGGGATGGAATTTAATTGCGGTCAGGTAAAGGTATCACCTGGTATCTTCTCACACACGAATGGTAATTCCTCGTCACAGACTACAAAAGATAACTTGAACCTAGTCATTTCTGCTGAGACGCAGGGCCCTCTGAAGTCACTCAGCCCATCAGGATTGTAGTAGCTGTATCTCTGCCTTTGGTCTGGAAATAGAGAAAAGGTATACATTTATATTAACCTTTTATGAAACAGGTTTAGGTTATAAAGGTAAATTATCATTCCAAGATACAGCCAAGAGACCAAGAGGCAGAATCGTGTTCATACCTAGAAATGCAAGTTACTCACAGCAGGATTGCAGTTTGATGCTCTAAAGACCAAGACAGATGTTCTTATTAATTGAATTAAATTTAAAGTTCTAAATTGGAACATGAGGATCTTAAGATTAGAGAAGTCTTATTTATTTACATACACAGTATACAAGAAGGTACAATGAGTTGTGAAAGTACTGTACATATTTTAGTGATTAAGTGGTATATTCTTGCAAGTCACTAACACGCATAGCATTACAGGCAGGTCTTAAAAGCCAACACAAAACATGCAGTTAATTTTAAATTACTGGGTGAAAAAGTCTTGAACAACATGTGATCAAGAAAACAAAAATTAATTCTATATTAATAGATACATTGTTATTGAAAAATGACAAACTGCTACTTTAATAGAGAAGGCTGTTCTCTATTTTGGAAAAAAAAAAACTATTGAGGTGGCCTATGGGATTAGTGTCATGGACATCATTATAAGTTTCCATGGTAACATGGCCAAGTCTTTGGTTACAAAGGTTCAACCCGAAGTGGATGCACCTGGAATCGAAGAGTGTTAGGAGGCAATGTAATTATTAGGAGAAAGCGTTAAGGCAGTATGACTAGCCACTTGGATGGGATAGGAGGACAAGGAGCAGGGTTAGGGGTACATAGGCACAATCCTTACACATAGGCATAATCCCTACACATAGGCACAATCTCGCACAATCAGAGAACACTGTATAAACATCAGAGGTCCACGGTTGTTCAACACCCTCCCAGCGAGCATAAGAAATATTGCCGGAACAACCGTGGACATCTTCAAGAGGAAACTTAGATTTATTCCTCCAAGGAGTGCCGGACCAACCGGCTGTGGTGGGTATGTGGGCCTGCAGGCCGCTCCAAGCAACAACCTGGTGGACCAAACTCTCACAAGTCATGCCTGGCCTCGGGCTGGGCTTGGGGAGTAGAAGAACTACTCCCAAAAAGAGTAGTTCTTTTACTCAAAGACCCAAAACAGAAAATGGGGCAGTATGTCAATTTCGTGAGCCGCTTCCATTTTCTAGTACGACAATTTTTGGCCTTAGGTCGAGTATATGTCAAAATGCTACATTCCATTAGGAAGGCGGGTTGAATCTGATCTTGCATACAAAAACGTTTTGGTCTCGTATACAGAGGCAGCTAGCTATTGATGCTAAAGACTGAAACGGTACTTCTCCATACCCATGCTAAGGTCTATTTTTAATCCGACCCAGACTGTTGAGTTGCGGCTTATGACGTGGGTGAATCCGAGAAGTCTGTCGGGAAAAAGAGAGAAAGCCATAAATTATATAAATAAGGGCAAGTTATGTATGTCAAACCAAAGTTGCCAAATTCTGTTGAGTATGAAAAATGTTTCATAGAAGTAACGTTTCTTTGAGGGTCCTGTAATTTAGTCTGTTCATAACCAAAAGAGCCTGGGTTTGATCCCTTGCGGCAGGACAGAGACGTTCGGGCATTTTTTTTTTATTTGATGAGTTCAAGTTCAAATATGTTCATTGAGACAAGAAAATACATCCCAAAGGGATAGAGTAGCTTAGGCTATTTCTACCTCTCTCTACTTTAAGTCCCTCAAGGGACGCATGAATTCAGTGAGTACAAATCCACAAATCGCAGTATAAGAATCCCTTTTAACACTGCAGGTTAATATAGTTAGCACAGCATATAAGTGTTACACTCTTGGGGCAAAATGCTTGTAGCTCCTAAATATTCTATTATACCATGAGGCTGTTCACCTAGCAGTAAATAGATATCTGGGAGTCACGCAAATGTTGTGGGTTTCATCCTTGGGAAGGTCAGTAGTTGAGCTAAGATCCTAAGGAGACCTCAATAAGCTTAACATACAGTAGAAAGAAGTTGAATAGAAACAAAATGAGAGATTGCAATCCTTCAGAAAATGAGGACTTGCAGTACGAATCAAGTTTGCAATCTGTCTTCAGGCTAGGGTCGTCTAGGCGGCGGCCAACCTCAAATGTGTGTTCATAAATTGTAACTTTTGTTGCACTTTCAATATAACAATTATCTCAACTATAAATTATTATACATTAGTGTATTGTGTATACTTAAGCGTTGGTTAGAAGTTAAGGCTCTTTTGCAACTTTGTATTTGTGGTATGGGGGTGAGGTATTTCAACCTGTCCTCAGGTTAGGCTCGTTAAAGTGGGGGTCAACCCCCAAGACGCATTCATAATTTTTAACATAATGTGTATTTAAAACAGGTTTGTTCTCATATATAGATTAACATTATTCATTAAAGTTCTATGTATAGTTAAGCATAGGTAATGTTAGGTATTTAGGTTCTCTTGGCAACTATTTATATTTGCAGTACATGGGTGAAACATTTACAGAGTTACGTTTCGAACAGAGGTCATCAGCGAAGCACTGTTTGAGCAATCTTCGAACGTCATCAGTTGACTTGTGTGTAAAGTGTTTTTCCATTCATAAATAGGGGGTTTGGCAGCTGGATTAACGAGCCGTTGGCCTTTGTTGACGAGGACGGGCTGCAAGTCTGACAAAACAATGATTCCTACACTACAGACTAATATTTGGTACAATAATTGAGACTTAGAGAATAATTCCCGTTTGTGGGGAAAAGTAGACCTTTTCTTAAGTTTATTGGGGTTCCGTTAGTGCAGTGGTTCTGAACTTTTCATGTCTCATTCCTCCTACAACTACGTTCTCATCTGTGGACCCCCCCCCTCCCTCTCCAACTACATTCTCACCTGTGAACCACTCTTCCCCTACAACCACGTTCTCACCTGTGGACTCCAACAACAAAGGTACATTGAGCTACCAAAATTGACAGTAGCCAGTGCTGCGAGAAATACATAATCATATGTTAAAAGGCCTGTATTTTTATTCTGTTAAAATTACACGTGAACAATAATAGGAGTCATTTAATTCAATACACATAGGTGGTTCAAATCTTGTTAGATAATAGTATATATATTTAGCTACATAGACCCCTTTGAAATTGTTTGAAATTCTCATTCGGAAACCACAGGCCAAATTCAACTACTGGCCTTCACAGTGCTGCAACCCCACATCAGTTGCCTAACTACCGGGTACATGTTTTACTATTAGGTGAACAGGCCCATTAGGCGAAAGGAAGCATGCCCAAGCATTTCTGCTATACTCAGGGACTGAACCCAGGTCCTTTGATTGAGAGCCAAGGACGTAGACTGCTGTGCTACAAGACCCCAGTGTTGAATATATAAATATTTACCTAAATGTAATCAAGAATGTACATTACAATATAAGTTATTAATTTCTTAAAGTTTCGTTATAGAAAAGTATATTAAATTATTTTATGATGCAAGCACAGAAGGCATAACTGAACTCTGCATACAGACCCGAGCAACAGTATACAAAATTAGCAAGATTATGTTGCACTATTAATCCAGCGGGTCAAATATTCTCGTGAAATGTTAAATTAATGTTGAATCAACGTTATCAGTGTTGAGTCATTGTTAGTGATATAATTTGTCTAGATTTGTCATGGATTGGGGGGGATCATGTGACCTTGAAAAGAGGTAGTGGAGGCAGCATTTGTATAATCTATGTACAGAGGAATGTCTGTCTGAGGTTGGAGGCTAGATGCTTGCAATTGGCCTCATGCAACATTGCATGGTGATTTGTGATTGCATGGGGAGTCATAGGTGAATAAGGGTCAACAATCCCCCCCCCCCCTACTCATGCCCCTCTGTTAGTAGAACTGGTTCCTTTTCCAATACCCAATGACTGCTAGGAAGTAAAATGAGGGTTTGATTTTCCATAGAGTTTTCCATCAGATTTTTCAGCTATTGAGTGCAGACTACGTATCACATGCAGTACATGGCTAGCCCCGGGCCAGGCTTTGGGAGTAGTAGAACTCCCAGAACCCCATCCAGGTACAAACTAATTTACGCATTCGTATATGTAAATTACAAGAAAGGCGAGAACCAGTTGATAAAGTGCAATAAAACTTTGTTTAGAGCACATTGAAATCCACCAGTGTCACAAAATTCGTATACAAATACAGGGTAAATTGCTGTAAATGATAATTTTAAAAGCTCAGCCTAAAACTGAAACTGGGTACTCACTTCGGCATGATCTGGCGGAGGGCGTCTCGTTGACTAGCCAGTTGTCCGCCTGTGGCGTAGCACATCTCCACGGCTCCACGCCACGGCCTCGGCGTCGGAAACAGCTGTGCGTGGAGACCAGACATTAGAATGTAATGATGATGAGGCAATAACACACCACCGTGGTCATAGTGGATTACTGTAAGAAAAATTCTCCCTATGTACGTCATATTAATAGGTTATGTACTATATTTGTCGCGGTAGTAGGCTATATACAGGTGCAAACTGTAGTCATGCTTTTAGTTGGTACTTTTGAACGCTGCGCAGCTTACAGGTTGAAAGCTTCAAAATAATTTGTACTTGCATGTATAACGTCACTTGATACTTATTATTCCAAGTGTTATTCTGGTCTATATCACTCCTGAAAATCTAAGGCATGTGATATATATGTAACAAAGAAATCCAAAAAACCTAAGTGCTTGAACAAAATTTATGATCCCTAAAACAGAGTTCTATTTTTTGGGGTTGTGGGTCGTCACCAGTATCCGAATTGAAAGATTTTGATTGAAATGGATTCATATACCTTTTGACAGGAGCAGTCAACGATGTAACATTCAGCCTGTGCTAGGCTGAGAACATTCAATCTGTGCTAAGTTGAGCATTACTAAGTATTTATTAAGTTATTTACGTCCCTTATAATTGAGGTCGAAACTAACAGAATATAATTTCCATAATGATAAAGTCTCGGAAAGTAAAAAAGTAAAGTAAGTCTCGGAAATATAATTATTCAACAAGATAATTCCATAGCTCATCTGACCTCGTTACTACAGATTAACGACGAGATAGTAATTTGTTCACCAAAGTTAGTTAAATTAACTGACCTTGAGGCAGCGATCCCCTACGGTGTGCCAACCTTCGTCACAGTTAACAGTCGTGATCTTGGCGAGTGTGAAGTCACCTTCCCTGTCATACTCGCCTAAATAAGAAGACAAAAAACGTATGATTGATGATATCAGTGAAGTGGGGTTACTACGGACTGGTTGTAACGAGGGAGTGAGGGTGATGTTTGCAGATATGACGGTTAGGCTAGGCTACAGCCGCTCTGGCAAACTTGGATTTCTTGACAAGGATTTTCTTGTCAGAGATGAATGCAAACATTTGTCTAACCTACGCTTGATTTAATCCAGTGATCTTTTATGTTACCCACTAATGTGTTCAGTAAACCAACAACTCTGTTTCCAAACCTGTAACATGTAGGGGTTGGAGGGGGGGCGGAATTACTGTAAGGATTGCAGAGTAGAATGAAAAGCTTGTGACGGAGATGAACAAACAACTCTGCCAAAATAATAATAATTGTTGTATGGTTAATATATAGATATACAGATGGCGATACTTCCAAATGAATGAAAATAATATCTAAAAGATATTTGAACACTAATCCCCCGACCAAGATACATATAAATTACAGGTCGAACACAATTTTGATATACAACTTAGTAAACAATCCACGCAAATAATGACACGGCACTTTAAAGTAATTATTGTGACGACGTTCATGCACTTGGATTAGTCAGTAGAGCAATGGCCTAGCTTCATGCAGGGTGGGTGTTCGATACCCGATGGTCCACTAGTAGTGGGTGTGACACGAGTTTTCTGTTATTGTCACCCAGGGATCACAGGAGTTGCTTCAACTCGAGTTCAACTCCATTCCAATGATTAAAGACATTTTGTCTATTAAAAGATTAGTTACTGTTATATGTTCTTGGGGTCTATTGGATGTGATCTTTAATCTATCATTCTAATGAAGTCTCATAAGAAAAATATTAAATATTACAATTATCTGGAGAAATACGCTAACACCAGTGTGAGAAGAGCTTCAGTATCTTAGAAAAATGTTTGGATCAGTTTGGTGGAATCGAATGCCCTTCCTGGGGTCATCCTAGACGCGTGCCTTGCCCGTGGACCACGATATACTTAAACATTTGGTGTGGCTTACAGATATACTTCAGCTTGTGGTGACAGTTCTTCATTGCCCATCGGCCCGGGTTGTGCTCCGCCCCCGAGACCGTCACGCAGGACCCCCGGCGAAGTGCTGTGGGGAGAGAGATAACACATTAGCATTATTGATAACACAACACAGTTGCTTGTCGACCCACTTAGCGTTCTTTTCGAAATGTTCATTAATAATTAGCTTTCTTGTCAAAGCAAAAATCTAAGGATATCAAAAGCATCTATTTTGTATAATATTAGAGTATTTGTGAGTGTATGAGACATGCCCATTTCATCCTGACAAGACATTTGGGTTCACAAATAACCTGGCTGGAGCGTGTCCCAGTTGCTAAAGTCAGTAGGAGCCCCGTTCACCCAGGAGAAAACCTCATTATTTGTAACGGACAGTCCAATCCAGCTCCGATCTCCTAGGTCTCTTAGCAACGGGGAGATGAACGCTGATTCTAATCTAGAAAGTTAAGTTTAGGGTGGAGTTAGAATTCACATCATCATCATCGTCGTCTGTTTGTGCTAACAAAAAGTCACCCTTCCCTTTATGAATTCCAGGTACAGTATCAAAATTAAGGCAAACAAAAACATAAGGTAACTGAAAACAAAAAAATCAATATATGAATCCAAGCAATATTTAGTAGTACAAATCATACTCAGTCCCAACTGTTATTGTCCCCTAACTCCCCTTGCCACTTTAGGGGGGGTTTAGGGTGTTTATGTAGCTTCAGGGCACCAATCCCCCCAGCCACAGGGCATGGCGAGAAGGCAGCCCTAAGCATACCTAATACCCTATCAATCACAAACTAAAATACACATAAATGGCAGATCTCATCACAACCTACAAGAGTTAAGATGATAATAATAACACACAATAATAACATGAAAATAACATACACAAAATGGAAAATTCTTTTATATTTCTTTTTTCTTATATGGGACACAGCACACAAAGGGAGAGGTGCACAGTATATCATTAAAAAGAACTAAAGCTGAAGGCAAAACAGCAAGCTACCTAAGCGGCAGGATTGGTGACTTGACATCGGCATACATGGAAAAAAAACTATTCATAGTGGAAGCTCCTAACAAGGCCCTGAGCTGGAGGGATATCATGTATGCACATGGGGGTCCCTCCGGCCGCCGCCTTACCCACTCGTGGGCTCCGGCCAGGTCATCCACCCTCTTGCGAGACACCATTTGGAGAAGTGGTACTCCAGATGACGACTCTGTTTAGATAGTTGGCTACCAGCTATCCTGGCTGCGGTTCACCTAAGCGAGACTACTTATGACCCTTATGCACCCTGTGATCCTGGGACTAAGGTGGTCTGCCCCTAGATGTGGTCTTGGACCATATTCTGTAGATGGAATATGTCCAGGTCAGGGCTTTCACAGAGCAAATCTCAAGGTCGCTCTTGGTGCGTCCCGTATCCTGAAGACCACGCGCGCTTACATAGTTGGAGTTAAAGCAACAGTTTGTCTCGCGTCATTAGTTAACGCAAATACCGATGATTGGGGGGTGTCATTTAGGCTAGGCAGGTGAGGGGAAGTGCACATTCACCTGTTATTAAGGACATACGGGTGAGATGTGTGTGTGTCATTTGGTCCACGGGAGACATCTCCCGTCACGCAGGGAGCAGTCGCACCTCCACAAATCTCCAGTATCGTCTATTGAAACTGGTAATGGCTCAAAAGGGCCACCACTTACGAGCTATTCATGCCCGTGCCACCTTTTGGGTGGCTTAATCTTCATCAATCAATCATCAGAGACGTGTGTGTTTGTGTGTGCTTACCCATCATTAAAAACGATGAGGTGTGCGTTCCGTGTCCGACAATCCGCCTGGGCGTCCCTCCAGGACAGAGCGGAACCGGAGAAACTATAGCAGGAACCACTGAAGGTCTCGTCACCCTGGGGAGGAGGCAGCTGATGGGTTATCTACTCCAGCCTGGTTGCAAATGTGCTTCTAAATATTTTACTCGTGAATCCTGTCCACAAAATTAGGTGTTCGCTTTGTTTCAATAGAACACAATAAAAGGAGAAGTTACCAGCCAAAGAACAATATTTTTTTTGTGAAAGGGAAACCTTTTATATATTAAGATATTTATCGCGGGTTATCTCGATGATTTCGGGGCTTAGCGTCCCCGCGGCCCGGTCCTCGATCAGGACCGTGGTCCTGGTTGAGGACCTCTTTTTGTGTAGTTACACACCCCCTTCCTGGGGTTGTGTAACTCTTTGTTACACACCCCCAGGAAGCAGCCCGTAGCAGCTGTCAAACTCTCAAGTACCTATTTACTGCTAGGTAACAGGGGCATCAGGGTGAAAGAAACTTTTTGCCCATTTGTGTCTGCCTTCACCGGGGATCGAACCCGGAAGCTCAGGACTACGAATCCGAAGCGCTGTCCAATCAACTGTCAGGCACCCTTTTTATATCAATCAATACGAGTTCCTTATTAAACCAACAAAAGCCAACTTAAAATACAATCCCTTTTCCACATGTGGGAGAACTTGTCCACATATGGCAAGCTCATCACTTGCGTTACTTACACCAACGTACACTTGCGTTAGTAACTTGAAATTACAAACAAAATGTTGACACAAACAACTTTGACATCTGACGTACATTTTCGAGTCGAGAAACGACACATCTTTATCTTCATGAATCATGTACGTTATAAATAATTAAATTGGCTCACAAATGATGAAGCATACTATAGGATCCTGGGCCTACGGGCCGCTCCAAGCAACAGCCTGGTGGACCAAACTCTCACAAGTCAAGTCTGGCCCCGGGCCGGGCTTGGGGAGTAGAAGAACTCACAGAACCCCATCAACCAGGTATCAACCAGGATCGGTGCATACTATAAATATAGGTTATATTTACCAACTCGCAGCCCGTTGTGTCCGGAGGCAGCGTTGGTGTCAGGATTGTTTGACCTGCTTCCGGAGCCAGCGTCGGCGTCAGGGTATCTTGGCCCATGCTATCTACTGTTGTGCTGGAGCTTGAATCAGTTCTGGACGAAGCTGGAATACTTTCACTTGAAGCTGCTGCCAAGGGCGGTGTCGTAGCCTGAGCCGTACTACCACGGGCCACGTTGCTCCTCTGTGGAGCAGCTTCAGAAGACTGATAATGTAACGAGGTGCCAACCGACTGCAGTGGATGGGGTTGTGGTATGTTTGGCTGAGGCTGGGAAAATTGGTTACCATTGTTATTATGCATATGGTCTCCGAATCTGTGAGGTAGTAATATTTTGGGATAATTTCGTGGAGACTGCCCGAACGTGTTACCATGGGAGGTGTGCAACACTGGGAGTTGGTAGTGTGGGCTTCCACCTCGTTTGAAGGGTGTGGAGAAGCGTGAATGGAAGGGAGATGAAAACGAAGGAGCGGGTGTTTCCCGCGAGAGTTCCAGGCCACTGGAGCGTTTTCTACGGGAGGAACACTGAAAAAAGGGCGATACATGATATCATTTATTGTATGAGCAATATGCTTAGTTTTAATGCCATATTTAAAAAAATAAACGCATTTTATATCTACTCACCTAGTTGTGCTTGCGGGGGTTGAGCTTTGGCTCTGGCGATTTACTGGTGTAAATTACAAAATTTATAAAATATTAAGAATTTAGAGGCTGACACACAAACATTGGTGCAATGGTGGATGTTTTGGTGTATTGCACGTACAATATTAATCTGCCAATTTAAACTTTCCACCGATCCTAACATAGCCTAAGTTAAGCTAATACATTACAACCTGACAATATAGTCAGCCCAGTTCAGTTCCCAAAATAGACTTTTGAATACAGTAGCTTCTCACCTGTGCGCAGCCTTCCTTGGGCGTGTCCGGGGCCCATGCCTGTTGAGGCCTTTTGCAGACGAAGTGCATGTGCGCGTGACACGCATGGAGGCTCCAGCGGGCGGCCCTGCCAGAGGCACCGCGGGAGAATCCAACACAGGATGGCTGGGTGCTCGAGCCTGCAAGGGGAACAAACGAAAACACTTTCTTTAACCACAAGTTTGCACAGCCCGTTCTCGTCGTCCTCTCTCACCATTCCCTCACCTCCCATGTGAACCCCAATCCCCCTTCACCTCTATACTCCCCACTTTTCCCCAATTCCAGTCACCCCATTCCCCATCCTGTCCTCAGTATACTCACGGTAGGTCTCTAATGTCTCCCAGCTGGTGAAGACGGTGGCGGTCCCGTCTGACCAAGCGAGGGAGCCCGGGTGACCATCATCCAACATACCAATCCAGGTTCCAGTGTAGTCATCTGTGGGTTCGAACTGGCACTCGGAAAATTGCTGTCTTTTATAATAACATTACACGGTTGTTTATTGTCAGTATTTTGACATAACAGAGACACTAGTTACTTACCACTTTCAGAAGATTCCTCATTGTTTCACTGGAACACTATTTACTCACCAGGGTCAAGCAAAGAAAGTAGGAAAACGTTCTCTGTAGACGAGTGTATAGAGACGAGGTCGCCGCCTGTAGACTGACACTTGCTCCTGGCGCTGTCGTAGGTCTGTACCTCATTGGAGAAGAGGTAGCAGTGCTCACCGAAGGCTGCCCAGCCGTCCTGGCAACCTGCTGGGGGCGCCGACGGGGTGGTGGAGGAGAGAGACAAGACAGGTGTTAAATTTTATCTGAATTTTAGGGGTTGTTGATTTATAGATGGGGAGGGAATTATCAGGAGAAAGCGCCAATCCATTTCGACTATATAGCACTGGGAAAGGGTCAGGATAAGGATTTGGGATGGGACGGAGGTAAGGAATGATGCCCAACCACTGGTCGGGGATTGAAGGCTGACCAGTATGAACAAATTTATTGACTAAATTACCGGGTAATATAATAGACGAAGCATCACCTTACTGCTTGAAGTATATGTTAGACATGTATATGAATGAATTTGGGTGGATATAAATAGGATCTGCCTCGTATGGGTCAATAGGCCTTCGGCCGTGTCCTCTGTTCTTATGTTGTTATGACCACGTAATATTGTTTACAGGAATCAAGATACAGCTCAGGGACCCCACTTCCTAGTCGACTGATATTATGATGACTTAATACCACGAGCTTTGTCGTATTTACACGGCATCATGTACAGTTTGTAGTGTTCGGTCGCGTTCCCCTCCGTACTCTTATGCTGGTCTGTGGGTGTCGCTGGCCGAGCGTGCCCTTGTACCACTCCACCCCTCAGTAACCCGTGTAAGTGGACACCAGAAAGGCTGCTAAACAAGACTAAAACCAGTGCACTAAAACAGGAGCGAAAAAAGAAACAGGGAAAGAATGAGGAAACCCCACCTCCATTTAAATCTTTGGCCCAAATATCACAGTAGCAAGGTTATCGCGAATAACCGAACTCAATTACGGGCTCATAATTGTCCACGTCCACGTAGCCCCGTGCTACATGGACGTTTCGTTCAGAGTAGCTATATCTAAAATAACAACAACAAGAAGGCTACTAAGACCGACCCTTAAGCCACGCCACCCGCTACAACACAATTTCTGCATTCAACACAGCAACCTTATATAATGCCTTCTGAAAAGGCGAATACGTCGCCTTCGACGTTCTTTCAGATGTATTATTTGGCGATCCTGTGTGTTGTACTGTATGAGTCTGAGCGAGTGTTTCCAGGGCTAGGGTTCATGGAGTAATTTATACAACCACATATATACGAAACCTGTACATCCTTTCTTAATCGTAGCGGCTTTGTTTGCATTTATTAAACAGTTTATGAGCTCCGAAGCACTACGAAGTTGTTTATAACAATACTAATCTTTGGTTGTGAAGCTTCCAAGCTCGTAAACTGTTTCATAAGTGTAGACATTGCTGCCATAAGTAAGGAAAGATGTAGAGGTTTCGTAAGTGGTTGTGTAAATTCTTCATGAATCCTGGATCAGGAGTTTACTAATTACTGGAGACAATTAGTTAAATAAAACCATTAAAGACACATACAAAATGATTCGATTCCCTTACAGGGCCAGACGGTTCGGAACGTTTCCTTACACCTGATGCAGCTGTTCACCTAATAGTAAATAGATACCTGGGAGTTAACCAGTTAGAAAATTCTGGGAATATCATTCGTTGAGCAGGGGGGGGGGGAAGGACTCTGATAAGCCTAACAGGCTTAATCTTTACCTGTTGACAATTTCAAGAGTTCCTCCGTGGCCAGCCTTCCCTGATGATTGCCTTGCCTGCGAGTTTGTTTTTGTAGCCATCACAGCCAGACTGATCCAGGATCACTAGTAGAAACTTGTCCAGTTCTCTCTTGAAAACTTCCACTGTAGTTTCAGTGACACTTCTTAAATATGTTGGCAGGAGATTGCAGAGTCGTGAGCCTCTGAGGTTTACACAGTTGGGCTTATTGTACCCTAGAGTTTCCATGGGACTTATTTTGCACTTCCTACCATGTTTCTCACTCCAATCTATTGTCATTTTATTGAGGTTTTTGGAACCTGACCTTTCAGAAATTTCCAAATTATTTACATAACGATTTCCAGATTGGCTAATGCCAACATTAATGACAATTCTCCTTGTGGATCTAAATATTCAAAAGACTGGAATCCTATCCTCTTCAATTGGCCTTTCAACTAACACGTCGCATTTTTAACGGATTAGAAAATAAGGCATATTAATAGTAAAATTCAAAGCTCCGTAATATTGCCGCTTTCTATCCGTTGGTCTCGATACGCTAGGTGGGTTGCTTGGGTTCGTATGTTTCTGGTTAGGGGAATCAGTTGTATTTTTAACGGAGTGACAGAGCGACAGTAAGGGATGGTATAAGAGCTGGAAAGTGATAATTAGAGACTATAGTTGTATTTCTGAGGCAGCAGGCGCCTCATGACTCACCTGACGCAGGGGAAGGTGGCGCCGACGCAGGAGAGGGTGGCGCCGACGCAGGGGAAGGTGGCGCCGACGCAGGGGAGGGTGGCGCCGACGCAGGGGAGGGTGGCGCCGACGCAGGAGAGGGTGGCGCCGACGCAGGGGAGAGTGGCGCCGACGCAGGAGAGGGTGGCGCCGACGCAGGAGAGGGTGGCGCCAACGCAGGAGAGGGTGGCGCCGACGCAGGGGAGGGTGGCGCCGACGCAGGGGAGAGTGGCGCCGACGCAGGAGAGGGTGGCGCCGACGCAGGGGAGGGTGGCGCCGACGCAGGGGAGAGTGGCGCCGACGCAGGAGAGGGTGGCGCCGACGCAGGAGAGGGTGGCGCCGACGCAGGGAAGGGTGGCGCCGACGCAGGGGAGGGTGGCGCCGACGCAGGGGAGAGTGGCGCCGACGCAGGAGAGGGTGGCGCCGACGCAGGGGAGGGTGGCGCCGACGCAGGGGAGAGTGGCGCCGACGCAGGAGAGGGTGGCGCCGACGCAGGAGAGGGTGGCGCCGACGCAGGGGAGAGTGGCGCCGACGCAGGGGAGGGTGGCGCCGACGCAGGGGAGGGTGGCGCCGACGCAGGGGAGAGTGGCGCCGACGCAGGGGAGGGTGGCGCCGACGCAGGGGAGGGTGGCGCCGACGCAGGGGAGGGTGGCGCCGCCTCAGGAGTGCCGCAAGCGGAACCTGTAAGTATAAGAAAACAGTTGCTTCAGTGTCTTAGGCTGCTTGACACGTTCTCGTAGATATGTGGTAGCTGTGTGATCGATATGTAGTATCTATGCGGCAATTATGTATATACAGGTATATATGTGGCACTTAGGGAGTAGATACGTGGGGTAAATATGCAACTTCTATGTGGCAGCTATGTACTAGATCTGTGGTGTATAAATAACAACCAATTTATTGGTTGTCATTTATAATGCTAACTTGGGTATAAATGGAACTTAGGTTCCAATCCAGGCACCTGTATGAAACTAATTTATTGTAACTATAAATTAATTACATCTGCGCACCACATTATTGCATCTTTAGCAGCCATATCGTTATTAATATTTTTATTTATTGTAATTATTACACAAACTGTGATGCCTATAGTAACTTCCTCCTGGGGAAATCTCTCAATGTATCAGACAAATATCGCCCATTAAGCATAGTATGATCAAACAATTTGATAAAGTGTCACGCGGCATATGTCATTTTATCTAAATGTTAAATTTGTCATTATACTCTGCGTGGCTCTGGATAAATTAGTCTAGCCAGAGATGTGGATTAAAAAATCCATCAGTTTTATATGGACCAATTTTGCTCTAAAGAGGAAATTCTGAAGGCTAACGTCATTCAAGCGTAAACTAAAACAAAACAAAAAAACACGTGGCTGATGAGAGCAAGTGGCGGGGGCCAAGGAGCTGGAGCACATTCCCGACAAACACACAGGGAACAACTTACCAACAAGCATCATTACAGCGACCAGGAGATGCTGTGTTGCCATGGTGATGGGAGCCTCTGAGCCGCAGGTTCCGGTGGACGAGATGTATCTCTTGGATGCTGCCTCGTTTGCGTCACTTTCCTCCACTTCCCAACTCCAGAGAATAAAGGACAATTACAAGACCACAAGGGCTTTCTTCTCTCACAATCCAAGGCGTCCGAACGCTATTATATCTCACTCCAACTGTATTACATCGTCTGGTTTAATTATCCACGAGACAGCTGTAAAAGCGTTCCCCTATGAATGTCGCTTCCATTTCTTGTCTTGTTTCTCAAGATAACCTCAAGATAAGCCGTAGGCTTTGTGAGTTATGATTCCTTGCCTTCCTTCTTGTCTTGTTACATATCTCATAGACTGGGATTATATCCTCCCATAGAAGGCTGTTATAAACATTTTCTTTGTACATTCGATCGTTTCACAAATCACAACTATTCATTTTTTTTCTAATTATGACACCTCGGACCTGTTTATCACGCAAACTGTTTTGTTGTTTACATTGTTGTAGGCCACGACGCCTTATTGGCTGGTGTGAGTGTAGGTGGTTACTGGTGGTGGTGCCAAGTGTAAGAGCAATGGTGCAAGTGTGACTGATGGAAAAACGGAGTGTGAGGGTGTAAGTCAATGATTGGCGACTTGCAGAGACAGTGTCGAGGGAGGACGGGGTGTAAGGTAGAGTAACCGACCACAACAACGTGAGTGTATCTGCCTTATTATGATGGTGTCGGCAGTGAGGGTTTGTGCCGTGGTGTTACCAGTGTGGGTTTGTGCCGTGGTGTCAGCAGTGTGGGTGAGGGCGCGAGGTAGTGTGGCGATTGACTGGCAGCGTGTGGCGGGAGAGTGGAGGCGCGGGCGGCGGCCAGGGCTCCCCCAGGAAGGACAACTGCACCCACTCTTGATAATGCCAGCTCTCAACTCCACGAACATAACTCCTCGTTAAGACAGCTCTGCTTGTACCACCATGCTCGGAGTACGCAGTTACGCTCGGACCGAAAATAATGCAATATATATACATCACAATCCAATATTAACAAAAAAATAAATACTGCACATGTGTATATTTTCCAATTGAAAGTGTGAGTCACTTAAGGTGCTTTAATGTAACAAAATCCGATCAAAAGTCCTACCAACGACACCTGGTGGCACTACAACAGTGCCACACTGTGCTAACAATTGCCATCTGAACCTCGGGGCCGAGTGTCAGGCTAATTCGACTGATTGGACACAAGTGAATAGCATTGACGTCTGACGTAGTGCCCTAAACCAAGTCCCAGCTCGGTTTAAATTCAGTGATGGTATTGTAATTGACATCTAATAAGTCTATTACCCACTTACGGTAGTTGGTAGTTATTACGTGATCACGACACACGTTAAAAAAATGTCGATCTTTGGAACGAAAGACTTATATATTGCATAAATTTGATTTCATATATAAATCAATTATTGAACATTTTCAACTTGATCTTGGTCAGGAGAAGATGCAGGAGGAAGAGGAAGATTAGAAGGATGTGTTAGAGGAGGGAAAAGGAGACGAGGAGGAGAAGGGAGAATTTATGATATGAATTCTTTTCGCTTATGTGATTAGGAAGAATTGCTCATCTATAATGAACATATTGAGGACCTGCCCGAAACGCTACGCGTGCTAGTGGCTTTACAAGAATGTAAAAATTCTTATATATATAAATAAAAAATAAAAAATAGTTTTATTATGGTCTATTAACAGGTAAACACTGGTCAACTTGTACCATGGGCAAATTGAAATGAGAAATGGGAATAGAAATTTGACAAACCGACAGCTTCTTATCATTTACATAAACTAGAATGCCTGAGGTTGGAGGCTAGATGCTTTGGGGTAGCTTCACTCAGCTTTCACCGTGATTGCTGTGGGGTATGTGCCCAACATGGTTAGGTCGTGGTCACCACAATTTGAGAGAACAGCGTGCCATGATCACATGTTGAATTCCACCAAATTCCATTTGATTAAATACTTTAAAGAATAAAATTTCAAAACCATTATTTTTCTCACAGTATTATAAAACATTAAACACTGATCTTTGCAAAATTAACAGAAGTTTTCTACTCGTCATACACTGCTCATAATAGTAAAATGACCAGATGCAACATTTAAAAAAGTCAACACTGCAAGAGAGGGAGAGAAAGAGAGTGGGAGTAAGGGAGAGAGAGAGAAGGGAAAAGAAAGGGGAAGAAAGGCGAGAGACAGACATACCCGGGCACTGCTGGGTACCTCATCTAGTAGAAAAATATGAGTACAAAATGTGTATAGGAATGAAGGGGGGACTGAACATGCTGAATATTATAGTATATTGGTATACTATTATAAACAGGTGTACACCGCTGTACACATGTTTACTCCAGCCATTATTGATTTGTGTAAGTTGTTAGGAATAAGGTCTCTGAATCTAAAACTAAAGGGCCATTGCGAGACTGTAATTTGCCCAACTTGTTATCCAATCTATAATAGCTATAAGCTGTACTAATATGGATTTAGTGTACGTTCACACCTAAATTGTTACAAAAACTAATGTATTTTTTGTAACTAAAGAATCTATTATATCAAGTGATGTATTGTGCAAGTACATTCAGTTTTTGTTTATTTATTATGCACACCATACCCATCCTGAGGATGATAGTGGACCCCCATACCCATCATCAGGGTGATAGGGTGGGGTAGTGGACCCCATGCCCATCCTCAGGGTGGTAGTGGACCCCATGCCCATCCTGTGGGTGGTAGTGGACCCCATGCCCATCCTGTGGGTGGTAGTGGACCCCCATACCCATCATCAGGGTGGTAGTGGATCTCCATACCCATCATCTGGGTGATAGTGGACCCCCATACCCATCATCAGGGTGGTAGTGGACCCCCATACCCATCATCTGGGTGATAGTGGACCCCCATACCCATCATCTGGGTGATAGTGGACCCCATGCCCATCCTGTGGGTGATAGTGGACCCCCATACCCATCCTCTGGGTGATAGTGGACCCCCATGCCCATCCTGTGGGTGATAGTGGACCCCCATACCCATCATCTGGGTGATAGTGGACCCCATGCCCATCCTGTGGGTGATAGTGGACCCCCATACCCATCATCAGGGTGATAGTGGACCCCATGCCCATCCTGTGGGTGGTAGTGGACCCCCATACCCATCCTGTGGGTGATAGTGGACCCCATGCCCATCCTGTGGGTGGTAGTGGACCCCATGCCCATCCTGTGGGTGGTAGTGGACCCCCATACCCATCATCTGGGTGGTAGTGGACCCCCATACCCATCATCTGGGTGATAGTGGACCCCATGCCCATCCTGTGGGTGATAGTGGACCCCATGCCCATCCTGTGGGTGATAGTGGACCCCATGCCCATCCTGTGGGTGATAGTGGACCCAATGTCCATTCTGTGGGTGATAGTGAACCCAATGCCCATCCTATGGGTGGTAGTGAAAAAGGTTAAAGACACAGCTAAAGCCCGAAATCTTCATTTAGCTATACAATTTATATCTGTGGTGAGCCAGTTACATATAATTTTGACCGTCATGCACCAGACATGCATGCAGTGGGCGACGGTGACAAGGTTACAATAACGTGCATGCAATGCTTAATGTAAGAACATTTTCTATATGTGTGTTTTTTGGTAGTACATCATTTTAAATGAAATACTTACACTTAATTGTTGAACATTTGACAGAATTCTCTGTAAATTGTAGGTGTCATTTGGTTCTATAACAATGTTGGTATGGAAATTACAGTCATGTAAATCCACAAACCGCACAGCATTTTGGGCGAGATGATATTTTGTCTAATCCTGGATAGACACCAATTTTATTTATCTTATTTTTCTTTGTAGGTTCCCCCGGTTATTCTTATTCAATAGTAGGCGTTGCCTCTCGGATCACAGTCGAGGGAGAAGCTAGCGGCTGAGACTCCAAGTCTCAGCCAGCGATCACTGCAGTCCTGGCCATGGTGAGGCTGGGTGCTGCTGAGGACGGAGACCCCGGTGTTGCTGAGCTGGACGCTCACGGTGTGATTGGTGTCGTCTCGGGTGTACACCACGTCCAACTTGGCCCACCCTGACCTACCCTTACCTACCGGTAGCTCACCAAAGATGATGTCGTCTAAACACTCCGATTGTTTCAGAAACACATATACCGGAACTTGGTAATCGGTTGGCGGACGCAAGAAAACCGAACTGTTTACGCGCATGACGAAGGTATTGTCGGTACACTCGGCGCCCAGAATGATGCAGTCACCCTCCTTGTGCACGGAGGGGAATGCAACGGACACTTGGCCGCTCTGTCCGGCTACGAGCACACTTTTAGCTCCTGTATCCAGCTGAACAGTGTGGTTGGCTATCCCTGACAAAGTGACGGTCAGCTTTTTGCCCGCCGAAGTCACAATGATTGTGTACACTGACAATAAGCCGGATGAAAGCATCACCGGCCAGGAGAGTATTAACGTACTCCACAACGCCGCGTTCCGACAACCTCCCAAGTTCGCCACGACGCCGGTACCCGAGGAAGTGGCGTTGATCACAACGCAACCCACACGGGTGTCCTCGCCCGTGTCTCCGTCTGCTGTTACTTCCAGGTATATCGTCCAGGGAAGAGAGGATCTGGGTCTGAGTTGCACTGCGGCAGGCAGCGGCCGTGAAGGACGAGGCTTTTCGTCAGGAAGATAAATTATGCAAGGAAGAGCCACAGTAACCAGTTGTCTCACGTCCAGGGTGGTGACCTGTTGTCCCACGTTCATAGTGGTGACCTGTTGTCCCACGTCCAGGGTGGTGACCTGTTGTCCCACGTCCAGGGTGGTGACCTGTTGTCCCACGTCCAGGATGGTGACCTGTTGTCCCACGTCCAGGGTGGTGACCTGTTGTCCCACGTCCAGGGTGGTGACCTGTTGTCCCACGTCCAGGGTGGTGACCTGTTGTCCCACGTCCAGGGTGGTGACCTGATGTCCCACGTCCATAGTGGTGACCTGTTGTCCCACGTCCATAATGGTGACCTGTTGTCCCACGTCCAGGGTGATGACCTGTTGTCCCACGTACATAGTGGTGACCTGTTGTCCCACGTCCAGGGTGGTGACCTGTTGTCCCACGTCCATAGTGGTGACCTGTTGTCCCACGTCCATAGTGGTGACCTGTTGTCCCACGTCCATAGTGGTGACCTGTTGTCCCACGTCCATAGTGGTGACCTGTTGTCCCACGTCCAGGGTGGTGACCTGTTGTCCCACGTCCAGGGTGATGACCTGTTGTCCCACGTACATAGTGGTGACCTGTTGTCCCACGTACATAGTGGTGACCTGTCTTCCAGCGACCAGAATGACCAGCAAGTGCCACCAGCCCTCCATTACTGGACAACGTTCAACCTGTCGGCAGAAAATCACAATTCGTGTCACTGCGACAGAAAATTGACTTTGTAATAATTATTTTCTACCAATTTGTAAGGTGGCCAAGATACACGTTCACAGCCTTGCCTTCTCGCCATGTTACATTCTTTACTTTCATATTTATTATGCGGGTCATAAATAAAAAGAGATAGATAGATACAAGAGCTGAAATAAACTAAGCTTATACTAAAAAAAAACTTTTGCCATAATGTTTTATATCTTGAGTTATCTTGAGATATAAAACATTATGGCAAAAGTTTGGTGTATGAAACGTGTATTTTCTAAAATACAAATTATTCTATGTAATATACTGTGTATTGTGCCTAGTGTAGGTTGTTCTAGGTGCATGTAAAGCACCGATGGAGGCAAATGAAGCAACTCTCAAGTCACAGCTTCGAATATAGGTTGAGAAAAGTACATATTATATCCACTTACGAAACCTGTACATCTTTCCTCTCAATTTTGGCGGCTTGATTTGTATTTATTAAACACTTTCCCAGCTTGTAAATGCTTCGTGGCCGTTGTCGGTCTAATGTTGTTATTGTTATACATGTAAAGTCTACAGTTACATTCACACTCGTAGCTCATACTTTTTTTTTAGTAACAGCAAACTGATTGATGAAAGATGTACAGGTTTCGTAAGTGGACTATTAAATGCTTGGTGAATCCTGGTCTGGGATTGTGTAGGTCCACACGGGTGCGTAGCGCCGTCTGATTAGCCAAGTTATACCACCTGAATTCACACCTAGTTTGAGATTCAGGTAAAGCACAGGTGAAGCACAGGTAAAGCACAGGTGAACCACAGGTGAAGCACAGGTAAAGCACAGGTGAAGCACAGGTAAAGCACAGGTAAAGCACAGGTGAAGCACAGGTAAAGCACAGGGGAAGCACAGGTGAAGCACAGGTAAAGCACAGGTGAAGCACAGGTGAAGCACAGGTAAAGCACAGGTAAAGCACAGGTGAAGCACAGGTAAAGCATAGGTAAAGCACAGGTAAAGCACAGGTGAAGCACAGGTGAAGCACAGGTAAAGCACAGGTAAAGCACAGGTGAAGCACAGGTGAAGCACAGGTGAAGCACAGGTAAAGCACAGGTGGAGGAAGGTGAAGCACAGGTGGCATGATGAAGACGTTAATTAAGAGGACCGTGGGATGATGAAGACGTTAATTAAGAGGACCGTGGGTGAGTGAATGAGTGAGTGAGTGAGTGAGTGAGTGAGGCAGTGGGTGGTGGTGAGCGCTGCCATAATACACTACACAACATTGAACCATTCCTTGACATTACCGGCAGCCGCCACTCACCCGTTTTAGTTCATCCTTCCTCACACAATCATTTGGATTCATCCCTCAGGTGTGGGGGAATATGAGAGAGCTACAATGACCAGAAAACTACTAAATTGCCTTTTCCAAGCTGTACAATGGCCGGGAGGCAACTATTATGGGCGGTCTCTGATCTCCCGGGCACAGTGGTGTTTATCCTGGAGGAGGTAAACAGTAGAACACGTGGGCCTTGTTGACATCCACTCAGGACTATACCTATACACTTCCCTCCCTCCCTCCCCCCTCCTCTCTCTCTCTCTCTCTCTCTCTCTCTCTCTCTCTCTCTCTCTCTCTCTCTCTCTCTCTCTCTCTCTCTCTCTCTCTCTCTCTCTCTCATATAGATCTTCACAGTACATCAGAGCACCTGATCAAGATAATCACAGTACACAGCCTACCACGTCACTAAAAAAAAGTTTCTCTTCTCCCGCCAAACTAAACAATTGATCATAAATGCGAGCCCGACCTCGCATATTAATGGAGACAATATTGTTGCAAAAACATCAATATGTGTGTGTGTGTGTGTGTGTGTGTGTGTGTGTGTGTGTGTGTGTGTGTGTGTGTGTGTGTGTGTGTGTGTGTGTGTGTGTGTGAACGATCAACATACACAGAATGACGTTAATATGTATAAAATTGGCAATTGTGGCGGGGCGAGGGTGTGGTGGCGTCGCGGACCGACCTACCACCATCACTCTCTCCAGGAACTCATTACCCATCTTTATTTTAAGATTTATCGCCATTTTTGTCCGGTCTGCCACTTAATTATCATAATAAATAGCATTTATCTGATTTGTGTCACTGGAGTGCGAAATAGTGCAGTGGAAATAGCTCGTCAGATTAAGAGAAAACATATATAATGACCTTCGACAATCCGCCGGCTCCCTGTCCTCGTCGAGGCCACTAGGGTTAGTGGCCCTCGCGTAAATCAGGTCATAAATACTAAAAATTAGCCTCGCCCATACCTGGTAGCGCGTTTTTTTCAGGTATATTTTAAATCTTTTTAAGGTCAGCATTGTCGTTTTTTGTTTGTCAGTCCGGCAGCCCTCAGCTTATCTTGGCAAACGAAGTGTCGTCTCTGGAAGGATTTTTCGTCGCCATACAGTGAAGTCATCATCAGTGAAGTCACCATCTACTGTGAGGTCGTCTTTCTGTGGTCGAGGTCTCTGACGGCCATAGTCAAAGTGGGAGATGTTTACGTAATTCGAAACGATAGAATGTCTGTTTTTTTTTTATCACAGTACATACTCATTTGTACACAGTACATTTGTTCCAGTACATTATATTCAGCTATAATGCCAAATAATATTTCTGTGTTTACTATGTGTCTTACGGTAGCCAAGAGCACCCGAGGAGGAATTACCAAAGTAGCGCTGGTGTGGAGCATCTTCAAGTGATGCTGGCTAGGAGAGGGAGAGACAGGACTCATCAGGTGAGGTATGCCCTTCATCATCACCTGCATCCTTCAGGTGAGGAGGCTGGGCATCCGTGGGGGGCAGTTAACGGTAGGACTTATGGTGCGTGTATTGGGTGTAACACAACGTTGATCTGTTGCTGATTTACCTGCTGTTGCTATTTGCAATCACAACCCATGACGGCTGCAATCACAACAACACGGCTGCAAAAGATCAGGCTTAAGGCTGAATTAAGCCTTGCACATCTTTATGTTTAACTCAGCCCGAGATGCATGTCTTGCAGTAGATACGGTGATCCATAGCGTCCTTATGTCACTGAGTCTGTCTGTCAATAGGTAGCTTACATGGGTCCGGCATCTAATTTGTGATTCAGAGCTCATAAATTGTTTAATAAATGTAAGCAAAGCCGCTTCGAATAAGGTAAGATGTACAGGTTTCGTAAGTCGATGCGTAAGTGCTTGAAGGTGTCCTGGCCCCGGTTCACGAAACACACCAGTATACCTCGCCATCTTGATCATTCCAGCTGTCTGCAGCAGAGTTTAAGCCCGGGAACACAGTGTTACTACGACGTGGTCAGATACCACACGAGCCACACATTACACATTATCACTAGTTCATGATGCATTCACCACACACACACACACACACACACGCACACGCAGGTGCGTATGACAGTGTGGAAGGCGTTGCTATGAGCTGATAGTGGGAGCAAGGACAAGCTTGGGGGAGGGGGCGCTGGTGTCGTGGTGGCCGTCCTCTCCACCACCACCACCTGTTAACCCTCCAATTCACCTTCATTGCGAAATGTTTTCACCCAGCTTAGGAACCCACCTGTTAAAATAATAAATCCCAGTTGGTTCTCGGTGACAGGAACCCAGCACCTGGTCTTACTGGGGGGCTCCCTTGGTCAACTACTGACTATCCCCAGGATGCAACCCGCAATAGTTGCCTGACTTCCTATGTTACTGCTAGGTGAATAGTGGCATCAGGTGAAGGGAAACTTACCCAGATGTTTCCGGGTTTCTCGGGCATGGAAATTGAGATCCTCGATTGGGAGTCATGGACGTAGACCAGTGTACTACAGGATCCACAAATATATCTATATTAGAATATCTGTCAAAGGTTGGAAGCGAGCCACTTTGTGTCTAGCGTCACCTAATTTTTTTCTAAGGTATTACTGTTGGGTCCGTGTCCAACATGGGCGGGTCAGGATTAGCAGCAAACAAGAGTGCCACGCACGTGTCGAGTCTGCCCAAACCCTCCATGACACATCTGTCAATACATTCAATACCCGAGTCTAAATTTTTATTATTTTTTTGTGTTCCATGACATACAATTTTGTGCACTAATCACAACAAAACAATAACAAAATCTATTATTGCCCCGTAATTAACTGTAATAGTTGGCTGCTGGGAGGTTGTGTGTGTGTGGGGGGGGGGGGAGACATGGAATTGTTACGAGCTCCTCGAATAGTTTGAACCTCCCCCCCCTCTCCCCTCTTCCCCTCCTACCCCCCCCCCCCCCTCCCCTCCCTCTTAGTAAAACTGCTATTGTTATATATTTTATTTAAGAGGGAAGAATGACATACGTACAGAAATATAGGCATGAGAAAAGCACGAGCGTACACACACACACACACACACACACACACACACACACACACACACACACACACACACACACACACACACACACACACACACACACACGTTACAACCGATAGCTGGAAAGGCGGGATCCAAGAGTCAATGCTCGATCCTGCAAGCACAAATAAGTGAGTACAAATAGGTGAGTACACACACACACACACACACACACACACACACACACACACACACACACACACACACACACACACCTGTGTCCTGGCCCCTCACAACAGCCTGCTTGCTCCACCATAATGCACACATCAAGCAGATCAAGCCACACATCTGACTGCTGGTGGGAAGAACAGCACTACTGGGTTCCCTGCGGCTTGGCACACGTGCGGTAAACTTTCTGGGCGACGGGGGATATGAATCCAACTCAAGATGTAAACTGAATCTTACGATGTAAACCGGGTCTCCCGGCGGGAACTTGGAAAGAACATTGACTTCAGTTTAGCAGGAAATTTAAACAGACATTGAGAATTTGCGTTTTGAAATTAATTGGGAAATTGATCTAGCAGATGTGTGTGTCCCCTTATTGATCTAGCAGATGTGTGTGTCCCCTTATTGATCTAGCAGATGTGTCCTCTTATTGATCTAGCAGATGTGTCCTCTTATTGATCTAGCAGATGTGTCCTCTTATTGATCTAGCAGATGTGTCCTCTTATTGATCTAGCAGATGTGTCCTCTTATTGATCTAGCATATGTGTGTGTCCCCTTATTGATCTAGCATATGTGTGTGTCCCCTTATTGATCTAGCATATGTGTGTGTCCCCTTATTGATCTAGCAGATGTGTCCTCTTATTGATCTAGCAGATGTGTGTCCCCTTATTGATCTAGCATATGTGTGTGTCCCCTTATTGATCTAGCAGATGTGTGTGTCCTCTTATTGATCTAGCATATGTGTGTGTCCCCTTATTGATCTAGCAGATGTGTGTGTCCCCTTATTGATCTAGCAGATGTGTCCCCTTATTGATCTAGCAGATGTGTCCTCTTATTGATCTAGCAGATGTGTCCTCTTATTGATCTAGCAGATGTGTCCTCTTATTGATCTAGCAGATGTGTCCTCTTATTGATCTAGCAGATGTGTCGTCTTATTGATCTAGTAGATGTGTGTCCCCTTGTTAGGATCAGGAAACCTGTGGGCTCATCAAGGTCCCTCCCCTCCCCCCTCCCCCGGCTCTGGGCACCTGTTCACTGCCGGGTGAACAGAGGCATCAGGTCAAGGTAGTTGATGGGTGAACACCGGTTTTTTTTTTAACCAAAGGAATTATGAAGGTGGTAGAGGAGGCTGGTTGTTAGGAGGCTGGTTATTAGGAGGCTGGTTGTTAGGAGGCTGGTTATTAGGAGGCTGGTTGTTAGAAGGCTGGTGGTTGTGGGGGCTAGGTTCTTGACGTGACGTCACTACAGATAAGAGTGCTGGTACCATTAGTAGGTACCATTAGCCGGTACAACCAGGCGGTACTGGGGATTATCTGTGACTACAGGTTGTGTGTTTACATTCCATGGGTCCCACCTATTATTTTTCTCCTCTCTCTCTCTCTCTCTCTCTCTCTCTCTCTCTCTCTCTCTCTCTCTCTCTCTCTCTCTCTCTCTCTCTCCTACATTTCTTACTGTCTTCCCTCCCTCCCTCCTTCCCTCCATAGCCTCTTGTCCATCACCTTACACCCGGCTCTTACCCGCCCCCCCCCCTCCCCTCTCACAAGGTGCCATGAGTTGGCATCAGGAGTTGGCACTCACCTCAGTCATCTGAGTAGGAGGTAATCTCCCCTTCCCTTCTACCCCTCTTTTTTATCTTCCTTCCTTCCTATAACCCCACCCCCTTCCTCCCTTTTCACTCTACCCCTTTCATTCTATTCCTCCATGTCTTCTCTGTTTCCTTCACATCAACTTCTCTCACTCTTTTCATTCATGAAGTTCTTGCTTTCGTTAGTTTTCTATTTTACGATTCTCTTTCCTGTCCGTCCGATTTCCCCTAAATCTTCAGCAGCTATTTTGTCCTCCCTTTTCCACCTGTTCCACTTGCTCTCCCCTCTGCGTTATCACCCTTCCTGGCACACCCACTGTCAGGGGGTTCGAAACCCCCTGTATGCCTCTCCTCAACACTATATAGGCTTCCAAACACACACACACACACACACACACACACACACACACACACACACACACACACACACACACACACACACACACACACACACACACACACACACACACACACAGTGGCAGCAGAGATATCAGTTAAGATGTAATGGATTTCAATGTTAAAAATGTATGTAAAATGATACAATTCAAATGAATATCAAAATATATACCACACGTGCTGTGTATACCAAGTATATTCAACATATTTTATATACCAGATAACTCAAATACAGTGTCATGCCAAAATTATTCTAGGTTGCTAAAATCAATCGAAGCGAGTGAAAATATGTTGCCAACCACATGCTACGGACCAAATATGCTGTCAACCGCATGGTATAGTATAATTATGCTGTAGACTTCATGCTGTTGTATAAAATATGTTGCTGAATGCCATGATTTACTTTAACATTTAATAAATGATTTCTTCTGTGGATTTCTAATTTCTGAATTACATGACTGAAGCAATCACACGCCGATTCAAACCATTTATTTCCCCCACGATAAATGTTAAGTTAACCGGACGATAGTTCGACGGAAGTGACCTATTTTCCCTTCTTAAAAAATTCTGCCCCACATTTCCACCCGTCCAAAATATTCCAACACTTTGCTGGACTCTACTGATATGTTAAATATGCAAGACAGAGGCTCACTAAGCTCTTCTTTACATTCTTTGAGCATCTTGGCAAATACTTCGTCTGGTTCTGGGGGATTTACTTGGCTTTCATTTTGTATGTTTAAGAACTTCATTGTATGAAGTTTTGAGTATTCCTCTCGTCCTCTTCACAATTTGCATAGATTTATTCACGATTTGCATAGATTTATTCGCAATTTGAATAGATTTATTCACAATTTGCATAGATTTATTCACAATTTGCATAGATTTATTCGCAATTTGCATAGATTTATTCACAATTTGTATAGATTTATTCACAATTTGCATAGATTTATTCACAATTTGCAAAGATTTATTCACAATTTCCATAGAGTTATTCACAATTTGCATAGAGTTATTCACAATTTGCATAGATTTATTCACAATTTGCATAGATTTATTCACAATTTGCATAGATTTATTCACAATTTGCATAGATTTATTCAGCTGTATGTTGAATATAAAGTTATTCTCTAGTAAATAATAGAATAAGAATAATTAATTGTGTCGGGGACATGAAGCCAGAGTGTATTCATACACGTTAGGCTTTTATCAAGATCCCTCAACCCCCCACCCCACCCCACCCCCCTCCTCCTAAGGGCGAATTACTGACCCCGCCCAGGAGGCAACCCCATAACAAGCTGACTTACGCCTGAGTACCTACTTGCTGCTAGGTGAACAGGTCATGAGGTGAAAGGAAATGTGCCCAACCATTTCTGTTCCGCCCGGGATTCGAACCCGGAATTCTGGATTATCCGTTGAAAACTAACCCGACTGTACTATACCGGGACCCTTTCGGTAGACACAAAGTACTCATTGAGAATACCACACATTTCCTTGTCATTATCTGTTATCTATTTTTTTTAAAAAAGGCGCAAGCTTTTCCGTTTTCAACGAATATGGTATTGCAACGAAAGGTTGCAGGCATGAGACTTTCTGTCGGAAGAGTCGAGGCTTTTTAGGCTTTGCCTCGACTACCGGAGTCATTCCCCACATGCTGTGGAGTGCTAGGTAGGCAGGGTGTAGTGGAGTAGTGGGGGTGACCAGCTGGGTGGGATGCTGGAGACGGTAATTAAGCCATAACAACACTCCATCACCTCGGCTGTATGCACTAGATTGTGTTTTCATCTTGACGTTGTCTAATCAACATCTTTGATCTGTAGTTGTGTGTGTGTGTCTCTCTCTCTCTCTCTCTCTCTCCTAGAGAGAAAAAGGAAAGAGAAAGGAGAGTATGAATGGTAGCGGTAGGCCATTGTGGTGGTGGTGGTGGTAGTCATAGAATATGGTGGTGGCTGGTGGGATATGGTGGTAATGGGTGATATATGGTGGTGGTAGTGTAGTAATTCTGGGTGGAGTTAGATGGTGACACTGGAGGATATTAGGTGGTGGTTATAGTAACACTACCTAACATCCAGTAACAGTAGATTATAGTAACAGTGCTTATTTAACAGTGGCCACACAACAGAGTGGTCTACCTCTTGACACCCCGCCTACTAGCCTTGTTCTACCCTTTGGTCTTATAATAACAACTTTCATAACGTACGAATTCATTGTAGCACCTGGCCTTAAAGGTGTCGACGGAGGTGGCTTCCAGGGCGTCTTATTTCATCGCATTCCACTTGCCGACCGTCCGTACAGGGGTGAAAGTATCTCCTCGCATTTCTTAATGTGAAGAGATGACCGGACGGGGGGTGGTAGTGGCGTTGGTGGACGGTCGGTGTTAGGTGGTGGTTGATTGATTGATAAAGATTAAGCCACCCAAAAGGTGGCACGGGCATGAATAGCCCGTAAGTGATGGCCCTTTTGTGCCATTACCAGTATCAAGAGCTGATACTGGAGATCTGTGGAGGTGCGACTGTACCCTGCGTGACGGGAGATGTCTCCCGTCAACTAGGTGGTGGTGTCTGGCTGTGCGTCAAATATGTCGCGTGATTATGTCTTGCCCGCGAGTTCCTTGTCAGGCGGCCAGCAGGTAATGGCGCTCGCGCGTGCGCTACATGCTGACCATTGGCTACTCACACTGCTGTCAGCACCACTTCCTCTCGTACCCTCTACAGGTGGTCAGCGAGCGGAATGCACTGAAGGAGGTTGTGGAAGGTACCTCCATCCATAACCTAAAGGGCAGACGCAGGCGGGGCACGAATATAGACCTCACTCCCCCGCGTAGTGAGTAATCACTCTACTATCTTCAATACTGCGAGAGGCAGCAATTAAACATTTTATCAGCGTTTTGTGTGCCTCAGAATGGTCAGTTCAGGGACCCGTATTATAAACAATACAGTTTTAGGAAGATACGTGAACCTTAAACACCATACATATATCCGCATGAACTTGAACCCACAAGTGACTCATCTACTTGACAACCAGAAATTCCCTTTGTACTTGACACCCGTCCATTTGACTCCTGTCCACTTGACACGGCAATTTGACAGTTATTCGACACGACACCTACCTTACGCGACGCCCACCTTACCCAACACCTACCTTACACGACGCCATGACCTCACAATCTGTTGACCTATTTAACCAACCACAGCTGTCTCTCATGGTTGGGGTCCTGTGAATCACCCCATAAAACAGTAGACAAGCCGAGCGTCGTCACCTATTACCGTTGACGCATCAAAACATTTTAATAATGTAAGTAATGTAAAACAATGTAAATAATGTAATAAAATGTAAATAAAAATGTAAATAATGTAATAATGTAAAACATCAAAGCATTTGAATAATGAAACGGATTAATATCCAATAAATTTATAGACTATACAACACGAATTTAGAGCAATTTACGTGTGTTAATTACAATGAAGAAATACCAAAACAAAACTATTATTTTAAAATGATTACGAATGCGCTGTGTACGAAGGATCTGATTATACCATACCTAGCTCTCTCAGTTTGCCGCAACGTACAAAATTCAACGTCCTAATCTGAACTGAAACGTACGAATCCACCTAACCAATCGAGGCGTAGTTAAAACCATGGATTTTTGGGATCCGCTGCTTTTGATAGTAGGTTGCATTTGGTACGTTGGTTACCATTAGCTGTATTATCGTAGTAGTTGAGAGGACGGGCTTGAGGGGATGTAGATTGCTTGTCGACACGCCATCATACATAGGACTTAGCCGTATACATAGGCTGTGAATCAAGTAGAAGCATGTATATGTCTATCACGGTAACTGCCGCCGTCTTGGAGCGTTGATCTTAACGACGTGTCAAGACGCATTCCTCGTTGGTCTCTTATCACAAGTGCTTTTCTGGCCGCGCCCAGAACCCCCTTAACCCCCCCCCACACACACACCGTCCCCACACCCCCATCTCATACCCATACGAACCATACAACCACACTGCCAAGCTCTCGACAATATTTTTACCTTCGCGTCTCCACCCCTGCCTCCCATTCCCCCCCTGCACACCCTTACCACACCTGGTTCCATAGTGGCACTCACTGCTTCCCCTACAGGCACCTGCCCACCTGGCTCTGGGTGCCACGCCAGGTAACCTATCATGGTATATATTCTCCCCCCCCCCCCACCTGCAAGGCGCACCTGGAGTACTCGGTGAAGAAGTGTACTGTATGTTCAACCCGTCCCTCAACCCGTCCCTCAACCCGTCCTTACCTCAATATAATAATTACATGTAAATACTAAATATAACTAACATGTATTGTGCCTATAAACTGGCTGCCTGTCCCCCGACGAAAGGAATACATTGCATATTATATATATTTATATTATATATTATATAATATAAATATTATAGCATATTATATATATTTATATTATATATTATATAAAATCTCGAACCCTGGATATGTAGGACAGATGTAAATGTATAAGTTTAGTGGTTATCGTGGTGAATGAAGGATTATGTCTGTGAATAAAAATGTATAACAAATAATCTCTGGCTGCTACACTGGCGGAGCCGTGTGGGTCTTGTGTGGGTGTTGGGTGTTAGGTGGATGATGAGCGGGTGTTACGGTGTGGGTGTTGGGTGGATGATGACCTGGTGTTACGGTGTGGGTGTTGGGTGGAGGATGACCTGGTGTTACGGTGTGGGTGTTGGGTGGATGATGACCTGGTGTTACGGTGTGGGTGTTGGGTGGAGGATGACCTGGTGTTACGGTGTGGGTGTTGGGTGGATGATGACCTGGTGTTACGGTGTGGGTGTTGGGTGGAGGATGACCTGGTGTTACGGTGTGGGTGTTGGGTGGAGGATGACCTGGTGTTACGGTGTGGGTGTTGGGTGGATGAAGGATTATAATTATAGAACACTTTACTTGGCGGGAGTCGACGCTGTCCTGACTTATGCTGATGGAACTAACAGCCGCTGCTCCATCAGAGTGATAGAGAGGAGTTATTGCTCTCTCAGCAACAACCCAAGATAACCCCTTTTATAACCCCTAGATAACCTTATGGTCCCTAGTTGATGCAAGTCCCCGAGGGGAGGGTTGAGGCAGGTGTTCGTCCCCGAAGGTAAATATCTGACATTTATATGTTAGGCAAAAATTAAGGTAATAAGGTGGTGCCAAAAGGGCTAGCCTTAAACCATTCACTAACAATTAATAATTTCTAGCTGTTTTAGGGGGTCGTGGGGTCTTTTTAGCTATTTAGGGGGTCTTTCTAGCTGTTTGTTGTGGGGTCTTTTTAGCTATTTAGGGAGTCTTTAAAGCTGTTTGTTGTGGGGTCTTTTTAGCTATTTAGGGGGTCTTTCTAGCTGTTTGTTGTGGGGTCTTTTTAGCTATTTAGGGGGTCTTTCTAGCTGTTTGTGGTGGGGTCTTTTTAGCTATTTAGGGGGTCTTTCTAGCTGTTTGTGGTGGGGTCTTTTTAGCTATTTAGGGGGTCTTTCTAGCTGTTTGTGGTGGGGTCTTTTTAGCTGTTTAGGGGGTCTTTCTAGCTGTTTTAGGGGGGTCTTGTTAATGTCGTCGAGCTGCTACTGCTGGCACCAACAAGCTAATGGACATCACAAGGGTATAGTTCATCCTTGATATCTGAATACAACCCACATTGCAAGGCAGAAAATCTTGGTGACTTGTGATTCTCCTATCCGAGACGATTGTGCAGCTCTAATGGGTGTGCGTGACTCTTGCTGGTAGTGTGCCCCAAACTGGTCAAGCTTAGATAAATATGCATCCATTATTAGAGGATTATTATCCTATCCATTAAACGATATTATCCTCCTAAACTCTTCCAAATGGGTAACAACCTTTATCTTGCTCTGCAGTTTTCAGTCTAAATTAGACAACCAACTCACAAGACTGAAAATGAACAGCTCGAGACGTTTCGGTACATCCTGGACCATTGTCAAGTCGAGTAATTCATTTCAACACTATTGTACTGTCATCTAAGATCTGGCGGTCAAATTGGTATTACTGAGGTTCATTTGTGTGTGTGTGGTGGTGTGTGGTTGGGTGGGTGTGGGTGTGTGGTGGGTGTGGGTGTGTGGTGGGTGTGGGTGTGGTTGGGTGAGTGTGGTGGTGTGTGGTTGGGTGTGTGTGGTGGTGAGTGGTGGGTGTGGTTGTGTGAGTGTGGTGGTGTGTGGTGGATGAGGTTGTGTGGGTGTTGGGGGAGAGAGAGTGGTCACGCGGGAGACACGTTCTAAGGCTTCCAAATCCGGTTTGATCGGCTTTCGGAAAGAGAGAGAGAGAGAGAGACATACTTCTAACACATTAGGGAGGCTATCTTGAGGCTATCTTGAGATGATTTCGGGGCTTTTTAGTGTCCCCGCGGCCCGGTCCTCGACCAGGCCTCCACCCCCAGGAAGCAGCCCGTGACAGCTGACTAACACCCAGGTACCTATTTTACTGCTAGGTAACAGGGGCATAGGGTGAAAGAAACTCTGCCCATTGTTTCTCGCCGGCGCCTGGGATCGAACCCAGGACCACAGGATCACAAGTCCAGCGTGCTGTCCGCTCGGCCGACCGGCTCACCTAAAAGAGAACTAAGGGAGAACACCTAAAACACACACACCTAAAAGGGAGAACTAAGGGTCGTCAGTATAAGTAGAGTTGTGTGTAGAATAACGAGGCGTTTTCAGTTTTGGCGACAATTTGGGCGTGGTTTCCACCAGCGAGTTTAACGAGTTTTGAATTTTTATAATTCTTCTTTATTTTTTTAGGTGTAACCCGCGCGTTTGGTTCAACGACTCGAACGTGACGAACCGTCGCAGTGGGGTAAGGGGGGGGGGGGTAGGGGGGTGTTTTGCGTGCCTTTCTGGTTCATTTAAGAGGTTTTAAAATATTAATTTGTATATATGTATAAAACAATACTGAATACGTGCTAGCATTTTCTTTGCATTTATCATTTAAAAAATATTCCCCTAATTCATGCAAATACAAAGAATTACAGAAAGTTATACTAATTATTAATTTAAATACGAGAAACTACAATTTTAAGTTAGTACGTTTATCAGGGGCTGAAACAGTCCCTAAGAGAGCAGCAAGGTGGGTACATTGACGTCAGGGGGCTGAAACACAGTCCCTAATACAGCAGCAAGGTGGGTACATTGACGTCAGGGGCTGAAATACAGTCCATAATACAGCAGCAAGGTGGGTACATTGACGTCAGGGGCTGAAACATAGTCCCTGATACAGCAGCAAGGTGGGTACATTGACGTCAGGGGCTGAAATACAGTCCATAATACAGCAGCAAGGTGGGTACATTGACGTCAGGGGCTGAAACATAGTCCCTGATACAGCAGCAAGGTGGGTACATTGACGTCAGGGGCTGAAACATAGTCCCTGACGCTGGCGAGACATCGGAACCAAATTCAGATTACATAGTGTCAACCGTCTAGTTTATGGCTGTATGTATATTAACAGGGGAAGAGGGGTGCAGGGAGAGAGAGAGAAAAAAAAGAGTAAGGAGAGCAGAAATAGAGCGAGAGAGAGAAAAGGAAAGGCAGAGCAAGGACCATAATATATTCCACGGATATGCAGAAATAAGCATGGAAATTGAGAATGGGAAAAGGAGAAGATTAAGGGGGAAGCTTCGTAGATGGAGGGTAGGGAGATGGGGAGACGGGGAGAGGTGGTTAGATGGATTAGACGAGATGGAAGATGGAGAGAGGAGGAGGGGTTAAGAATAAGGAGGGGGGGTTTAGGGGGAGGAAGTGATACTGTCCCGGGCACCGCCGGGTCCCTTCCTGGTACATTATGTAATTATAATAATTAGCAGTTACACCATTATTATGCCATGTAATTGATGTATTGAAATTGAGTGTAAACTTAATTATGATTTTTTGTAATTATCTGTATTTTGTATAATAGTTGTATAATGGACAATGTATTCAGGAACATCTGAGAAAGCAGTGAAGGCGTTTGGTGGGATCGAACCCTCGTTTGCATCATTTTATATTTTATTAACGGTTGTAAAAATCATTAGCAAGGGGACAAGGGCTGCCTCAGCTCCTCTGCTTTGTGAAGGTTCCCTAAATTGTAAAGTAACTCAGAATATTGTCAAATTTTGTATAAAATCTATTGTTTTATTAAACAAAAAATTTAGTGCCTTGAAAATATATAACTTGGAATATACCATATATGTACTTATTCATAAGCCAAATATTGACTATAAGCAATAAGTATGTGCTGTCTTGTGCGAGAGCGGATTGCAATGCAACAGTGGGTGGCGGGAAGCAGCCTGAAGCACCATGCAACTTGGGCGCCTCGTCGCCAGCCAGTGTCAACACCGAGACACCAGGGCCCCAGTCACAGGTAAGGACCTCTGTCAGGCAAAAAGTGCCACGTCTTCAACCAGACCCACACACTGTTTAAGTATTCAAGCCGATAATAGCCCGAACTGGAACCATAAATTCTCACCATCTGTCATCCTTAACCTCAATCTCTTGTTGCAAGTGTTTGTGTTTGAGCTAAACTGAAGGGGAATAAGCGAGGTGTCGGTCATGGAGAACGGTCATGACATACGCACACGGAACACTGGCATGCGCACACATGGTGGTAGAGCATTGTGTGTACACGTGTGAGAGCTTTGTTGGAAGTGCAATGGTTCCCTGCACAGGACTGGTAGGTGATAGACTGCTTTAGCATTATTGACAATGCCAAAAATACTTCGTGACACATACACAATGCTGAGAAATAGACAAGGTAGACAATGCCAGCCACTTTAGTTTGAGAGAAAGTAGGACAAAAAAACGCAGCTGAAAGCTCAACGAGTCAAAAAAAAATGTAAAGAAATACTCGCGGCTTTTACGGGTAGACAACAAGTGGTATGCGTCGAGAGAAGTGGAAGCCACCTCCATCCACAACTTTAAGGCCAGACTCGACAAATCGAAAATCAGAATAGTTAATTATCCAACAGGGTGAAACGAGACTAATAGCCAGGGCATAGAGCACTAAATCTCACTCCGCTGTAGACCCTGATAACACAATGGGAGTGTACTTGCCCGAGGTCAAATGAGAGTAGTCATTGGCCAGAAGTTAATTTGATTAACTGACCCCGGAGAAAAGAGGCGATAATGTTTGGTGTGGGACTGAAGAGCAGCAGCCGAGGACCCGGTTGTGGTGATGGTGTGGTTGGGAGAACTTTTCTACCAGAGACGTGGCCATTTATTTATGCATTTTCTTCCGTCATCGATGGACAGGGTTAGAAAGCTGTAATGAATTTTTTGGCCATTCTACCACAAAATGATCGAAGTGCTGTTGCAATGTTAACCAGCTTATATATAAATGTTGGAAGGGAAGAGTATGAACTCCCTCTTTCCACGGATTAAATGAAGGATCCAAACCATGTAATGACAGTGCTAGGCTGGACTATGTACAACGGCCAATATTCATACCAATAAACAATTTGTATATGTAAATATGCAATTAAAGGTCCATAATATGGTGTAAGTGTACTTATATAACCATCCTGGTTCAAAAGGACCATAAATTTGGTCGAAGTACTCTTATCTAATTAAGATTAATTTAAGCATCATATTTAATATAAAGATAACGAAGTAAGCAATTGTTAACTTAATGTATATTATCAATTATATATACAGATATTCAATTTATATGAAAAGATTGTCGAGCTTTACTTTCAATGACCGAGGTTTAATAATTTTAAGGAATGAGCGTCGATAACTTTAAAAAAAGACTTTGGCTGAAAGATTAATCAAAACTTACCGAAATCTGGGGCATCGCCCCACGCTGTAACGACACACGTATTGGATAGATTAAGGTTACACAAACATGCAAGTGGCCAACCAATACACTACAATAACACAGTATACTTATGTTTATCTAGTCAGAGCCGGTGCCGTTTGACAAGTTGCCAGAATAACTTAAAATATAGTGCCAAAGTTCTATATCACAGCTTTGCTGTTTAATATTCTGGAAGCTTTGCTACTTGGTTATGTCCTTAGTTGCGTTTGCACTAGGATGAGATTAGATGTGGAGGCATCACTTCAGGTAATTATCAAAAGAAGGCACCAAACCGGGAAGGCTATGTAGCACCATCAAATACGCAAAATAATTAGAGGGCGCTAAATATCACCAAGGATGCCAATACGAGAACAAAAACGCATAAGGCGAACGATATCAAAAGTATCCGAGGGCATCACTTCAAGCCACTACACTAGACAAGTATTAGGAATTTTTCCTTATAGATACAAGTCCAGGTACTCCTAGTTCTAGAGAGTAATCACTTGTGATATGTTAGTGTGGTGTCCTTTACTGAAAATGTTAACAAGGCACCATCATGTGTCCACTGTAAAGAAAACCATCTGTCCCGGAGCACCGCTTAGCTCGCTGGCTCCGCCCTTCTTGGGGGAAGTAGCCTTCAATGTACATTATTTTTTTTTTTTTTTACTGTCTAGACAATCACATCTGATCTAATATTATGAGCAAGATAAGATTGAGATTGTAGCACTGGATAGTACTAATTAAGTATTTGATTTAATCTTCACCGAAATTTATAGATTGTTCCAATAGTTTTTTTTTAATCAAGATATTGCACTGTAGGCACCATGGGCCCCTATTGTGTACACGATCATAGTGGCATTGTCCGATATGATACATCTTAGATAATGTGGGAAATTTTACCCACTGTATCAACATGAACGTTAAACGTAGAATGTACTGCCATTCTAAATCTGAGCATCGCCAGCAATGATTGTTAAACTACACCGAATTGGCAATTCAGTGTTTGATATTGGATCGCCGTCTACTCTTGTCGAATCGCCTTTATACCATTGTTAGTCTTTAGAAGCATGTCCACTTGGGAAGTTGTCCTAGCCGACAGTACAGCATCTGTGGCGCTGGTTTTAGAGGTGATGAGTGCATGTAAGGGTTTACCCTAGTTAGAAAACTGCATTCCTAATTTGTTAGGAATTACAAGGATTTTATGCAAGTTATGAATACAAATTTGTACATTCATGGTTTGAAAAAATCTAGTTTTAGGTAAATTAAGTGAAAAAAAAGATTTAGATAGTTCTTATTAGGTGAATACTTTACAGTTGAATCTTCGCTCTACATTAAATTGTTTCCATAACTGAATCATTAGGAGAATTTAAATGCCAACAAGCGTCTACATTAGTATGAATGATACAACAAAATTCTGAGAAATCTTTAATGTTGACCGTCTACAATAATTAGTGGGGACGTTGTGAAAGGTTTCACCGTACTACCCAGCAGACAATACGCTTCAGTGACGTACACAGTGTAAACGATGTTGACTACTGGCTAGAGGCTCCCTGGTCTAGTCACGTCGCACCTAGAAAACACAATACGCAAGTCATATGCATAGGAAATATCCTTAAAAAACATTATGAATATGAGCAAGAAGTATTAAAATTAAGTGCCACGAGGGCCGTGAGGGCACCGAGAGTCTACAACAAAGGAAGAGCTACGGCAAGAAAGCAGTCAAAGAAAAAAAAAAATCACAAAGTTCAGCCGTGAGGATGCTAGTCTCGGGAAGAATGCAACACAGGTGTAGTCAGAAAACAACGGAGGAGCCTACATCAGACTTAAAACCCTATCTGATGATAGAGAGCGAAGAAAAGCAAGCAAGGAAAAGGCATTTCAGAACTAAGAGGGGTAACCTGTCTTAATCATGCAGGTCAAGGTCCTACAAAACTTGTGTCTAGAGACCCTCAAGGGAGGCCAAGGACAGAATGACACGAAGAGGAACATTGGCAACACTAACCTTTCAAGCGAGACAACCAGAAAGGAAGGTGGTGAGAAGGAACAGGGCCCCACAGGAGTGGCACAGGTCAAAGTACGACATAAGCAAGCGAGGGGGGTTTAGAGACCGCACAAAGTACGAGAGACGGTAGCTAATAACTGCAATCTTGTAGCGACATCAGTCAACATACAGGCTCTGTGTCAAACCAAAGGCACCAGAGCTAAGACGGAGCCCAATATGGTGAAGAGCATCAAGACAACGAAGGGTGGAGGGAGGGAGAGGCAGACGAAGAAGCAGGACAGCCATGACAGTTTAGACAGCAAGAAAAAGTAATGCAAGGAGAGGAGTATGCGCCTATCAGCGCCCCAGGAAGGATGAGGCAAGACATTAAAAGGTAAGGGCCTTAGAGTATTCAACTCTAAAAGGCAGGAGATATAGGGTGACTAAGGTAAGAAGAGTGTCAAACACTAACCCCAGAAGTTTAAACAGTTTTCATACAAAAGACTTACCATAAGTGGGGAGGGGGGTACAAAGGACTATCCGCTTCCGAGTAAAGGTTACAGCACAAGTCTCAGCCAGAGACCTGCAAACCACAATTGGTGGCCCAGGAGGACACGGCAGCAATCTGGAGTTTAAGCTGCCGTTTCAGGAAACTTTACTTTGCCCTTCATTACTAGTCATCACCTTGACAGCAAGATTGCCAATATAACGCTGCAGTTATTTTAAATGGTGCAGTCAGGTTTGCAACAATATTGCATTTCAGACTAAAATGTGTTTGATAACTACTTTAATTTCGAAAGGCGTTCCTGTACAAAGGATAGTTCTTTTAGTAGAAAATCCCGCTTTAAAAGAAAATTTATCCTTTGATAAAGTTCATATCAAGTTTCCAGCTTCAGTGCGTGACACTATTTCAAAATCTTTAGTCTGCGAGGGTTCATGCACTCTACGCACCTCTTCAGCCGAATCAATCATACTATGGAGAGAGCAAAACGGTCATTAGTGAGAGATAAATCCGAAATATTTCTCCTATGCAAAGATATATAAACCGTTGAACGTAATTCCAATTTCTGCACGAGCTGCAGAGGCTCCCTTAAGCCATCACTCACCAGTGGCACATTACTAGGTGCCACTAGTAGTCGAGTTCTATTGGCCTACAAACACACAACTCCACCACCAAACAAGCCAGAACCTGGCCTCAAGCGAAAGGAGCACCAAGCCTAGTTAGAGTTACAGGCGAGAGCTGGTCGTGTAATGCTAAACGAAGCAAGACTGCAGCTATCCTGGTGAGCCTGGTTGACCTCGCTTCGGTCACGTGTGGTCCGTGGCGCTGATTGGTGGTTTAATTTCTCCGCCCCGTTGACTGGAACAGCACTCCGAGGCCCTAACACCACTCCAACTATTACCTAACTTGTCTCGGTGATACATGGCCGTCTGAGAAGAGTTTTACAATAATAACATGTTCGTTAAAAATAACACTCATGCAATGGCGATTTCGCAACAATTTACGTGCACACATTGACACGGGAACAGTTTACAGGAACTAGGCTTTGAGAGTTCAGAAGAAAGTGTAACAATTTGCCAAAACTCTTCAACAGCGGTTGTGATTAACTCGACATCACAGGAAAGGATAACAAGCTTTTGTTCACTTGGACTGCGCTCATACGTGAATTGTGCGGTAATCGTCTTATTGTTTTAGTGAGACGTTATGAAAAAGCGTTAGTGCAAATATGACAATCATATTACACTTCGTTACTATATCTTGCGTTGTCAGATCCATATCTACACAAAAATATTGCATCCAAATGCATTTGTTATTATGGAGTGAATGCACTAGAATTGAAACAATTTTAAAACACGAAAATATCATAAAACATGCATGAAATAAATGGGTACTTAAAATGGCTACTTAAATGGGTACTTAAAACTGCTTTTTACTGAGAAGCTGGAGTTTATTGAGCAGCCTTACTCACCCGGTGAGTAAACATAGCAACAAGGACAACACCGCTGGGAAGGGAAGGAAAGGAATGGGAAGGAACCATGGGAAGGAACCCCGCTGGGGTACTTAATCCGTAAAAAGAGGAGGAAAAAACTTACGGGCTATTCATGCCCGTGCCACCTTTTAGGTGGCTTAATCTTCATCAATCAATCAATCGAGGAAAGAGCACATACTCTTCCCTTCCACCATCTATATGTAAGCTGGTTAACATTGCAACAGCACTTCGATCATCTTATGTGGACGAATGCCCAAGAATTCACTATAACAGCTTTCTTACTCTGTCCATCGATGACAGAAGAAAATGTACAAATAAATGGCCACGTCTCTGGTAGATAATAGTTCTCCCAACCACACCACCACCACCACCGGGTCCTTAGCTGCTGCTCTTCAGTCCCACACCAAACATTATCGCCTCTCTCTTCTCCGGGGTCAGTTTATCTCTGACCAATGACCATACTCATCTGATCTGAGTAGCAACACTTCGTGTGTAACTAACCAATCAGGGTCTACAGCGGAGTGACGTCTAACTATGCCTCAGCCTACGTGCCTGATTGTACATGTTGAGGTCGAATTCTTTATCAAAACTGGCTTTAAATATAGTGAAGGAGGTGGTTTATTTTTTTTAGTGCATGCTGCAACCCGTTCTCGCACTTGCTTACTGTCAATATTGGCTTATTTAATAAGTGCATATGTGACATACTAATTGATTGTGAATATTTTAGTTTACCTTGAAAAGCTTCGTAGAAAACACCGACTTCACCTAACCTTCTTAGTATGTTAAGATAAGCATCTTATTGCTTCTGAATTACAATTATTACTTAACATATACCGTGCTGTTTGATTCGTACAGATTACGAGTATTTTCTTACATTACTGTGTTTCCAGTCTCCATTTTTCGATTTAAATTTGGAATAATTATAATAATTAGGAGGATAACGCGCTAAGCCAGTATGGCTATATAGCACGTGTTAGGGATACGAGGCCAGGATAGGAGCTGGGATACGAGGCCAGGATAGGAGCTGGGATACGAGGCCAGGATAGGAGCTGGGATACGAGGCCAGGATAGGAGCTGGGATACGAGGCCAGGATAGGAGCTGGGATACGAGGCCAGGATAGGAGCTGGGATACGAGGCCAGGATAGGAGCTGGGATACGAGGCCAGGATAGGAGCTGGGATACGAGGCCAGGATAGGAGCTGGGATACGAGGCCAGGATAGGAGCTGGGATACGAGGCCAGGATAGGAGCTGGGATACGAGGCCAGGATAGGAGCTGGGATACGAGGCCAGGATAGGAGCTGGGATACGAGGCCAGGATAGGAGCTGGGATACGAGGCCAGGATAGGAGCTGGGATACGAGGCCAGGATAGGAGCTGGGATACGAGGCCAGGATAGGAGCTGGGATACGAGTCTGTGATAAGGGGACGGAGGGAAGGAACGGTGACTAATTTAAAGTTAACATATTCTGTAAAAAACACCATTAAACTTCCATGAGATTAATTATCATCAATTTATGACAAATTTAAATACCGGAGTTGACATGTTTTAAAGTTTAAATGTTTGTGTAAACATTCTTATAAGAAGACTTTTGGGGATTTTGTTGGATTTAAGGTTTATTACTTAAGAACTTTAATGGTGACCAGAATAGTAGTGGTCAATAACACGTTGGCTCACAATCGTAAGGTCCCGGGTTCGACTCAAGGGCAGGATGAGACATCTGAAAAGTATCCTTACACCTGATGCCTCTGTTCCCCTAGCAGAAAATAGGTACCTGGGAGTTAGGCAACTGTTATGAGTTGCCTCCTAGACAAGGCCGTAAGAGATTTTTTTGACATTAAAGGATCATGATAAGCCTAGCAGGTTTCTTTAAGTCGGCTATCATTGAACAATATTGACACATTAACACTATATCGGTACTCTTACATATTTGAACACCACTTTACGTATGAAGCCAGATAGTGTATGTATCAGTGGTATACAAGACAGTGATCGAGGTGTACCAAGAAAGTAGGAAATAGAAGTTAGAGTACCAAGAAAGTAGGAAATACTCAGAAGTTAGAGTGCCAAGAAAGTAGGAAATACTCAGAAGTTAGAGTGCCAAGAAAGTAGGAAATACTCAGAAGTTAGAGTGCCAAGAAAGTATAAGTGCTATCAGAAGTTGGTGTACCAAAAAGGAAAATATACACAGAATATTGATATTAAAATCCCATTTAGAGATGCCAGAGAACGTGTAAATTTTAGGAGGAAAAAAAAACTTGAAGAGTGAAGGGACAGTTTGGTGTAGCAGTGCGGAGGGCTGAAGGCCGGTCGCGCCAGAGGAGGAACGCAGTGTGAATGCATCGGTGGTTGACGCAGTGTGAATGCATCGGTCGTTGACGCAGTGTGAATGCATCGGTCGTTGACGCAGTGTGAATGCATCGGTCGTTGACGCAGTGTGAATGCATCGGTTGTTGACGCAGTGTGAATGCATCGGTCGTTGACGCAGTGTGAATGCATCGGTGGTTGACGCAGTGTGAATGCATCGGTCGTTGACGCAGTGTGAATGCATCGGTCGTTGACGCAGTGTGAATGCATCGGTTGTTGACGCAGTGTGAATGCATCGGTTGTTGACGCAGTGTGAATGCATCGGTCGTTGACGCAGTGTGAATGCATCGGTGGTTGACGCAGTGTGAATGCATCGGTCGTTGACGCAGTGTGAATGCATCGGTCGTTGACGCAGTGTGAATGCATCGGTTGTTGACGCAGTGTGAATGCATCGGTTGTTGACGCAGTGTGAATGCATCGGTGGTTGACACAGTGTGAAAGCATCGGTCGTTGACGCAGTGTGAATGCATCGGTCGTTGACGCAGTGTGAATGCATCGGTCGTTGACGCAGTGTGAATGCATCGGTCGTTGACGCAGTGTGAATGCATCGGTCGTTGACGCAGTGTGAATGCATCGGTCGTTGACGCAGTGTGAATACATCACAACCACCAGCTGTTATTTCACCTGTGCCGGACGCTCTCGCCTCACCGGTAATTATAGCCACCCTGGGGTAGAGGCCTCGTTGCCAAATTAACCTCGCCTAACGCTGGTTAATTATGTTGGTGCGTTGTGGGCGAATTTTAATGAGTGTACGCCGTCGACTTTTTTTTCGTGCGTCATTTAAGCGTCTCGTGCATTTTAGAACCCCGCTGAAAAGGTGTTCACTGTTATTTGTTAAGTGTGTGTAGTGAACGTAGACTAAAGAGAACGTGACCAGGAAGACTAAAGAGAACGTGACCAGGGAGACTAAAGAGAACGTGACCAGGGAAAGATGACACGAACGACTTTTCGTCCCAGAGGCAGCAGGGGAATGATCAAATGCGTCGTGGCAACGTCACGGAAATCTACCCAATGACACGTTAGATTTTTATTTCCTACCCTTGCCATCCCCCTTCAACGCTCGTCTGGAGCAATAGGCGGACAGCAACTAGATTAAACAGACACCATGGAGGGCAGATTCATATAGATTCGAAGTGAAAGGACAGGTTGTGGCGCTCCTGGATACCTTCCAAAACAGTTCATACAAATTAGTTTGGTTCATGGGTTTTCATTTCCGCTAAATTTCTAATGTGGTGACTCCCCCCCCCCCCCCCCCCCCCCCCCCCCAACGGAACACCCTCCCCCTCCCCCACCAACCACTGAACATGCGCCTCTACCATTTAAACACCATTGCAAGTGTAACAGTCGGTAGCGGTAACTGCCTGTGCAGTTACCGCTACCGACTACCTCTACGATACAATCCCCTGCAGTTACCGTCTCGCCCCACTTCTCCACCTCGTTACCACGACACGTATGGGGGGGGGGGAAACCACCCTCGTCCCCAACAATACCAGTTCTCTCCAACTCCATTATCCCTTCGAGTATCAACCTGTCAAGTACCACCACGTCCAGCAGCAGTAGCACTACAGTCAGCAACAGTAGTACCACCGTCGTAGGTGGACGGGTGGGTGGGTTGGCGGGTGAGGTGACCGACAGTATAAATATGGGTGGTGGGTGGCGGGCGAAACCCAGTGATCGACGGCAGCCTGCAGAGCCATCGCGGTGTCGCTTGTGCGTCAACAACTTGTACTATCCCCCGGGGACACCCTATCCCCACAGCCAGGAGCAACGTCCTCTTTAAGACAGGGAACACGTGCTTGTGCTGTCGGGTGGTCACTTCCTTCCTTCCTTCCTCTTTCTTACAAGGTCGGAGCCACTTGTGATCCTCAGACACACCACCAGGGGGCCTTCGTCAACGGAAAAGACAGAATCAGGAGAACATCAGCTGGAGGAAGGGTTGGCAGCCACAGACTGGGAGGTGATCACAGGAACTACCCAACACCTGCGAGTGTTGACTCCACTCCCTTGGATAAAAAGTAGTGAAGCAAATATAAACTTGTGTTGGGGGTCTACCCAACGCAGCCCCAACACACACACACGCACTCAATGAATGTCTAAAACACTCACAGAAAAGTCAGTCGAGTGTTAATAGCAACTATTGTAAAGTGTATTTTAAATGACTAAGCCTGTTGGTCACACTCAGATTTTGGCAAGTGTAAATGTGTTTACCGGAACGGCTCCCCAAGTCTTGAACAAACATTTTGTTTATAGTTGTACTAATCATCATTCTGTGAAGTCAAGAATACCGAAGGCGTTAAAAAAACTAAGGATGTGAGTATAAACAGCCTGGTATCAGGAGTCTGTGTTCACAAGTACATACAACATTCAAGCAGCACCATGCCCGGACCCACCAACAAAGCCACCAGCCTCGCCAGCGACTCGGCTCACGACCTGACGCAGTTCGAGTCGTGTGAGGACATGTCTGAACCCTGGTTCAGCCTCAACGGTAATCTCTCCCAAGAGAGTATCTACCACGACTGCACCAAGTACTACCACATCGAATGCCAGAGTAGACATGTGAACGGATCAGATTTAGGGCTCACACAATCTGCCAGCACAGGAATGTTGACGAAGGAGATCGCCCAAACAGAGAAACCCTCAAAGATTACTAAAAAGGTGGTGACCGAGAGGCAGGTAAAAGCAACGGGTTTATCTCGCCTACAGGAATGTTTTGAGCAGATGGAAGTGGAGGATGAGGAAGGAGACGAAGTTGTGGAAACTATTAATGTGCCAGTAGTGGAAGCAAGCCTCAGTGTGGACCTCAACACTTCCCTCACCAGGCAGAAAATCGCCTCTGTTCAGCGGGGCCGGACACTGTCCTATGTTGATAAAGATGATCCTGAGGATGCACCCACGCGCCGGCCGCGACCTCTAGCACACGTCAATGAAAGTATAGATATCGTGATGCCTCTGAACCGGCCCACCGCTTACTCTGGAGGCGCAGAGAATGACCAGCTGTCGCCCAATACCTGCCGAAATAGTCGTGTATTTCGCAACCCATCCTACCACTTCGCTGTTAGAGACACAATTTCATCACCCAGGCACGAAATTAAGACAGGGTCCTTGGATCAAGACAATAGCAGCTTTGAAGACTGTTTATCCTGTGAGGAATATCCCATCAACACCGTCACAGAAGATAAGGAAGAACCGGAAGGTAGCAAGCGTCACTTGTCTACGGGAGATGAGATTACCTTGCCCTTGGCAGCCAACATGCCTCGCAGCGTTTCCTTCTGTGGGCCAGTAAAGTTGTCCCAGTCTTCCCCTTCTACCCCTGCCAGCGGCAGTCTCTCAGAGGGGAACAGCAGAAGCGGTAGTGCATCGCAGTTGCCAGTGCCCACGTCCAAGTTTTCCTCCCCTCAGACTCCAATTCCCTCTCCCGTGAAAGAATCACCGACAATCGTCCGCGGCTCTGCTATTAGCCGTAGCTTTCGTAGACTTTTTAGTTCTCCCGCTCGTACCACGCCCACTAGTCCACCTGAGGAGATCTGGCCGGATATCCCAGACACGCTGGCGACATCTCCTACCACAGAAGCGAAAACACCATCTCGTCTTCGCAAGCTAGGCAGTACCATCTCTCGCCGGCTGCCTACTCGCTCCAAGATGAGTGAGAAGACAACCTCTGCGGGTACAAACGGCCATCAGCTGTTGACCCTCAATGGCACACCTGTGTACGAAGACTCGCAAAACTTGGTGGAGTACGAGACTCTGCTGAAGCTCTTCTGCTGCTCGGGATGCCAGGCTTTCATGGCTCCACCCCTTCACCAGTGTCGGAAGGGGCATCTCGTCTGTGGTACCTGCCGTTTGTCCCTCAAACAAACATGTCCTGTGTGCAAACAACGCTTCGCCGACAGCACTAACTTGATGATGGAACAGGCGAGTCCCATGTTTACTTACGTAGCCACTAGTCATAGTCAGCTTCTACCTCTTCTTCGTGTGTAGTGACCATTAATTTAAAATGTTATTAGGGAAAAGGACACAGTACTCAGCGAGGCATTAAATGTAGCGGCCAGATTAGTTATTGGTTATTAGTAAAATATTTGCCAGACTAATTATTAGTGAAATACGTGTAGTGACCACGTAAATACATTAGGCATATTGACCATATCTTGAGATGATTTATGAGATGATTTCGGGGCGTTAGTGTATCCTCGACCAGGCCTCCACCCCCAGGAAGCAGCGTGAGCTGACTAACACCCAGGTCTTTACTGCTAGGTAACAGGGGCATAGGGTGCAATGCCCATCTGGGATCGAACCCAGGATCACAAGTGCAGCGTGCTGTCCGCTCGGCCGACCGGCTCCCGACCATGCTGAGATCTTTATCGAAGAAGGTGCAGTGATCATGATAGATTTATCAAAGCATTTTAGCCCAGTGCCAATGAGATTTACTGCAATTTTACAGCAGACGCCGTGTCCATGGTCATATAGTTTAACGAGTTATCGGTGACCATGGTAGTGAGGTTCAGCGAGAGAGCGAAGTTTAGCTCTGCAAGTCCGCCGCGACATAGCTATTTGTACCTGGTACTTTTTTCTGTTTTTTACCTCCAGGTTTGCGAGATTGAGTTCCTGTACCTGTCCTCGTAGCTTACTCCTCTTTGTTCAGGTGTTTGGCTTGTTGCAAATCTCTACCGTTTTAAGTTTGTTTTTCACGTGGTGCAGATAACGTGCTGGTGCTGCATATTCTAAAATTGCTCTCACAGAGGCTGTGTAAATTATCTTAAAAGTTCTTGTATAGATGACCAAACCACACATCACACGTAGAAGAAACGACGACGTTTCGGTTACCTTGAGGTGCTTCCGGGGCTTAGCGTCCCCGCGGCCCGGTCGTCGACCAGGCCGTCGGTCCGTCCAGGACCATTATCAAATCGTGTGTAGTTCTTGTATAGATCTATAAATGTTATTTTTATTTTTGTCATCTTACCGTTTTCTTTCTTGTATGTGCCTATTATTAAATTTAATTCGGGAATTATATCTACTCCCAAGGAGTTTTCGCTTTCAGATTCCTGTAGTTGCCTTTATCCAATCGTCTATTGCGATTTCCAGTTACATTGTATTTATTGGCACTGAACTCTTAACAATTAGGGCGCTGGTCGGCCGAGCGGACAGCACGCTGGACTTGTGATCCTGTGGTCCCGGGGTCGATCCCGGGCGCCGGCGAGAAACAATGGGCAGAGTTTCTTTCACCCTATGCCCCTGTTACCTAGCAGTAAAATAGGTACCTGGGTGTTAGTCAGCTGTCACGGGCTGCTTCCTGGGGGGTGGAGGCCTGGTCGAGGACCGGGCCGCGGGGACACTAAAGCCCCGAAATCATCTCAAGATAACCCTCAAGATAACCATGTTTGCTCACTCCTAAAGTTTGTCAACGTCTTCTTGAAGCCCTCCCTTAGGAAGACTATAAGAAGAAGAAGAGGAATCAAAGTTTTCATTGAAGTGACCAACACAGAGAGAGAGAGAGAGAGAGAGAGAGAGAGAGAGAGAGAGAGAGAAGGGGGGGGGGAAGAGACTGAGACTATCCGCAAATTCGTAAAAATCCGCAAAGCTAATTTTTACCTAATAAAATGCAACACAATAAAACGAATCTTCATCTAGTGCTCGATAACTCAACATATAAGTGCGGCCATGAAGTGGATTCAGAGCGATACTTCCGTTAAGGGCGCCTGATCAATATGTCCAGCCTGTGGGCGTCGAGGACCCCATCTCCGCTGTGCCGGAGGATGTGTGAATGACCCCCATCTGAAGGTGACGTCGCCGAGGTCAGTGATTCACGACCCCCTCTGAGAGTGACGTCGCCGAGGATAGTGACGATGACAGTGTTGAAGACACCCAGACGTCATGGTGAGAGATGTGGCCATCACAAGCCATATCCTCGCTATGAGTGTGGTCAGTCGGCCACACTCATGGGCCACATTGCTTATAAACAGAACGTTTTCGCCAAATGTATTTCATAATAATAATTGCCCTGAAATATCATTTGAAACAGAACAGTAGAACTTTAAATGGAAAATATATATTTCACTAAAATCACAAGACCACAGAACGCTCATCATGGCTCAGTCGGTAGTTCCTTGAGAAGCCTAGGGATGCAGGTTCGACCCCCAGCCTTAATATTTTCCCTTTTCGGTCAAAGATTTCGCTCCTTCACTCATAAAGTCAAGACAGTGCGACTCTATATTCGAACAATTCACGACACATAAGGGACCTTAAGGAGTGTTCATCCTTAAGGAGTGTTCATCCCTAATAGATTTAATTCCCTTGAATTAAATAGACGAATGAAGTATTGCGAAACTAAATGAAAAGAACAAAAAAAATCCGGATTCGAGAGCGCTTCCTGGAATTATTTTTTATTAAAATTAAATTGACCAACAATGCCGATCTGACGCCTAGAAACCTTTGATATTTCTGCCAAGATATGCCTAGCTTCCTTTATATTTAGATTGTTTACATGTATGTCTCCGCTTGTAGCTTACTGTTACATCTAATTTCTTCTGGTGTGTGGAGATACATACGTGTGTGGGCGTGGAGAAAGGGTGTATGGGCGTGGAAAGTGTGTGTGGGCGTGGAGAATAGGTGTGTGGGCTTGGAGAATATGTGTGTGGGCGTGGAGAGTGGGCGTGGAGAGTGGGTGTGTGGGCTTGGAGAGAGGGTGTATGGGCGTGGAAAGTGTGTGTGGGCGTGGAGAGTGGGTGTGTGGGCGTGGAGAGTGGGTGTGTGGGCGTGGAGAGTGGATGTGTGGGCGTGGAAAGTGTGTGTGGGCGTGTCGAATGGGTGTGTGGGCGTGGAGAGTGGGTGTGTAGGCGTGGAGAGAGGGTGTGTGGGTGTATATGTAGGGAGAGAGGGTGTATGAAATACGAAGAGGAAACAAATTTTGAAATTATCCATAAATAATTCCTATGAGGCTATGAGTAGCATAATTTTGTTAACAACAAAAATAATTATTTGGAAGCGCATGTGGTACAGTAAATAATTAATATTCAACAAGAACACTCGCTCAAATAACAATAAGGTTGGTGTTTGACAAGCTGGTGAGTAGGTACAATGGCTGCCTTGCCAAAATAGACGGCTCTTTTAATAAAGTGATGGGGCCATCACTTAGAGGAGTCATGAGGCGATATAAAGTGGTTCCTGTCTGTGTCTGTATCGCGTTTGCGGTGACTGACTGTCTGTACAGTGTGTGGGAGAGAGGATGGCTTAGTGTGAAAGTATGGGGTAGACTTGGGGAGGGACTTGGGTTTACTGCGCATGAGCAAGTGTTAGTGTGAAAGTACTTTAGTGTTATGCTGAAGGGTATGTACGTGTGTGTGTGTGTGAGGGCGAATGCAAACGTGTATGTGTGTAGGCTCCTCCAGCAGGACATATTAAGCAGCATTCAGTCTATCTTTGTCAAATTTGGCACAGATTCCAATACTGTATGCCAAAACCGAACCATTTATACTCCGTTTTAACCACTAATAAACATCTGTACTCGGTTTATACGAGGGTACTAAACCTCGTGCAAGATATGGAAGGAAAAAAGTAAATTTATCATTAAATATTTTTTAGCACAGTCAGGCGGCGTTGCCTGCTCATGGGTCCTATAGCACAGTGGTCTAAATCCTCATCTTACATCCAAAGAGCCCTGGCAAAATCCCCAGGCCATGACAAACGGTTGGGCAAGTTACCCGGGAGTTAGGTGATTGTTGTGGGTTGCATTCTGGGAAAGGTCAGTAGGAAGCCTTGGGGGTGGGGGGGCCCTTGGGAAGGTCAGCTAGTAGCCTAGCAGAGGGAGGGGGACGTGGAGAATATCAGCAGTCAACCTAGCGGAACCTTGTTAAGAACGAGGGTAGAAATAGCCTAAGCTACTCTATCCTTTTGAGATATACTTCTTTTTCTCAATAAACTTACTTGAACCTCGTTAAGTCTAAGTACGTGTTTCCTATCACCAACTCTGGGAATTAATACACTCACCTTATTTTGGTAAAGTATAGAAGTGAATCTATAAGTAAGTGATCGCAGCGCCAAATGCTGATTTCACATGCAAATTCTTTCAGATTCTTTTGAAGAAATACAATCCAATTCACACTATTTTTGGTTGGGGAAGGGTTAGTTAGGTTGCAGGAATTGGGTTAAACATTTCGAAAGTCGAGTAGTTAGCAAAATTGAAAATTATGCCACGAAATAATAAGGTATTATGCATAAACACAGCAGTGTGTCCATGCTACGAAAAAGCAATGATACCACCAACCGGTTTCATAATAATCACTTATGGGACTGAAACCAGTTCTATAGTACACATCTCTAGAACTGCCGGTGATGAAAAAAGCCTGTGACAGACACACAGACAGAAACAGAGAAATCGAGACAGGAAAACAAAGTAACAAGAGATAGAGATCATTGAAGCCATAATTAGAGCTGTGAATGTAAAGTGGAAATGTTTAGAATGAACAATAATAAACATAATATTAATAAACTTTAAGAGTTGGTAGAAGCGAACGCCATAGCCAGTTTCAGTAGGCAGAAATAATCGGAGAAATGAAGAATAGGAGTTATTTCATTAGGCTTCCGACAAACATGGCTGGACCCAAGTGTCGAAGCTGAATTCCGCAGAAGCAAATAGGTAAAAACAAACACAAACACGCTTGAAACAGATGGTATCACATCACATACCTTGACGTCATCCATCAAGGAGTAAACAGAAACTCGAAAGAGTTAAAAATGAAAGGGAATGGGAGGAATATGGATAGAAGGGGGGTTGGCGAAAGGAAAGGCTTGGGAAATTGGACAGATCGATAGAGAAACCCTTTGAAAGGTGGAAGTATAACACCACGACCCCTCCCGAGGGCTCCATTAACACCACGAACCCTTCCAAGGGTTCCACTAACACTACGAACCCTTCCAAGGATTCCACTAACACTACGACCCCCTCCCAAGGGTTCCACTAACACCACGACCCCTCCCAAGGGTTCCACTAACACCACGACCCCCTCCCAAGGGTTCCACTAACACCACGACCCCTCCCAAGGGTTCCACTAACACCACGACCCCTCCCAAGGGTTCCTCTAACACCACGACTCCTCCCAAGGATTCCACTAACACCACGACCCCTCCCAAGGATTCCACTAACACCACGACCCCTCCAAAGGGTTCCACTAACACCACGACCCCTCCCAAGGGTTCCACTAACACTTCCAGCTCACCACTAACTTCCAGTATACCATTAACACCGCAACACCTCCCAGGGCATAAGAAGTATATACAATTAGCGCATCTGGAGACTTGGTTCAGGATTCAACAAACATTTACGCATTTACTTACGAACCTGTATATTTTTCCTCGGTCTTTGGTGGCTTTGTTTACATTTATTACACAGTTTGCTATCATCGGAACTTCCCAATGAAATGTTGTTATTGTTATAAACAGCAGCCTAGCGCTTCGGAGTTCATAAACTGTTTAACAAATGTCAATAAAGCCGCCAAAGATTGAGAAAAGATGTTCAGGTTCGTAATTACTTGCGTAACTGCTTGAAGAATCCGGCCCCCTGGACGCTAAACTCAGCCGTGAGTATAAGTGTCTCCTCTCCAGAAATAGTTCACTAAATCTTCCGCATGCACGGAGGAGACCAGCCAAGCTGTGTTGGTAGCAATAAGGCTTTAAACTTAAGTTTCAGTAAATACTGAGGTAGTACAGTGTAATCGAAACCATATTCCAAAGCCAGGATTCGTTAAGCATTTACGCAAGCCCTAACGAAATCTGTACACCTTTCTTCAATCATGGCGACTTTGTTTACGTTCATTAAACACTTTATGAGCCCCTGAAGGACTACGAGGTTGTGTTTAACAAAAATAACCTTGGGATCTGAAGTTCTGAAGCTCGTGAACTCTTTAATACTTATAAAAGCCGCCATGATTGAGGAAAACTGTATAGGTTTTGTAAGTGATTGCGTAAATGTTTGACAAATTTTGGCCTTGAACTCTTCAGGCACATGCACTATCGACAAGGACTGTGTACCTCAGGAGTCTAGGTACGCGAGTTCAATCCCATCGCACGGCCTCAATAAAGAGGGAGACAGGAATACAAGAGAGAGCAGCAGCAGCTCCCATCAGGCATCACTCGTGGGCTCCATGTTGTTGTTGTTTAAGATTCAGCTACTGGGAACTAAAAGTTCCAAGTAGCACGGGCTATGGTGAGCCCGTGATGGACTTCCCTGGCACAGGAGCGGGGCTGAAACTTGCGTGGGCTCCACTCCCGAGATCACTATATACTTCTAACCATTTCCACTGCCGCTCATGGGATCGGTATCTTGGGGTCCATAATAAATGAACTAACTTGAGGATTTCCCTGTGAGTTAAGCGAGGCTAGCGGTGCTGGCGCTCTGCGATACTCTTCTAACAAGTTCTCTGCCAGACAGCTCTACCTACCTTGGCCGTCGTGGTTTATACCGCCATCCGTCACGAGATTTTTGTGGTGGAGAATTACGGCGCCGCGGAGGTTTACAGCACTCATTAGTGCTAGACCAGTGCACTCCACGGCTACTGGCGACTATACGTCCTCTGCTCTTGTCTTCTGATGCACAGTTGTCTCTACCACTCGTTTTTACGTTGCACGACTTGATAATGTGTCCGGGACGGTCCGAAGCCTCGTGAAATCTTCATTTTTTTCAGATTTGTGCGTTCGGTGTCAGTTTCTGATGCACCTAGTGAGTCCATTGTACTAAATGTATGGTCTCGTAGTACGGTTGGATTCGTTCTCGACTCACAATCGGGGTTTCAGGGTTCGATTCTGGGGAGACAGAAAAGGTTGGGCATGTTTCCTTTCACTTAATGACTATGTTAACCTAGCAGTAAATAGGTACCCAGGTCAGTAGTTCAACCTTGAGTGGGAGAACAATACAAGCCTAAAGTACATATATGCAGGCGTCCTGTCCCCGACAAATTGAATTATAATTGGCCTTGGAATTACCGACATCGGTGACATTTAGCCTATGCACAATCCAAGTGTCTCATAAAACTTGAATTGTGGTACTGAATGGCGCCTTCCAAGCACAGTCAGGCAGGTAGTAGATTCATTTAGCTCATGATGGTTCAGTCGGCAATGCATGTGCCCCGGTACGCGGGCTAGATCTCATCCTATGGTCCCAATATTCTCTCAATTAGATTGTGGTTCTGTACCGAATACAGTGACTAACAGGTTCTTGTGCCGGCAGGTGTGTCAGTTGGTGAAGTTCCCGTGTAAGTACGCGTGTGAGGGGTGCCCGGAGTACCACCGACCCCGCGCCAAGCTGGACCACGAGCACTTCTGTCTGTACCGTCCGGTCCACTGCCACCACGGCCCCAAGGGCTGCCCCAAGGTGGTCATCCTCCGCGACATGCAGCAGCACCTGGACGAGTGCATCTATAAGAACAAATGACTTGCCGCGCTGTCGTCTTAGTTGATAAGGTCTATATCACAGTATTGTAGAGATACTGTCTTTCATTTCATCTTGTATAAAATCGATGATTCATTTTAGATTTAAAACAAACAAAAAAATATATATATATGTATGCAACAGTTGCAAGATTTTTATTTATCCTAATGATTGATATTGTATATGTTTTAATTTAGTTTCCTGAGGATTGCAATATATTTAGTTATCTGTGAGGTATGTATTGATAAGCTCTAAATTTGAGCAATATAAAGGAGCTTGTATTGTTGCACTGTATCGTGTATCGTTGCTCTGAAATGGGGGATTCCCGAGATCTTTGGAGCAAGAAGTCGGGATAGAACCACAATCCCCTCACTCACCCCCCAATCCCCATAACCTACAGGTTATGGGGGAGGGGGGTGAGTTAAGGCCTACAGGTGTAACCAGAGTGCCACTTGGGCTGTAAGCTCTTCAGCTGACACTAGTGCAGCCTGGCGGCACTCACCACCGCCTGTGGAGTTGACACAGCGGTGGCACCCGGCCAGGATAACCGCTGGGATCCGACTCGAGGCCAAGATATTTTGGAATCCCACTTTTGTAAACGAATCCCTGACCCATAAGCCTCGGCCTACTTTTGTTGACACTGAACGGGGAGGAAGGTATGAGTGATATTATATATATTCACGGGCATTAATTATATTTTTAAGAAGTAGTTTTAGAACGGAAAGTGTTGGATGTAGGAGCTCCAACTGTACTTTATTCTGCAGTACAGTATACAGTTGACAGTGACGATTCTACTCTAGTTTACCACGCCTAAGGTGTGTATTGTCCAAGACGGACCGAAACGTCGCCACGATAATGGTCCAAGGCGGACCGAAACATCATTTCCTGTATTTCCAGAGGTTTTGGATTGGGTGTCTGTACGACCCTATTTTTTTAGAATAAACGTTCTCTGACTTCAATCTATATTCAACTTCACAATGTACTCTAATACATAGAGGAACTGAGAGCATTTAAGTTATTTATATTAAAATTAATAACTGGGCCGCGTTTCTACAGCTTAACATCAAGATGTATACAGTTTTGGCAATCAGATAACGAGCTTTATCGAAAATTTATTTGTATGCACAGCAAGTAATTCTTTTATCACATACGTCGCATTTTTTTACGGAGTGGCAGAACAAGACAATAGGCTGGGGAAAGCACAAATTGGAGCCCGTAGCTCCTTGAGAAAGTCTACCAGGTAGAAGCCCTCGGCTCCTGAAGGATTCCCGGGCTTGTGTAATTCACATAAAAGTTTCTTAATATTAATAAACCGAAATATACGTATCTAATCACTTGTCACGCCTCGTTACTTCTGATCAATGACGCGCAGACTTGCGCACTTATTAACCAGCCACTTGTTTCATAATCTTTCCAACACAGCGTGACGACACACTCCACCACCACAGCCCCTAACACAAGACATGGGGAAGCCGCACAAGGGATCACTACGTGGACTACGAGCCTTGGCAGCCTTAGTGGGCTCAACAAACTATACCCAACTCACAAAATGAACGCTACACCGCGTTTACTCCTACGCTGAGTAGGAGTAAACGCCTTCGTGAGCTCAACAAACTATACCCAACTCACAAAATGAACGCTACACCGCGTTTACTCCTACGCTGAGTAGGAGTAAACGCCTTCGTGGGCTCAACAAGCTATACCCAACTTACAAAATGAACGCTACACCGCGTTTACTCCTACGCTGAGTAGGAGTAAACGCCTTCGTGGGCTCAACAAGCTATACCCAACTCACAAAATGAACGCTACACCGCGTTTACTCCTACGCTGAGTAGGAGTAAACGCCTTCGTGGGCTCAACAAGCTATACCCAACTCACAAAATGAACGCTACACCGCGTTTACTCCGACGCTGAGTAAAGACGCAGGTGGTGTAAGGTACCGCGACGCTGAGTCAAGGAACAGTTGGTGTATAATCACATAAAAAACACCTAGTGTTAATATTATCGAATTTTAATTTTCACGGTCCCTTAACCTGAGAAACAAAGATGTCAGAGCACGAGGCTTCACTCACCGCTGATGGCGTCAAGTTCATCAAGTACATCCTTTGATGTTTTGACTGGAAACTTCACCAGCGGCTAATATAAAAATGGAGACATTGAAGCTGAGGTAACTCCTATGAACGAATATACAGAAGATCAGTCAGAATAATATAAAAGAGTGAATAATTGTAATAATTCTTAGGGGTACAACTAGCACTGGGGCTCCTAACACGGGTACTCCTTGTTAGGTGTACCGTAAACAGGTGTAGTACGTCAAGCAGGTGTGTGCACCTAGCAGGGTGTGCACCTAACAGGGTGTACACCTAGCAGGGGTGTACACCTAGCACTGGTGTACACCTAGCACTGGTGTACACCTAGCACTGGTGTACACCTAGCAGGTGTATGCACCTAGCAGGGGGTACACCTAGCAGGGAAGCACAAACTCCTTTGGGTAACTGGTATCTAACGAGGCGTTTTTGCTTCACTTCCCGCATCCGTAAACTGCCTGAAGAGTTTACACTGATTGATGATCAACACTATTGGTTATACTTGTAAACATCTCCCATGACGTGTGTGTCCGTGTATGCGTGGGCGTCCGTGTATGCGTGGGCGTCCGTGTATGCGTGGGCGTCCGTGTATGCGTGGGCGTCCGTGTATGCGTGGGCGTCCGTGTATGCGTGGGCGTCCGTGTATGCGTGGGCGTCCGTGTATGCGTGGGTGTATTCGTATAAGTTTTTACATGCGTGTGCACAGACAGAAATGTGCTTTTAAGGGTGTACACCTAGCAGGGTGTGCACCTAGCAGGGTGTACACCTAGCAGGGTGTACACCTAGCAAGGAGTACACCTAGCAGGGTGTACACCTAACAGGGTGTACACCTAGCAAGGAGTACACCTAGCAGGGTGTACACCTAACAGGGTGTACACCTAGCAAGGAGTACACCTAGCAGGGTGTACTCCAGGGTGTCGAGTGCTAGCTCCCGAGCCCCAACCCTAGCAGATGTCGGTTGTCCAATTGATGTATCTCAACCACCGTGTTCCAGAGCATCTTAAATGGAAATAGTTTTAGTGGGTTTATTTTCTTTAACCTATTGTATGTGTTCACCTTTGTACTGAAGTTCTTCCTTATATCTACGACTGGCTTGTGCCTCTGGTTTCATCCCGCGACTCCTTGTTCAAATGTTCATCGTGAGATGATATTTTGTTCACACCGCGTGTTTATGTGGTCGTTGTGTCACAGAAATGGTTAGGCACGTTTTCTGTCACCCTGATGCCGCTGTTCACCTAGCAGTAAATAGGTACCCGGGAGTTAGGCAACTGTTGTGGGGTGGCCTCCTGGGGAGGGTCAGTAGTTGGACCTTGGGAAGGAGGTGATAGGGCCTCAACGCAGGCTTCCTGTCCCCCGACAAAACCAATTATATGTAAAACTAAAATCAAGTATGTCTAGCCTGCGCTTGAAACAACTTAGTGATCCCACGTCAATCATGACTGGAAGTTTTGCCTTCATTCTGTAAGCAGCTCCTGTGTGATATTTATTATATCCGTGTGTCTGTCTGTGCTCTGGCATGGGACAGGATCCATCAACCATTTACCCAACCCCTTACGAAACCTCTACATCTTTCCACAATCATGCCAGTTTGGTTTTCATTTATTAAGCAGTTTACGAGCTTCGGAACTTCACAATACAAAGTTATTGTTATAAACAACCTCGTAGTGCTTCGGGGCTCGTAAAGTGTTTAACAAATGTAAACAAAGCCGCCATGATTGAGGACAGATGTACAGGTTTCGTAAGTGGTTGTGTAACTACTTATTGAACCACTCACTACACCCGCCATGATCCCCACCACACATCCTGCAACACCCTCTCACCTAATGCACCACAATCTTAACGGAATCGACCAATCCGCTTAAAATGCGACGTTTTAGTTAGCGTTGAAGCACCGTAATATTACCGTTTTCTACGCATCTCTATATGTTAATTAAGTGAAATCCTTGTATTCGAACGTTTCAAGGCAAAACAGTTGGATTTTTTACGGAGTGCAAAAGATAGAGAACGGGCCAGTCTGAGAACGCTCCCCAGCACATAATTACTCCAAGAAATTAATTAATATAATCTGCTGACATTAGAAGCTCACCTGATTAGCGTGCATAATTAATTTTGATAGCAGTGAGTCGAAGCTCAACAGGACCGAAAGGTAATGAACGGTCCTAGTTATTACAGTCTTATATTTGGTGAATGAGACCTGCGGTTAGTTATGCAACCCGTCCTCTTAAACTACCACACAATGACAGACTTGCTCTAACGTCAGCTACTCAGCCGGTGTCGATGATTGATAATGATCAAGCCATCCAAGAGGATGCATGGGCATGAATAGCCCCTAAGTGGTAAGCTGGTGTCGATTATACGAGGCGTTTGGTCCGTCTTGCAGGCTATGTGTGTGTATATAGTAGCTAAGCTGCCTCTTCTATCTCTGTCACATCTAACCCTTCCTCCCCTACCCATTCTCAACCTTCCAGTCCAGACTTTTGCATCCTCTCTCTTCTCTCCTATCCTTCCCTCTTCCTCTATCCTCCACACACACACACACACACACACACACACACACACACACACACACACACACACACACACACACACACACACACACACACACACACACACACACTTGGTGTGTTGCCAACGCTGCATTAAGGAACTCATGACTGTGTTTATACACACCTCACTTGTGTGATCCCTCCGTCGTAAGAGTAAACAGTTTAGCAACCATTAAATAATATTTGGTGCCATGCAGTACATCAAATTGGTTCTCGGTGGTGTGTGTGTATATTGAGGCCAGGTGTGTGTGTATTGAGGCCAGGTGTGTGTGTGTATTGAGGCCAGGTGTGTGTGTATTGAGGCCAGGTGTGTGTGTGTATTGAGGCCAGGTGTGTGTGTGTATTGAGGCCAGGTGTGTGTGTATTGAGGCCAGGTGTGTGTGTATTGAGGCTAGGTGTGTGTGTGTACTGAGGCCAGGTGTGTGTGTGTACTGAGGCCAGGTGTGTGTGTATTGAGGCCAGGTGTGTGTGTGTATTGAGGCCAGGTGTGTGTGTATTGAGGC